AACGGCCAGGCTAGGCTAGGGCCAGACTAGGCTGAGGCCAGGCTAGGCCAGGGCCAGGCTAGGCCAGGACCAGGCTAGGCTAAGGCCAGGCTAGGCTAAGGCCAGGCTAGGCTGGGGCCGGCAAAAGTTTTATACAAGTCCAGGCTCGAACCAGGGCCAAAAAGAGAACCACTTGACCTAACCACTTGACCACTAACCACTTGATCACGACGACATATCTTCGAAGAGCGCAAGCGCGCTTGATACTCGCGCGGTCAGCTAATTAGCGCAACACGCAAAAACTGTTTTTTACACACAAACTTTAAACGGATTTAAATCGAAAATTTGAACCCATTACACACAAACGAGCTAGATATTCAGAATCAGCGAAAAAATTGCTACAAAATAGGCTAGATCCCATTTTGAAACTCGGTGGTAAATAAACAATGATCCCTAGCTAGGCTTAGGCTTAGGCCTGACGGCCCTAGGGAGTTTCTGTGAACCAGATCTTCAGCAGGCAAAGGCTTGGTAAGGTCAGAAGCTAGGCCAGAGCCTGGTCGAGCAGGCCAGAGCCTGGTCGAGCTTTGGCCCCAAACCCTTGCCAAACTAAATATCTGTGGTTGATTTTGCTTTCTCATAGCTTATTTTTCGTTAGCTTTTCAACTCCTTTTCACCTCTTTTTTTCTCGTTCTTTCGTCTCATCGTCAGTTTACAATCTCGGTCTCGAGAAGGAGGATCGGGTCTCTTTTCCGGGAGAATGAGAGAGAGAAAGTTTATAGTATCGGGCACACACATGTGGCCTCAAGGAGTGAAAAAAAAAGAATGAAAAAGGGCAAGGAAAAGAGACCACTTCTCCTCGCTTCTTTTTCTTTTCCCTCAAAACTTTTCTCTCATCAAGCTCATGTCCCAATCCCCGTGCTCATTTGGGGAAAAGAGTGTGACTTTAACTCTAACATTTATTCGTTTAGGCACTTCCAGGCGAGCTTGGCTTTCAGGCTGAGCTTGGCTTCCAGGCTCGAGCTTGGCTTCCAGGCTCGAGCTTGGCTTCCAGGCTCGAGCTTGGCTTCCAGGCTCGAGCTTGGCTTCCAGGCTCGAGCTTGGCTTCCAGGCTCGAGCTTGGCTGAGCTTCGCTTGGCTTTCTTCCAGGCTTGTAAGTTCTGGCTATTGGCCAACTTGAGTCTCTTTACTCATTTTGATCAAAAGTTTGTTTTAATTCAAATCAAACTCACTCAAAATCAAACCCACAAACTTTCTCGATTGACCTGCGATTTCTTACAGTTAGATCTGTAATGTCTGATCTAACTTGAGCATTTATGAGACTGATGATTGCATTTTTGTCAAATCTTTACCTATTTGACCCATTTTGTTCAGAAAATTAAGAATTAAACTCGCATTTTGAAACTGCTTTTTGATCTTGATGACTTTTATGTTAGGTTGGCAAGAAAGTCTTTTCCGCGGCATTTAAAACTCTTTTGGTAAAGCTTCTGGTAAAGCTTTAAGCCAAGCGCTAAGAATTTCTGAAATTGATTTCATTTGAATTGATTTCGTTTAAATTTTTTCTCTATTATTGCTAACTTTTATATACTTTTAAAGATCGCATTTCAAGCTTTCGAATGCGATAAAATAGAAGCTGATCGAATTAACCAATCCTGAGGAAATCAAAGGAACTTGCCTGAGGAACTTGCCCAAAAGAGATCGGCTTGTCTCTTGATTTTCATCAAAGCGAATAGTCCAATCCAATTAGCACTCGGCAATCCTTATGGTTATAGTTTAGGCAATTTTGGCAATAGGCAATATTGACAATTTTTTCAGTTTCTTTTTTTGTTTTAAATTTTTTAATATTCATCACAAAAGCTGCGTGACACAACTCCGTCAATTCCGTGTGATTTTTGTGACTTTTGGTGGGTAAATTACTGAATTAGTCGTTCAATTCATGCTTTATTTTTCTATGCTGAAAATATGGGGATGCATCTTATGAAATGCATTTTATGAATCAAATGGTTTATAAGTGATTTCATCGTTTTAGAAAGGAGATGAAGAATGAGGAGCTAAAGACGAGGAGCTAAAGACGAGGAGCTAAAAACTCCTCGTCAGTGATTGATAAAGAGTTCTTGAAAAAGCTAAAGAAAGAAGATTCAAAGAAACTAGCGATTAGCACTAGTCCTTGGTTCTTCACAGTTCTTAAAACAGTTCTTAAACCAGTTCTTAAACCAGTTCTTAATACAGTTCTTAAACCAGTTCTTAAACCAGTTCTTAAACAGTTCTTAAACAGTTCTTAAACCAGTTCTTAAACCAGTTCTTAAACAGTTCTTAAACAGTTCTTAAACAGTTCTTAAACCAGTTCTTAAACCAGTTCTTAAACCAGTTCTTAACACAGTTCTTAAACACAGTTCTTAAACCAGTTCTTAAACCAGTTCTTAATACAGTTCTTAAAACATAATTGATCAAAATGTGATGGCGATTGGCAAAGCGAAAGCAAAAGAACCCATCACTTTCTTTCAAAGAACAATACGGCCTTTGGGTAATCACCCAAAAATCAAGCAAAGCGTTGTAGCTTTTTATTGATAAATATTGAGAAGTAAGCCCATTTCGAATAGTACATGCAAAAAGTGTTACGAGTTAGACTCTAGGCGCTAAACCAATACGATCCTAAAGCGGAACAACACGGAAACAAAGCGAAGCAATGTATCCGATTGAATTCTCAAGGCATCGTAAGGCCCGAGGCATCGTGGTTTCAGATTTTTGGGGAAATTTATGCGAATCTCTACGCGTATCTCTACTTTTTAAAGAAATAGGAACTTTTTAAAGAAATCATCTTATCAAATATATCAAATAAAGGAGTAAAACTACCTACAATCAATTACTTATCTAGCATCTAGATCTAGCATTGTAGAAAAACTCTTCGGAGACTTCGGTAGAAAACCCTTTTACAACCACCGTTTACTCCAGTTATAGCTAACTATCGCCAGAACTAACTATCGCCAGCTAACTAACTATCGCCAGCTAACTAACTATCGCCAGCTAACTATCGCCAGCTAACTATCGCCAGCTAACTATCGCCAGCTAACTAACTATCGCCAGCTAACTATCGCCAGCTAACTATCGCCAGCTAACTATCGCCAGCTAACTATCGCCAGCTAACTATCGCCAGCTAACTATCGCCAGCTAACTATCGCCAGCTAACTATCGCTTATTTAAATCTATACTTTCCCTAGGTCTTATCATAATTTTTACAATAAACTCTTCATACAAAGATTCTCCGAAGTTGGCGATTGAGTGATCGCCCTTGACGGGGCGTCAAGGCTCTAGCTCCCCGATTTCCACAAAGATGAGATTCGATTTGCTAGTCAAAAGTTGAAGAGAATCATTAATTAAAGATAATTAATAAAAAGAAACTTTTAAATTTAATGACTAAATTCTTTATTGTTATCTAAATAAGATAATCTATATGAAAAATGAAAAAAAACTCTCTTGCCAACCTAATAAGAAAGATGAATGCAAATAGGAATCAGATGAAAAGTTTGATCACAATTTAGCCCATCAGATGCAAAATTTCGACCACAATACCTCCAAAGCCGAGTTTTCTCTTTCATTTTCAAATCTGACAATTTGAAGACTAATTGCAAGAAGTTGATGAGTTTTGAAAGTGAATGATCGAATTTTAGTCTGAAGTCTGGCTTCTGTTTGACTAGATGCGCTTTACTATGTGTTACACTTGTGTGTTACTATGTACTATGTGTTACTATGTGTTACACTTGTCCTCTTATATTCTTTTATCGAATATTCAAACTATAATCATATTTTCTACTTTTAAAACCCTCACTTCCCTATCCTTTCCCACTCTTTTCATCGACCTTGTTCAAACGGTTTTTCCCCAACCGATCTCTCTTTTTTTGTGTGTGTGTACCTCAAGAACAAGACCCTATCAGCTTACCCGATGATCCTTAAACCTTTCTGTTCTCAAAAGTCGGGCAAAACTTCAAAACTCAGTCAATATCGCTTTTCTTTGCTTGTGGAGTTAAGCTGGAGTTAAGCTCGCTTTTCCCCCATTTGTTTGTTTCCGATGCGTGAGAAAAACAAACTTCATACTTACAATTTTGAATTTTAGACTTGAATTTTAGACTTGAACTTTAGACTTGACTTTAGACTTGATTTTAGACTTGAACTTAAACTTTTAAATGTTTTCCAGCTAAATCAATCCTTTTGAAGCTCATTTTAAATCTCAATTTAAATCTCAATTTAAACAAACAAATGGGGAAAAGCGAGCTTAACTCCACGAGCAAAGAAAAGCTATATTGACTGAGTTGTGAAGTTTTGACCGACTTTTGAGGTTGCCGATGCGTGAGAAAAACAAACTTCATACTTACAATTTTGAATTTTAAACTTGAATTTTAGATTTGAACTTGAACTTTTAAAGGTTTTCCAGCTAAATCAATCCTTTTAAATCTCAATTTAAATCTCAATTTAAATCTTAATTTAAATCTCAACTTAATCTAAATCTAAATCTCAATTTAAATCTCAACTTAATCTCATTTTAAATCCCATTTTAAATCTCATTTAAATCTCATTTTAAATCTCATTTAAATCTCATTTAAATCTCATTTTGAATCTTAATTTAAATCTTAATTTAAATCTCAATTTAAACCGCAATTTAAACCTCAATTTAAACCTGATTTTAAATGTCGATCAAACCTCATTTTAAATCTCATTTTAAATGTCAATTAAATCTCAATTAAACCTCATTTTAAACCTCATTTTAAATCTCATTTTAAATCTCATTTTAAATCGCATTTTAAACCTCATTTTAAATCTCAATTAAATCTCATTTTAAACCTCATTTTAAATCTCAATTAAATCTCACTTAAATCTCCATTTAAATCTCATTTAAATCTCATTTTAAACCTCATTTTAAATCTCATTTTAAATCTCAATTTAATCTCAATTTAATCTTAATTTTCTCTTCAGAAAACTTTGTCCTTTATGGTGATAACGTGAGAAGGGTGGTTTATTTTGACAACTTGATGTTTCGCGTTGCTCTCCTCGGAGCTCTCGTGCTACAGGTGAAATGCGGGGGAAAAATTTGAGGACGAAAAAAAAGAATTTCAGATTTTATCGCATGAATTAGTGTACTTGCACGATGGATCACCGCTTTTCGGCGATGAGTCGAACGGACCAAACGGGAAACTTGTCACCACCTTTTTCGGGATCCCATTTGCCGAGCCGCCACTCGGGAATTTGAGGTGGGAATGGTTGAGCATTGATTTTCATTCTATTAATGTAAATTCTTGATTTACAAACATGACACTAGTATATTGTATTACTTGGGCAGTGTTGTTTCAAAAGCATTTTTCTGGACCAAGTGAGGCAAGGCAAAGGTAGGACTTGACTTTAGCATTGCCTGCTTGACTGCTTGACTTGACTGCTTGACTTCTTGACATGTCTGCTTGACATCTAGACATGTCTGCTTGACATCCCAGATAGTGGTGCTAGGCCCGCGCAACCTCCGGTGGTAAGCGCGTTATATATAACGGGATAAGGGTTCAGAAATCATCCCTTTTTATTGATCCTTCACCCCGTTGCACCTAGGTCAAAAACCGGGGTTAAGGATCCATAAAAGTGGATGATTTATTGATCCTTGACCCCGGGGTTTCAGTTGAAACATCTGAAACAACAACATAACAAGTTTTAGAGATAAGTACTTATTAGTCAATAACTTACAAAGTTCAGATCTAAAGATGAAAAAGAATAGCAGCCAATAGCAGCCTACGATAATTAAACTAATCTTCTAAACTAGATAATTAAACTAAACTAGTCTAGTTCAAGCTAGTCTGTCACCGACCTCAATTTGATTCCAGATTCCGAAAGCCAAAGCCAAAAGCTCCTTGGAGGCACGTCTTCAACGCAACCACACCGCCAAATGCTTGCTATCAGGTAGGATTCAAAAATGATCGATTCAAATCGACTTGATCGATTCAAAAAACCAAAAATCGATCATTTCATTTCATTTCTACTAGCTTTTCATCTATTAGATTGGCAAGAAAGTTCGTAGAAAAAGTTTACACAGTTTCCTCAAAAAACTAAGCCATCAATTCTTCTGAAATTTTTCTTTCCGTTGAACACCCAATGACGTTTTACACCAGATCACACCGTTTACACCAGATTACACCAAATTCCCAGATCTAACCGTGGGCTATAATATGTTATGTTCTTCTAGAGCATTGACACCTACTTTGGCGAATTTTTTGGGGCAACCATGTGGAATGCGAACACGAAAATGTCCGAGGATTGTCTGTATCTCAATGTTTTTGTGCCCGGAAAGGTATAAAATGGAAAAGGATTCAATTGTTGAAGAGCTAAATGATTGATAAATGATTGATAAATGATTGAAACATCAGAAACTTCAGATTGATCCAAACAAACGCCTGGCGGTGATGGTTTGGGTTTACGGTGGCGGTTTCTGGAGTGGTTCCTCTGTACTCGACGTCTATAATGGGAAAATTTTGCCAACGTCAGTTTCATTTTGTTTTAAAGCCGACAAAAGCATAAACAAGTCAAAAGCGAATTTCTTAGAGCCAAAAGCTAATGAATTGCTGAATTGCTGAATTGCTGTCTCACTTGCAAAACTCAGCCTTTAGAAAAAGAGACCAAGACTTAGACTAACTTAGACTTAACTTAGACTTAACTTAGACTATACTTAGAGACGTTCGACTGTAATTTAAACACTGTACTTCGTGTTCTCAACTTGAAAGCAGACTCTTTCTTGAAAACAGACTCTCTTGACACTATAGAAGACACTTTTATCCTTTCGCTTCACTTTTCTCTAGCAGTTTCCTCACAGTTTTACTTCTCCAAAGACGCGGAAAGGATTTTTTACAGTTTAAGCACAAAGCACATGCTTGAGCACATGCTCTGCAGATGGGCACCAGGCTAGAGCCAAACTAGAAAGACTAAAGTCAGGCAAAAGTCAGCCTGCAAGACCAGAGTCAGCCTGGCTCTGGGCATTAAAAACTATATTTCTCTGAATTCTTCTTTCATTTTAGCCCTGACTTTCTAATCTTTCTAATCTCTTTCCTCGCCTCTCCACCCACCCAACTCCAAAGCCATTTCCTTTCGCCTTGCGGCTTTCATTTCCATTTTATTTTTGCAAATCCATCAAATCTTTACCCTCCATACTTGACAGTTGTTGCATTTTCCAAATCGATTCATCATAACACGATCGAAAGCCGTTTTTTTTGCAAAGAACTCGAAGCAACTCAAATAAATCATGGAGATCAATCCAATTTCTCTTTTCTCTTTTCAAATTAATCAGAGTGGTCAAAATGATCGCACAATGTGCGTCATTGTAGCTTTAGGGTGGATCCAAAAGTGACGCGGGGAAAAGGGGAAAAAAAAGAACAACTTTTCGAATGGGGAAAATGACAACTGACTGAGGGGGAAATAAGGGAAGAACACACAAATTGAGAGGAGAAACACCTGCTATCCCGACTCTCCATCCACCGAATCCCCGCTTTTTCCCCCTTCTGCACATTGAACTTCCTCGACGACAAGTTTTGAGGCAATGTTTTTGGAGGGAAAGGATAAGATGACGAGATGGATTTCGATATAGAGTATTGGATGAAGTTGGGGACTTAGAGTTTAGTTATCAGATAGTTTATCAGCTTAGTACAATTCAACTGTTCTACCCACGCCTAACCTGGTTAATCCAAGTTCAACAAATCGAGCTCAGTTCGTTTTCATTTTCAACACCGATGATCACACTTTTCCAATGGAATTTTGAATCATGGAATCATTTTTTAGCTTTGGAAAACGTTTGCTTTATGCAAAAGATATGAAAAAGATACTTTTAGAAGACTTAAGTAGGAACGGTTGCAATTGAAATGACTTTCAAGGTCGACAAACGGTTTCCAAAGCTAAAAAATGGTTCCATGTGACTTTTGGAAAAGTTTGATCATCGGTGTTTGAACGATCTGAGCTCGAAAAAGATCTGAGCTCGATTTGTTGAACTAGGCCAGGTTAGGCCTGGGTAGAACAGTTGAATTGTACTAAGCTGATAAACTATCTGACTGTTTGATAAACTATCTGATAACTAAACTCTAAGTCCCCAACTCCATCCAATACTCTATATCGAAATCCATCTCGTCATCTTATCCTTTCCCTCCAAAAACATTGCCTCAAAACTTGTCGTCGAGGAAGTTCAATGCTCAAAAGGGGAATGGTTCCATATGGCTTTTGGAAAAATGTAATCATCAAATAGTTCTGTATAGAGTGTGCTCCTTGTTGACAGACAATTTGTCAGACAAATTTTCATTGACAACTTTTTTGTCAGACAATTGATCCGACAAACTTCCGACAACGCGTTTTCAAAGGCGCTTTCAAAGCAAAAGGCGCGCGAAAAAAGCAAACCAAAATATAGTAATGGATAGTTTATTTAAGGATTTAGGTTTTTAGGGCATGCAATTTCTTTTTGGAATGGTTTCTAGGCAATGTAGACAATAGGCCGGTAAACGAAATAATATAATTTTTAATAGTGTTTCTTAACTTTCCGTTTTAAATGTTTTCTTAATTTTAAATAGCATTTAAAAATTTTTAAGCTTGCGAAAGGAATAGAGTTAAGGAAAGGTAATAGGTTAAGGGGAAAGGTTAAGGAAAGGAAAGAAAAAGACGCAAGATTAATGTAATTTGCATTTGAATTTGTGATGAAAGCATAGGGTTACGGTAGCTTATCCTTGCGCGCTTTTAGAGGTTGTTGAAGGAACACACTCTAGTTCTGTAAATGACAACAAACTGGAATCAAACAGAAATTCATTCAGTTTTAACCCAGATTCCAAATCAAATTGAAATTAAAAGTTTACTTTTGGACGCAGCGATGCATTACTATTTCGTTGCATTAGTAATGCAATGAAATAGTAGTGCAAAGAAAAAGATATCAGCAGTTACATTTAAAAAACAATTAAAGAGCTTATTTGGCTATGAATATAAAATTCATTTGCTAAGAAATTATTTGTAAATTTCAGCGAAGAGAACATCATCCTCGTCTCGATGCAATATCGAGTGACGATCTTCGGATTTCTCTATTTGGGACAACCGGAAGCACCCGGAAATATGGGACTTTGGGATCAGCATTTGGCATTGAAATGGGTAAGTAATTAATGCAAACTTTAGCTTGTTTAACATCAAAAATCCATAACCCATCAAAATCCATCCATCATTTTCTAGGTTCACAAGCACATTGATGTGTTCGGCGGTGATCCGAGTCGAATCACCCTTTTCGGCGAGTCGGCCGGAGCAGCCTCAGTAAACATGCACATGCTCTCCACGAAATCAACTCCTTATTTTCATGTGAGTAATCTATTTTCAAAGCTATTCAACTTTAAGCTATTCAACTTTAAACGAATTCAGCTATAAATTCGATTTCTAAACATTTAAGCGAGCAATTCTTCAATCCGGCAGCGCCACCGCTCCATGGGCCACCGAGCCGAGAGAGGTTTGTCTCGAGAGAGAAGCGAGATTGCTAAATCTTTTGAAAATACATTTATTCACACGAATAATGTGGTACAAACAATAAACAAGCACAACCGCTAAGCTCTAAATGCAGGGAAGAAAAAAAAACCATATACACGGTGGCGCACAATTATGGAAATTCGGTTTTTCGACTGTAACTCGACGCTCAATTATTCAATTCCTCTAATTTCGTATTTATTTCAAATTTTAAGTCAATCTCTGTGGTCGATTTCAAATTTTTAGTTCAGAAACACAGCGTTACGCTTTTTATAGTACTTCGAAGTTCAGAGGTGCCAACTTCTCGGCAGAATCATTATTCGGCAGGATTTTTGAAGAAATCCACGCTTCGTACTTACTCATTTTTGCTTTTTTTTAAGAAATAGAACTATCTGGAGCATTTAAAGTCAAAAGATTTTCAATAATTTCAAAACTTTGAGAGCTAATAGCTCCAAGAATTCCCTGAATCCAAGCTGAGCGAATCAGCGATCTGTAACTGGTAACTCCCCAAATCATTCTTGATGTCTTGCAAAGTTGATGCATTTATATTGTGATATTTGTCTAAATTTACCTAAGGAATGAAAAAAACTAGGAGAATTGATTGATTTGTGCACAATTCTTTCGAGTTGAAAACGAAAAGCGATGGTTCTGCCGAGAGGTTGGCACTTTTCTGAACTTCGAAGTACTATAAAAAGCGTAACGCTGTGTTTCTGAACGAAAAATTGAAACCGACCACAGAGATTGACTTGAAATTTCATATAAATATGAAATTAGAGAAATTGAATAATTGGGCGTCGAGTTACAGTCGAAAAACCGAGTTTCCATAATTGTGCGCCATCTATAAGAAGAACCGGCGGGATTGAAGCCTTGATCTTCTGACTAAAATACAGGGCTCTTAGCCAGTCGGTCATGGCGGTCATTCAAAAATTGATTAGACTTTGATGATCTACTAGGAATTACGAGAAATGTGAAGTAGGATAGGAAATGTAAACGTACAGAAAAAGGGAAAAGCTGGACCGGGAAAGGGAAAAGCCAGACGGGAAAGGCAAAGTCGAAAAGCAATCGAGCTGTCTTTGTCGACCAAAGACTTGCCTTTGTCTAGAACAAATCTTTGGCTTTGGAAAAAATCTTTCTTGATCAAAGTATTCAGCATTCTGTTTTGATCAAAGCCTATCAAAGATCAAAGCCTAGTATTCAGATCGCTCTCCAAAGGAGTGTCGTTGTCTACAACGCGATGCACTGTGGTAACATGTCCCATCAGCAGATCGATCGACTCGAAGTGATTCGCTGTATGCTGGAGGCTGATCCAGAGACTCTATTGTAGGTTTTAAAGTCGGTCATTAAGTCATAAACTTTACAAAAGTAAAAATGCACAACAAATGATCATCGAATAAACCTTATAGAGCTTAAAAGAATAAAAATCTTAACAATAAACTGTGATTGATCTTCTATAGGGAAATTTGTGAAAGCGACGAGAGATAAGTGAAAAAAACCAGACAAAAACGGCTTTCTATTAACGTTTTTTAGAAAGCAGTTTGTTTTGTATTAATCAAATTGACAAGTTTTTCTCGATTTTTCGTTTTTTTCGTAGTGTCAGCTCCGAGCCAAACTGATATTTTACTTACTATTGTTATTATTGAATGATTTGTCTATTCTTATGCAAATGTGTTCTCCCCTGTGCTTATCCCTTTTAGGTGGCCTAGAAGGGCCTAGGAGGCCGAGAGGGGCCCTTGGGATTGCCTAAGAGGACAAGTGAAACTCTCATTTGGAGTCCCTCCTTCCCCTTACACTCATTTGTAACCCCTTAAACTGAAATGACCGACCTGTACTGCAGTTTCATAGACTCGGAAGATATGTATCTTTATTTACAGTAGTACGAATAGATGACGAATGAGTGTAAGGGGAAGGGGGACTCCAAATGAGAGTCTTGTCCTCCTAGACAAGCCCAAGGGCCCCTCTCCTCCTAGGCCCTTCTAGGCCTCCTAGGACCTCCTAGGATAAGCACAGGGGAGAACACATTTGCATAGGAATAGACAAATCATTCAATAATAACAATAGGAACTAAAATATCAGTTTGGCTCGGAGCTAACAGTAGTAAAAACCCCAGGCTTTTCTTTTATGGCATGCTTCCTTTAAGCATGCGCAAAATCATATTTTTGATCTTTTGATAGATTAATCTTTCTTTTTTTGGATTATTATTTAAGGTTTTATCGTTTTTAGGAAATATGAATGGGAGCCGGTGAGGGAATTCGCCGATTTTCCGTGGGTTCCCGTCGTGGATGGGGATTTCTTGACGGAGCACCCGGCGACCGCGATTCGTCAAGGACATTTCAAGGTAAACTTTTTGTATTGTAGCGTTTTTCCTGTACTAACAAAGCCAATTGTAACACAAGCAGCGTTGCGATTAAGAAAAAGGGGTTTTTCGAAAGCTTTTATAGCAAATACATTCTAAAAGTCTACAGCGCTTTGCTGATTTTATAAATTTACAATGTTAAACAAAATGATGACTTGAGCTGGTTTCAAAGTTTTAGAGTTTGAGGGATTTTGGGCGGATTTTTAAATGCAAATTTTGTTTTTCGGAAAAGCAAACGTTAATCTGGATGTCATATAAGCTTTTCGTGGTGTTAGAAAGATGATTTTGCTCATTTCTCAAAAAAAAGTCGGTTTTCGAGATTTTGAGAGATTTTGGGCGGACTTTTAAATGCAAATTTTGTTTTTTAGAAAAGCAAACCTTAATCTGGATGTCATATAAGCTTTTCGTGGTGTTAGAAAAACGATTTTACTCATTTCTCAAAAAAAGTCAACTTTCCTTTGATCTCCTAACAACAACACGTCTAATTTCAGAACACTGAACTTCTTCTTGGAAGCAATCTCGACGAGAGCATCTACTTCATCGTTTATCAATTACCTGTGAGTATAAAAATTGATCTTCCGTAAAAACTGATCTCCCGTTTAGTGGGAATTCTGAAATTGAAATTAAAATAACATTTATGTTTGTTCGCCAAACTCTGCGAGTTTTTACTCGCTATAAACATAATATCATTTTTCTCATAAGCTTTTCCGATACGATGTATTGTCCACCAATTTTGAGGTTGGACAATTTATTCCAGAAACCAGTGTAGAATCTAAAACTATAGGCTATAAACTAAATTACACTATTGAAAATTGTCCAGAATGAAAATTTGTCGAAAATTTCTCCTTTTAAACACGATTAACCACGAACTAGCCCTTGGCGGGTTACGGTAAACAACTTATAAGAAAAATAACATTTTAGGACATCTTCCCAACAAGTGAATTCTTCTCCGTCGACAATTTCATCGAGGATCGGAATACCTGGGTTCGAGGGATCAATCAGCTGTTGCCACGTCAAATGCTTAAATCGTGAGTGAACGAAATTTAGTATAGATCGTAAATACTAAAGAAAGAACGACCGTTCCGTAAAGAACGGACGGTCAGAACGTACGATCGCGTACAGTCGCGTACAGTCGCGTACAGTCCGGTAGAGTCGCGTACAGTCCGGTAGAGTCGCGTACAGTCCGGTAGAGTCGCGTACAGTCCGGTAGAGTCGCGTACAGTCCGGTAGAGTCGCGTACAGTCACGTACAGTCACGTACAGTCACGTACAGTCACGTACAGTCACGTACAGTCACGTAAAGTCACGTACAGTCACGTACATCACACAGCACGTACAGTCACGACAGTCACGTACAGTCACGTCAGTCACGTACAGTCACGTACAGTCACGACAGTCACGACAGTCACGACAGTCACGTACAGTCACGTACAGTCACGTACACACGTACAGTCACGTAAGTCACGTACAGTCACGTACAGTCACGTACAGTCACGTACAGTCACGTACAGTCACGTACAGTCACGTACAGTCAAGTACAGTCACGTACAGTCACGTACAGTCACGTACAGTCACGTACAGTCACGTACAGTCACGTACAGTCACGTACAGTCACGAACAGTCACGTACAGTCACGTACAGTTGCCACCTCCTCGTACAGTTGTGTAGTTTAACTTCTTTTTAGAAACATCCTTTTCTCAACCTCTAGATTTTTCCCAACCACAATTTTGGTACCAAAAAATACTGGACTTGAATACTAGACTTCAATGGCTCTCATTTGACACCCAGGCGCACACTGTAGCTTAAAGCAGCGTGGAGAACGGAACGTTCAAAGTTAGACTACGCGACTGTACGCCCGTCATTATCGGGGTGGCGTTAGAGTGTTTACGACATTTTGTTGCATAAACCCATTGTCTATTCAGCGCTCTAACCTTGGCTGCAATTCTTCACGAGTACGAGCCGTACACCTCGCCTATCAAACCTCAGGATTGGATAAATGCCATGGATAAAGTAAAAGAAAATTTTGATGAAATGATTATGAGGAATTCCAGATGCTTGGCGATTACCATTTCACTTGCAATGTCAACGAGATGGCGCTCGCTCATGCGAAACATGGAGGAGACACATACTATTATTATTTCACGCATAGGTGCGTTTTTAGTCAGTAATAGATGAGCGATGGGTAAATTACTGCCATTGTACTGTCCTAAATTACTGTAAGGCCAGATCTGACCCTAAAGTAGCGGTCTAGTCAGGCTAGAAGCCAGGTCCTGCGTCTGGGCTGACTTTACTGCATTCCTGACCCAGCCTAATCCCAATTTTAGGCCAGGCTTGCTTGATTAGAGCCCCTAGAGCCTGCTTACAGCCCCTAGAGCCTGCTTACAGCCCCTAGAGCCTGCTTACAGCCCCTAGAGCCTGCTTACAGCCCCTAGAGCCCGCTTACAGCCCCTAGAGCCTGCTTACAGCCCCTAGAGCCTGCTTACAGCCCCTAGAGCCTGCTTACAGCCCCTAGAGCCCGCTTACAGCCCCTAGAGCCTGCTTACAGCCCCTAGAGCCCGCTTACAGCCCCTAGAGCCTGCTTACAGCCCCTAGAGCCTGCTTACAGCCCCTAGAGCCCGCTTAGAGCCCCTAGAGCCTGCTTACAGCCCCTAGAGCCTGCTTACAGCCCCTAGAGCCCGCTTAGAGCCTGCTTACAGCCCCTAGAGCCTGCTTACAGCCCCTAGAGCCTGCTTGCAAGGGAATGACACTATTGCAAGTTTTATGAACACCGTTTGAAGTTGTAAAAGAGTGCATAAGATATAAATATTTAATGCAAAGACATCGGAAAAAGAGTTTTTCAAAAAAGCAAAAGAATTGGCCAGGGGGAATTCAAACCCAAGCCAAAAGCCTTCATAAGTTCCGTAGGCTAGCACACGATCCACTAGACCAAGCCGTTGAGAAGTTTCTTTATGGTGGCCTTATAAAGAGTCAGAAATTTGAGGGACTTTTCTATGCCAGCTTACTTGCGATTGCGTCGGTATTTGCAGCTAATTTTTAAAGATTCAAAATCAGCATAGACAATTCTAAAGTGCACTCGGTCACGAAGCGATTCTAAACTTCGAGCTGGTGTCATTCCCTTGTTAGAACAAGCTGACCAAGCTTGACAGCTGAACAAGCTGCCAAGGCTGTCCAGTATCAAAGCTAAAATTTCCAGAGCCACCGCACAAACATGGCCCCAATGGATGGGTGTCTTGCACGGGTATGAGATCAATTTCATCTTCGGCGAACCGTACAACACAGCCAAGTTCAACTACACGCGAGAAGAACAAGAACTCTCGAGTCGTTTCATGAGATATTGGGCGAATTTCGCGAGAACTGGGTAAATGAGCAAGATTTGAACGTGTTTCAAAGGTCAAAGAGTTTTAGAGATCCGAATAAGAACGACGATGGCACGTACACGCAGGATGTTTGGCCGAAATATGTGGCGAACTCGATGGAGTATATGAATTTGACGATTGAGTCACAGTATGCCGATGGTGAGTTGGGGAGATTTTGAAAGAATCTCTGATGAAAGAAAAGCCGCCCAACTGTTGATAAGGATCAACAGTTTAAAATTAAAAACCAGCCGAAAAAGCCGACTGACAGCGGATTAACGGCGGATTAACGGCGGATTAACGGCGGATTAACGGCGGATTAACGGCGGATTAACGGCGGATTAACGGCGGATTAACGGCGGATTAACGGCGGATTAACGGCGGATTAACGGCGGATTAACGGCGGATTAACGGCGGATTAACGGCAGATTTTTCTGGCTGGAACTTTGGAGGTTGGAATGAGCCTAGATTTGTTCAAGAGGTTGAAAAGATTTCAGATTAAGTAAATTTGGGTAAATGAGGCAAGATTTTTCACAATACTTACTCCAAAATAGTACTTCAAAAATTTCACGGTACTTTCACCGTACTTCAACAGTACTTTCAATACAGTATTTTGAAGCTAAACAAGCGGGAATGAGAAATAAACTCTCTATGATCAGGCTCGAAATATGAGAGTTCTCTAACCCGGGGTTCCCTTGTCACCGTGGTGCAGTCGGGATCGCGCTTTGTTTGAAACAGAAGAAACAGAAGTTTGAATCTCTCAAACATAGCTCTGTTTTGCTTTTAAACCAAACAATAAAAATCTAGTGTAAAAAACAGTCTAAATTTCATAAAAAAAAGAAGAGACTATGAAGATTCGTTTCGATTGCGGGGAGTTACACTCAAAAAAGCGTGCGCGGGGAATTATGCACCACCCTGTAGTAGAATTTATTGGATTGGTGAATTGAAAACTGCCGGCTATTGTCATAGGTGACAATTTGAGCACTTTCTTCAAAAGAAACCCATTTTGGAGCCAATGGAAAAGTTGTAGAGAATCAAAAAGCAAGCTTATATCCTAATTTTCAGAACGATTCAAAAACTGGTTTTCAAGAAATGCCAAATTTACGGATTTTCACAAAACTTGCAACAAAACTTGCATTTTAAGCGAAACTACTAAGTGTATCTTTTTGGAAATTTGGCTATAAGCCTAATTTTTGATTCTCTACAACTTTTCCATTGACACTAAAATGGGTTTCTTTTGAAGAAAGTGCTCAAACTGGGATCCCCAGTCTCCATCTCCAGTCCTCGATTTTTGAGTCTCACACTTGTCTCACACACAAACCAAAATCCTACTACGAAAGAGGAATCCTCAAATTGCCTGTAAAATGGGCAGAAGTCGTCAATAATAATGGAGATTATTTGGAATGAATTGATGGTTTTATGTTGAATAAATTTTAGTTCAAAGTCCCGCACTTTTCAATTCACCAACCCAATATCTATCAGAGGTTCTCCAGATTACCTAGGGCTGGTTAGGGCTAAATTTGGATAAGTTGATAGCTTATAATCAGTCTTCAGACCAAATATTAGCTAGATTAAAGTAGATTTTTTCACAATAACCGCCTTACGATACAGTTTTGCTTTGTTTATTACTGAAAGCCGAAATTTGAAGAAAATGAAAGATATTCGAGCTTTACTGTAATTTTCAAGCCTATTTGAAGTCAAATTCATTTCAGGAGCCAAGCGGATAGCCCACGGTCCCCGCCAAAAGGAGTGCACTTTCTGGAAATTCTATGTCCCGAATCTAATGTCAGCTTTGGGTAAGGAAAAATTCATTTCTTTAAATTCACCTCTTCAAATTCATTTCTTCAAATTCAAATCCTTCAAAATTCCCTTTTTCAGCCGACTACGGTGACCCATATCTGCAATGGAAACAACAAATGGAGAAATGGCAAAACGAGTACATCACCGATTGGCAACTCCAATTCGAGCAGTACAAAAAGTATCAAACCTATCGACAACAGGACTCCGAGAATTGTCACAATGATCTTTAATGTTTATACATTTCTTCAAAGGTTTGGTTGATAAGGGAATCGAAAAAGAAACATGAAGATGAATGCGCTTTTCAGTTCGGTTTCAGCCTTGAGTAGCTCACGAGGGGAACCACATAGACTTACGGGCACCGATTGCCCAGAAAATTGGTGAGGAGATAGAATCGATGTGCTGGGGAATAACATATTAGAGATTCAACTGCAAAGCTCCAAGATTACAGCTGTTATAACGATTATCAACAATCGATTACGGTAGTTATAAGGATTATCAACATTTCGATTATCAACAATCGAGAAAATCGTCTATCTCCCATACCCGTTCTCCTTCAAAAATGGCTAAAGAAATATCTCAAAGAGAGACTCGAACCCGTGAGACCCTGCTTTGTAACTGAACTTTGTAACTACCACTACACCATCGCGCAATGGTTCCACGGTGTCAACTAGCCCTAATATCTTTGCGGAGAGAGACCCCATTGCCGCTCAAATCTTAGCAAATAGTAAAAACACTACAGCTACCATAATATTGGAGGTTTGCAGTTGAATTTCTAATATGTTATTCCCCAGCATCGATTCTATCTACTCATCAATTTTCTGGGCAATCGGTGTCCGTAAATCTGTGTGATTTCCCTTATCAGCTATTTTTGGTGTAACAAGAGCAGATTTGTAGCATTGTAGAATTGTAGAATTGTAGCAGAATTGTAGCAGAATTTCTAGCAAAAATGCAAGCAAACTCGCCCAAAATCCGGATAAAAAACGAAATCTTCTTGTCCTCCCCGTTTCAACCAGCCAACAAATTTGCATTAGTGAAATCAGTGAAATTTTCTACCGTTTCCCTTTAAATGAATATCTTTTGTGGTATAATGAGTGCCTTAACTGAATATCTTTTTGATGTAATGACCGTTTCATCGTGATCGTCGCCTCTCGATTTCTTCCAGACGGGTTTCTAATTTCTTTTTCTTTATATCAAATATTTCCTATTTCCTATTTTTGAACAAATCAGGCTAAATCTTTCTCTCCAAATTTCACATTCCATTCTAGAAAATCCCATTCGATTTTTAGCAATAGCAAAAGCAATCATATGATCTAATGATTTTTCAAGTAATCTAATGATTTTTCAAGTAATTTAATGATTTTTCAAGTAATTTAATCATTTTTCAAGTAATCTAATGACTTTTCAAGTAATCTAATGACTTTTCAAGTAATCTAATGATTTTTCAAGCAATTTAATCATTTTTCAAGCAATTTAATCATTTTTCAAGCAATTTAATCATTTTTCAAGCAATCTAATCATTTCTAAAGCAATCTAATCATTTTTCAAGCAATCTAATGATTTTTCAACCAATCTAATGACTTTTCTAATCATTTTTCAAGCAATCTAATCATTTTTCATTGTGATTTCTCATCTTTTGTCTAGTCGCCGTTGAAAAGAAAAAAAAATGAGCTTCGTGCTTTTTGGTTATCCGCTAAAATTGCCTCCGAATTGTATGCAAAGAATTCTTTTTTGTTTTTTTTTGAAAATGCCCTAAATTGAGAGCACTTTTTATGTGCATGTGAAACGACAATGTTCTGCCTTTTTGAATACTCAATATTGAATAAAGAACCATTTTTTTTAAAGAACTTCAAATCCCTATCGAACACAAATGTTTGCAAAGCTTTAGAACAAAAGCAAAACAGAATTTTTCAACGAATTTCGAGGAATTTCGAGGAATTTCAAGGAATTTCAAGGAATTTCGCTCACGATTTACTCAATTTATTGAATTTATTGGGTTGGTGGAAAAGTTCTTTCCGATTTTTTGGGAGAGTACCTTAAATTTGTCGAATTTTGACGTTTTATAGCTCATCCTAAAGCTGAATTCAAACAAAAAAACGAGAAAAACGAGAAAAACGAAGGAAAATCGCGAAAAGCGGCTGAAAGGCTATTGATCTGAGGGTCGCTGGTTCGACTTCCACCGGTGACAATATTTTTCAAAAATTTTTTGCTAAGATTCTGAAAACGCGTGTCTAGGGATTATTTTTGACGCTGATCACGAAACACATGTTTTTAGCCTAGGTTTCTGCACGGAAAACTAACGAAACGTGAAAACAGCAATTTTTTGGCTCTGCCGTCCTTTACTAAAATAGCTGTAAAAGCTTTTAGAAAAGAGATATCTCAAAACGGTTTTTACCAATCGATCCGTCTTGAATTCAGCTTTACGATGAGCTATAAAACGTCAAAATTCGACAAATTTAAGGTACTCCCCCAAAAAATCGGGAAGGACTTTTCCATCAACCCAATAGTAAATCGTTTACTAAAGATTTACCAAAGGTTTACTAAAGATCTGAATTTATTGGGCATAAAGCCAAGTAAGCCAATGCCAGCATGAATTACAGAAATACAGGTTGAGGGAAAACTATGGAACGACAATTAATGAAAAGTTCTTAATCGTAAATTTTTGCAGTGGGCAACAATTCATAAAATTAAAGAAAAACAAATTAAGTACATTAAGTACAACATAAAAATCTTTAAATCTCAAAATGACCAGCATTTGCAGCAACACATTTCTTCAAGCGATTGGGAAAGTCGTCGATTGCCTTATAGCAATCGACGACTGTGTTATAGCAATCGACGACTGTGTTATAGCAATCGACGACTGTGTTATAGCAGTTGACGACTGTGTTATAGCAGTTGACGACTGCTTTATAGCAATCGACGACTGTGTTATAGCAGTTGACGACTGTGTTATAGCAGTTGACGACTGTGTTATAGCAGTTGACGACTGTGTTATAGCAGTTGACGACTGTGTTATAGCAGTTGACGACTGTGTTATAGCAGTTGACGACTGCTTTATAGCAATCGACGACTGTCTTATAGCAATCGACGACTGTCTTATAGCAATCGACGACTGTCTTATAGCAATCGACGACTGTCTTATAGCAATCGACGACTGTCTTACAGCAATCGACGACTGCCTTACAGCAATCGACGACTGCCTTAGAGCAATCGACGACTGCATTATAGCAATCGACGCTGTGCTGTCTTGGCGCCATTTTCGGAGCAATCCGAGCAACTTTATTTAAAAGTGTAAGGTCAAAGCAAGTCTTGCTGCAAATAGTGTTGCTGTTGCTCCACGTTCTTAAATTGTCGCCATTTTCGAAGCTATCTGAGTTCCTTTTCGCTTGCAGCAAGATCCGAGCTGCTATTCTGTTGCAGTAAGATCAGCCTTTGCTCTAGAATAGAAGCAACAGAATAGCACGTGTTGCTGTGAAAGTCAAGTTTCCATATGTCAGAGAAATCGACTCCCCTGCCTTAACCAAGTCAAAGAGTCGATTGATGTTTGTTTCAAAGACTTGATTTATGTTTGTTTCAAAGAGTCGATTGTTGTTTGAGATTTAGCACAAGCCTTTGTCTTTAGAATGGATCAAATAGAATAATCGAGAGCGTTGAGATCAGGCGAGTTCGATTGCCATTCACCAGGAGTCTGTGCGCTGACATCAACGGTGATCCAATGGAAACGATTCAATCTTCTTAGCGATCTTCTTGAGCCTAGATCCTTTCCTTTCCCTCTTTCCCAGTCCCGAGTCCTTTTTGCTTTTCATATCTAAGCGCTTAATAATAGTTAAAAGCAAATGAAAAAAGAAAAACAACAAAAAACAGCTGATTGCAAAGTTTGTTCCATAATTTTGCCACTCGAGAAGTACAGTCGAGTACAGCCGAGAAATACTAAGACTTCATACTCTTTGTATAATATAATCTTGGTTAAAACGCCAAAAGAACGCCAAAATAGGCTTTATAGCCAAATTCGGGTCTGGCTTCTGATCGGTTCTGATGAACCTAATGATTTTTAGTCAAGCATGTAGCAAAGCCAGGTCTGGTCAAGTTAGGACTTGGCTTCTTACCTTCCGGACCCTGATTTTGCCTAACCGAGGAAAACCAACCCTGCTGGTTTGCAGAACTTCACCCACTACCTGGCTCTATCTTCTGGCCTGATCTGGCTCAGCTTACAAACCCAACAACCAAGTTTTAACATTCCTGGATGTACAAAACTTCTAGACAAACTGTTGAAAGTATGCTTTTTGGTGTACTGGTTTTGGCAAAGTACAACGCAAAGTACAACGCAAAGTACAACGCAAAGTACAACGTAAAGTACAACGCAAAGTACAACGCAAAGTACAACACAAAGTACAACGCAAAGTACAACGCAAAGTACACCTCTCATTGTTCCACAAAACTTTATCCTTTCTCCAACTTTCTATAGCCGGCTGGGTATTATTGGAAAGCTCAATTGCTCGCCAAGATCTCGATGCCAAGACCCATAAAGAGATCTCGATGAAAGAAGACATTTGGTTGTCTTTCACTCAATTCATTCGTATTCAAAGCGTCTTATCTGACACCCTTTTGAGAGGAATGAGTAAAAGAAAGGGAAGTAATTAAGTGAAGAAAAGGGAAAGGAAAAGAGAGAGTCGGCCACACACAGACACAAACCATTTGAGAAGGGTACGACCAATTACAGCATATGTTATGAAAGGGGAAGAAAGGGTTCGCTTACTATTAGAGAAATACTTACTCTGACACGCAATTCAATTCTCATTCAATTTATTCTCACGTTCTTTAAAACTAAGACATCCATCCCCATCCCTGTTCGATTTCCTTTTGTTTTCCGTCTAGGGTTCTTGTGAGTTGAATTGGAATTGAAAGACTTTATTAGAGAGCAAAACAGTAGCTTCTGAATGCTGATTATGCTACAGTAGCTTTTGAATGCTGATTATGCTATAGTAGCTTTTAAAGCTTTCAGAAACGATCTTTTCTTCTCAAAAATAGTGGAATTCAATACGCGAAATGGAATTGAATAGAATTCCACAAAATAGTGGAATTCAATTCAACATTTTTTCGATTCAAGAGTGGAATTCGATTCATTTTCTTAAAAAAAGCAAAAAGAATATACCGAGAGTGAACTCAAAACCGAGCAAAAGATTCTGGAGGATCCACTACACATTCTAGCGGACACACTATCCACTTTGCCATTAGCTCTCTTTAATCAAGAAAGAAGGACTCCGAAAATGCTTAAAATGCCTAAACTTTGATGCCAGATATCTCGCGTTACAGAGCTCCATTGGAAAAAGGAAAAGCATATTCAGAATCAGCCGATTCTATTAATTGGCTCTCATATTAAAAGGCCACCTTGACCTGGTCTTTCCCTAGTTTGTGGGACTCTTTGATCCCTTCTCTTCTCCTCGACAATTCATTTTCCTTTCCTTTTCTCTTTCTTTTCTCTTTCTTTTCTTCACTAAAAGCTTTCCTCCTCCATTATTCTAGCACCTAGCTATTAGAGGGGGAAACCCTTTCAGCAACCAAACAAAACCAAGACATTCATCCCCATCCCTGCTCGATTTCCTTTTGTTTCATTGTCTTTAATCATGGTAAGAAAGAGTTTTGTTTTTATAGATCCTTTATAGATTGTTGCTTTCTAAAAGAATTTGATTAAGGAAAACCGCAAAAAGAAAAACCGGTGATGTTTTCAGCAATATAAAGTACTGGACAATGAAATATTATATTTGAAAAAAAGATCGTCACTTTCGCGCGTCTGTAACTCCCTTGTCTTTGAGTTTAAACTATTAGTGTTATACATTTTCTGAAAGCTCTTTTCAAGGGCTACACAATGGTAATATTAATATTTAGAGAATACGGTAAAGACAAGGGAGTTACAGACGCGCGAAAGTGACGATCATTGTCCAGATGATGATGATTGTCCAGTAGTGTCCCTCCCTTCTCTACAAAAACCTCAAATACATTACTCTTATTGTTAGTTTGAAGGAAGTAAATCATTCAGGCAAAATTGATATTTAAAATTAGCATTTGCTGAATTACAAACACTGGATTACATAAAACCTTAACAGTTCATCGGCCACTTGAAACTTAGATCTCAAACTGACATATTTCTTGTAATCACAAATTGCGATAGATTTTGATTTTGCGATAGATTTTGAATAAGAACAACCCCCTTTTCCAAGCAGTGGCTTAGGAATGATTGATGGCGGAGCACTAGAGAACGGTTCGCTCACACTTGACAACGATCCTGTAAGCCTCAAAGTCTACGATCTCGATCTCGATCAAGGTGAACTCGATGAACAAGACGAAAACCCTATTCGAGTTTGTTTACTCAAGAAAAAATTCAGTTAACTTTCATTTCAGACTCGCTTTGCAAATCCATCTCAATATCTTAGTGCTAGTGTTCTTTTTATCGATTTCTATAGGTATTTCTTTATCCAGCTTGCCATTAGCAATCTTTGTGTGCATTAGATGAAAGCAGTACATCAAGCACTGAAGTAAAGCAGTAAATCAGTGAGAAGTAAATGTTTAGCTTTCAATTTTGGCTTTGATTCTTCATCTATCTTGCATAACCTATTTTGACAAAAATCGATTCAAAAAAAGATTTAAACACTCTTGATATGAAAACTTTGATTTCAGTTATATGCAAAAATAGCTCAGATTTGGCTTGATAGTTGATCAAGCCAAATCTGAGCGCCAACTAGCACAAATAATAACAGTTCTAAGGGTATTTTTAAGTTTAAGTTGTTGGCTTCAAGTTGTTGGCTTCAAGTCGTTGGCTTCAAGTTGTTGGCTTCAAATTGTTGGCCTCAAGTTGTTAGTCAAGTGTTGGTCAGTTGTGGCTTCAAGTCGTTGGCTTCAAGTTGTGGTCAAGTCGTTGGCTTCCAGTTGTTGGCTTCAAGGCGTTGGTTTCAAGTTGTTGGCTTCAAGTCGTTGGCTTCAAGTTGTTGGCTTCAAGTCGTTGGCTTCAAGTTGTTGGCTTCAAGTCGTTGGCTTCAAGTCGTTGGCTTCAAGTTGTTGGCTTCAAGTCGCTGGCTTCAAGTTGTTGGCTTCAAATTGTTGGCCTCAAGTTGTTAGCTTCAAGTCGTTGGCTTCCAGTTGTTGGCTTCAAGTCGTTGGCTTCAAGTTGTTGGCTTCAAGTCGTTGGCTTCAAGTCGTTGGCTTCAAGTCGTTGGCTTCAAGTTGTTGGCTTCAAGTCGTTGGCTTCAAGTTGTTGGCTTCAAGTTGTTGGCTTCAAGTTGTTGGCCATGTCTTGTAATCAAGGACACATCTCTTTTCACCTCAAACATTTCCTCATTCATCAATCCAATCAATTCATTGATCAATTTTCATTATTGTAATGTCAAGGAGAAAAAGAGGAAATGAAAAGATCCATAATGGAGTCTTATCCCTTTTCCTCTTTTCTCTTTTTCTTACGGGTCAATCCGCACCCATCTGGCCAAGATATTGGTTCTCGATTTCTTCTCATAATCTAAAACAAAAAGGTCATACAGTTTTTTTCTTGATTTAGAACTCAATTTGTAACCCATTCTTCAACGGTTATAGTTAAGCAATTCATTCAAATTCTCTTCCATTCTGTGTCAACTTTCGAACTTTCAAAGCTTCAGTAATGATCAAATTTGTCTGCCGCTAACTCTCTTAAACTTCTCCTTGAAAACCAAAAAGCTTTACTTACAATTGTGCATACAAAAATACAAAATTCGATCTTTTATCAACAACAACAATTCTTTGTCTTGTCTAAAAGCCTTGAATTTTTCTTTCTAAATCTTTTCTTTCTTTTCTTTCTTTCTAAATTTCTTTATCATCAATTTTCCTGTTTCTTGAGACAAAATCGGAGTTTTCCTTTGTGATTCAAAGCTCAAAATGTTAACAACAACAGCATACAATAGCTTTTTGCTTAAAACCTTAAAGCTTTCTTTTAAAAATTCTAAAAAACTCGTTGTTTCCGCTAATTTTTCTTGCTAAAACCTCATCAAAATGGTGTTTTTTGATAGTTGATGAGGAATACTTTATACACTCTAGTATCTAGCACTTCTTACTTCAAAATAGGGAAAATTGTAGGCACTATGTGTATCTGAGAGATGCCGAAAGGAGAACTAGGGGAAGGGCGGAGGGGGTGATGGGGCAGGGTCCTAACGGGATTTCCCCTCCCCTCTTTTCCCCTTTTTCCCTTCCTTCTTCTTCCTCTTCTTCCTCCTCTTCTTCTTCCTCTTCTTCCTCTTCTTCTTCTTCTTCTTCTTCTTCTTCCTCTTCTTCTTCTTCTTCGCCTCTCCTTTGCCCATTTCAATTCCCATCCTCTTTTTCTTTTCTTTCAAAAGCGCTCCTTTCCCTTTCTCGACTCGCTAATTCTCTCGCATACACAACAAATATACACATTTATTAGTGGCGCACACTTGTGCCCAAATCTTGTTACTACTGGCTTATCACTCTAGGAAATCCATTTTAAAATCGAAAAGCTTTAGACTTTTACTGGATATTCAGCTCAAAATAGTTAAATAGTTATATTTAGCTCGGTTTTAGTTCAAGTTTAGGACGAGTTTTAGCTCACAAGTCAGCCATAAAATGCTTACCTTTTTGTGGAACCTCTACTGGGAACCTATTTTCGCGACATTTTGATTCACCTTATTACCGTACTTTTAAAAATGTGTTATTTAAAGGCTTGTTGTTTAAAGGCTTGTTGTTTAAAGGCTTGTTGTTTAGGCTTGTTGTTGGCTTGTTTAAAGTTGTTGGCTTAGGCTAATCGTAAGGTTTTTTTAAAAGTTTCAGTTATGCAATGCCTGTCTAACGCTTTTCGAAAAGCTAACACGTTTTCTATCAACGCTAGATGCAAGTTCGGACTCTCCACAATTGACTTAGTAAAATAAGGCGAAAAATACTTGTTTGTGCCTTTTCTTTAGCAGCAATTGCATGGTGATGGCTTTAATTGAATAGTGATGACTTTAATTGAATTTTAGAAAAAAACCAATAGCCTACAATTGAATTGAATGCCCATTGAATTTTAAAGCTTTAAAAAGCGCTCGCATGGGCATATAGCAGATTAAATATTGAAGTTTTCATTTTATTGCATTAAATATTACGTATTGAAGTTTCCTCCACATTTTTTGAGGCTTCTATTGATCCTTGATCCTTCTATTGATCCTTGATCCTTCTATTGATCCTTCTATTGATCCTTTTTCGTTTTGCTTTACAAAAATCTCTTTAGAAATTCATTATTTATAAGAAAATCTCTATTTTGGCTTTTCCCAAATACTTAAAAGGCTTCTAAAATGTTTTCATAGCTTCTAAAACTATGAAAACACCCAGGAATAGCTCCATAAATTCTCACTGACTCTACAAAACCCCTTGATCTCACCGCCTTTCCTCCCGAAACTCATCCATTATTCTCCAAAATTCAGAATTTGATTTGAATTTCTGGTGTTCACGAAATTTGAACTCCTAAATTTTGCGAGAGGCTCACGGAAAAACCAATAAAATGGCTCATTATATTGGTTTTGAAGGAAAAGGAGAAGGAAAAGGAGAAGGAAAAGGAGACCCTCAATATGGCTGAGTCCCAATTTCTCTTCATAATGGTATGCATGAAATTTTTTTTCCTTTTGAGTCAACTTTCCAAGAAAGCCAGGGAGCACAGACAGAGTACAGTCTATTTCCATTTATCAAGCTTGATCCTTGAAAAGCGGTAAATTTATAACTTTTCTGGAAAGCTAGAAGACCGCGACAGATAGCTTGTTTTTCGATAAATAATGCTCCAAGCTTGGGGTAGGTTTGCTTAGGCCGAATACCTTGGATGTTCTATTTGCCAATAGAAAATGCCTGGCTCCTTGAGTCGATTAGTCTAACTTGTTTACTGTGTTTACTGTGTTTTCTTGTTCCAGAAAGTTGAAAACAAAAAGTTCTTCAGCCCTTCTTTTGTGTTTTGCTTTGTAAACCCAGTTTCTTTTATTCGAAACTCAAAGAAACTCAAAGTTTACGTCAGTGCTTTGCCGTTTTCATCACTTTATCACTTCAGCAGTTTCTCAAAAGCGATTTTTAATAATTTGATTGTTTGTTATTTAGGTATAGTGTCGATTTTGCTTTTTTTTTGACCAATTGACGTTAACTGAATTCAGCTAAACGCTCAATTCCTTTCTTGTTAACCTTGCTTTTTGTTTGTTTCTTGTTTGTTTCTTGTTTGTTTCTTGTAGTGAATCTTGTTTTGAATTGCTTCTTGAAGCTGCTTCTTATAAATTCAACTTTATTTAGAAGTTAGAGTTTGATAATTACAGAAAAATGTGAGATAGTGCTTGCAAATGAGCAAGCTTCCTAAAGCTTAGCAAGCTTCCTAAAGCTTAGCAAGCTTACTCGTGCTTAATTTTTGAACTCTTCCGTTTTTCTAATTAGCTTTTCTAATTCCGCAGGCACCGGATATCATGAAATTGTTATGAAAGTGACTTTTATTAAATCGTAGATCTGTTGACATCTTCAATCCAGTAGATAGCTTCAATCCAGCTCAAGAAAGGATTTCACCGAATGCAGATTCACTGAAAGAATATGGGGACAAGAAATAGAAGGGGAAAGCCCGCGGCTGTCGGCATCAAGCCGCAGAGAAAAAGGGGAAAATGAAAGGAAATGGGGAAAAGAGTCAAAGAGATGCCAACAGCATTTCTGTGGGAAAAGAAAAAGAAAAAGAAAGGGAAGGGAAGGGAAGGGAAAAGTGAGTGAGACTCTATGGGAATTTGGTGGGAAAAGGGACTTCTCCTCCCTCCCATCAGCCACCTTCTTGAGCCGGGGCAGAGGCGGAGGGTGGGACCAAACTCGCCGACAGAATCATTTCCCCCACCACGCGCCTTTTCTCACCCGCCTCTATCTTTTCATGGATTTTTGTTTTTTTGAAAGTTTTATGTTATTTTCTTGCCGTTTTCTGTTTTCTTAGGGATTTTGGTTATTTTTACACTAGCTGTTTAGCTGACTATTAGTCGTTCGGTCGTTGGAGTCGTTCGGTCGTTGGAAATCGGTCGTATCGTTGGCTATCTGTTTCGATTCGATTAGATCTGTTTAAAATCAGCTTTAAGATTGATTTCTGGTGATAAAACTCTTTAATTGAAACAGTTTTTCAAATTTCTAAACTCTAATAAGTAGTTCTTATTGAAAAAAAAGCCGAAAAATGAAATTATTCAGTTGTTCAGCTAAATCCTTCTTACTTTTTCCTAAGAATTGCTAGCTTTTGGCCATTCAAACTTTCACATTTGCATATTTTCTTTGAAGTTTTTAGAGTTTTGATTAGAGTTTCATAGAGTTTTTGATTTTTAAGTGATAAAAGCGATTTTTAAGTGATAAAAGCGATTTTTAAGTGATAAGAGCGATTTTTAAGCGATAAGAGCGATTTTTTAAGTGATAAGAGCGATTTTTAAGTGACAACAGCCATTTTTAAGTGATAAGAGCGATTTTTAAGCGATAAAAGCGATTTTTTAAGTGATAAAAGCGATTTTTTAGCAACCAATTTCAATTCAAGTTTTTTTAGCGCAAAAATATAGTCGAATAGCTTTGTATTTGTGTCAGAAAGTCAGTCATTGTTGAGTAATTGATTTAAAGATTATTATCTCTTTCAAATTGTTTCTCTCTTACCATTTCCCTAACTCCAAAAATTGTCTCTTCTCATTACACGGTCGCGTGCTTTTTCCATCAGAAAAAAGAGAGTAGTCTATTGCCAAAAACTCGAGGGGAAATTGCTTTTTTTGGTGAGCGCGAGTGAATTCATTTTTGATTGTCCCTTAGCGAGAAAAAGAAAGAAATTTTGTTGAAATTAGCTTTTGTTGAAAAATGAGAATACATAAGTGAATCATTTCATTCTTCGTTTCAATACGGTTGCAATACGGTTCCTATTTTGATCTAGTACGGTTCCAATACGGTTCCAATACGGTTCCTTTTTCGTTCAATCATCACTAATCTGTTTTTATCGAGTTGTCAGTGGCTCAAGAATAGTTTTGTGCTATCATTATGGTTTACAGGGTTGAGCAAAATTGCAAACATGATTACCAAACGTGATCACCGTTTGCTTTAATAGTAGTGCACCCTGAGCTTCGCCTAAATTCCTCGAAATCTCGAGAAGCCCCAGAACACAGTCAAACTTTGCTGGAGTACCTATTTTGGTCACTTTGTGTAGGTCTTTGTATAGGTACTGTCACTTTGTGCAAAATTTTATCCTACTCAAAACAGAGCAGCCCACTTTCGACTTTTCAGATTACCGTTTTCTCTCTAATAGTAGTGCACCCTGAGCGTCGCCTAAATTCCTCGAAATCTCGAAAAGCGCTTATCAGAACCTATCGATGTGGGGTCGGAAAATGTAGCTGACGATGAGATCTAGAGAGGGATTTGAGTGTTGAGCTTCTGGGAAAACTTTGGAAGCCGTAAAAAAGTCATCAACTCGGCTCACCGGAGTGCACTACTATTAGAGAAAATACGGCATTCTATTTCCTATTTTCTATTTTCTATTATCAATTCTTCTTCAAAACTGGTCCCAATCAAATCTCATCGATCTCCATTTAACTCACACAATTGTATCAAATTTTTACAACATTTTCCCTTTAACGGGTATTTTGTAGTGCTTGCAGACAAAATTTTCAGACAGTCTGCCTCGCTCTTCGATTTTTTTTTACTGCCCAAAGCTCCGTCAAGTATGAAACCCAGTTCCCCCGGCAAGCCCTTATTTTAAGCTTCATTTTGATACTAAATATGGCTAGGTTCTATTTTGTCATTCTTTAGATTTCGATCAATCTTTGGCTCGACTCGATATGAGTTCCAGACTTGATAAACTTAACGAGTCCAGAAAACTTTTAATCTAAAATGATCAAAATCTAAAGAATGACAAAACAGAATCTAGCCATGTTTAGTATCAAAATGAAGCCTAAAATAAGGGCTTGCGGGGGAACTGGGTTTCATGCTTGAAGGAGCTTTGGGCAGTAAAAAAATTGAAGAGCTAGGCAGACTGTCTGAAAATTTTGCCCGGATTCGTTAGCCATTTTTGGTTAAGCAAGTTGAGCCATTTTTGGCGATTTTCTTTGTAATAAATTGTCAGAAAACGTTTTTCGATATTTATTTTATGCTAAAATATTATTTAACACCATTTAATAACATTAAGAACTGTCTTTGAGCGAACTGTCTTACTCAATTTTGAGTTGAAGTCAACTTCTTTTGGTGGCGCAAGGAAAGAAGTGAAAATTGAGTATTTTTCGATGTTTATGTCATACGTGTTCCTTATATTAGTGCTATAAATTGATTGAAAATAATTTTTAAACAAAATGCCACAAATTTGGCCAAAAAGAAACTCTTTCTGATTGAAGAATTTTATGATGAAAATCGCCAAAAATGGCAGCGTGCCAGAGAGGGATCAACTCATTGAAGGGCTTGTAAAATGAGTTGTATATCTCCAATCGGGAAACTTTTAATAGATAAATGTAGCCAAGATTAAGGGCTTCAATATTTTATATAGCAATTGGCATATTAGGGTTGAACTTCGTGTTTGGGAGAAGTCATACTGAGCACCCGGTAAGGAGTACCAAAAAGAAGTCATGCTGAACACTCTGTATTATTTCTATACTTTACCTATATGCTTTTTTTGTGTTCTTGACGTTCCTATCATCTCAGTTTCCTAACTAGAAGCATTTTCTATCATTTTCTATCATTTTCTATCATTTTCAGATACCATCCCGTTGAGTGAGCATCGTGGGACGGGCCGGGGGCGAGGAGCCCCTCAGCCCTTCCCTTTCTATGGATGGACGGTTATCGGCGTACTTCTAACAATTGGCTTTACCCAAGCTTCTAAAAGACCCCATCATCCACATATCGAGGTTTGGGGAAATTTACGAGATCTTTTACTAGATTTACTAGAGGTTTTTGTTTCGTTTTTTCTCTATCTCAAAAATGATGACCCTCGGGAGCAATAGTGCCTCTTTTGCTGAAGATTTAAAAGAGATGTTAAGCGATGTTAAGCGATGTAAAAGATCTTCAACAACAAAATTTCGATGAAAGACTCAAATGCCCCATTTCTTTTTCTCAAAAGCTTGGCCCTTGGGGAGAAAAAAAAAGGCGTCGAGCTGGAAACATGGGCTCAATATTGGAAAGGAAGGGAAAGGGAAAGGGAAAGGGAAAGAGAAAGAGAAAGAGAAAGAGAGAAAGAGAAGAAGAAAGAGAAAGAGAAAGAGAAAGAGAAAGAGAAAGAGACCTTTTCCGTTTACTCTATTTTAACGGGTGACTGGGTGTGGAAAATTGCTTCTCTTGTAGATGCTTGAGAATAGGTACGATTAAAATGATTGTAGTAGCAGCAGAGTGGTAGTGCTAGTAAATGATGATAGTAGCAGATTGATACAATGTAATTTTCAATATGAGAACAATAACAGTAACCCGTAAAACTTCGCATTTAACAGGTTGGTAGAAGCAGGGACATTTAAATTGACCTTAATTGAGCTAATTGAGCCATAGGACATTAAGCCAAATGATGTCTAACCAAAGCTCAGCCAGATCCCAGCTCAAGCCTGGCTTTCGTCAAGTCCAGAGACTTCAAGTCAAGCCAAATCTGCAGCTAATCTGCAGCTAAGCTAAGCCAAGTCAGGCTATTAGGTTGAGTACTGTTGGTATGCTATCTTCATTGACCATTTTAGAAACGGTGAATCGACCAAAAAACAAACGGTTTCTTTTATCGAAAAGCCCTATCTTTTTTCTACAAAATGCTTCTCAAGTTTTTTAAAAAGCGCTTGTTTCGAATGATTTCAAGAGGCGAAAAGACATCGTCAAAAAAGAAAAAGACGAGTTTTCATCGAACGATCTTTTAACGATTCATTTTAAATGCTAATCTTATTATTGGGTTGGGGAGAATGAGTCGGCGCCGAAAATGAAAAAAATGTCTAAAACTTCTATTCGACTTCGTCAAATAATATGCGTTTGATATGAGTAGAATGGTTAACTAATTCTCTACAAAATGACATTTAAAAGAAAATTCAAACAGCGCCTCCGCTCAAGAAAAAGCCATTTTTTCACAAAAACTACAAACTGTGATCTAGAAAAAACCATTGGTGGGATCTTCCTGCAAATTTGGCAACTTAAGTAATTGAATGTGCTCTATCTTTTTTATATAAACACCAAAGAAGGTTTATGTGAAAGAAACTGTTCAAATGATGAGTCGGACTCTTTGCCATTTTAACCAGCTGCGTTTGGAAGTTCATAAACTCCACGAAAGAAAAGCTTTGTGGAATCTCTCAAAAGTGATTTTGTAGAGAAATAGTGGATCCTTTTGATGAAACTAAACGTATGTTTAAAGAAGGCTTTATGTGTGCAAAAAGTCCCTTTAAAGTTTGGCGCCGACTCATTCTCCCCAACCCAATAATAACCAATAGTCCCATCTCATGTCAACCAGCAATAACTGAATATTTCTCCATTTTTCTCTATTTCAGGATCCAAATTCGCGTTTCGCGTGCATTGGCTCACTTCTGGCCGATCAACCGGCGTGTCAATGCCGTGAAGATGACGGAGAGCTATCATGTATTAATGCTCAATTCATCGAAACGAGAGTTTTCCTCACCGTCAACAATCATTATAAGTGAGTTGGGGAAAGGAGAAAATAATGGAATAAACAAATAAACAAACAAACAAAAGCAGACTTATCAAACCTTTATACTTTGTACTCAAAAATGCACTAAACGCTCTCTTTCTGATGCACTAAATGCTTTACAAAGCTTTTTGAGCGGAAAGACAAATTGTTGAGTGCATCAGAAAGGGTGTGTTTCTATTCTTGAGCACAAAGTACATCACTCTATCAATTTCATTTTCCCATCAAATGGAACACAATCTTTTGGGATCTGCTGGAAGGCAATTTGTTGTTTGTTTGGAGGGAAAAAAGACGAGCAACCATGAGATTTCATCGGATTCCCTTGAGGGATCCCCTTTTCCTTTTCTCCCTTTTCCCTTTTCCCCAAATTTTGCGACATTCTTTCTCCCAGCCACCATTTGGTCACAAAATCACAAAGAATATGGCAATCACAAAGAATATGGGAGCTTCTCAAAATATTGTTTGTCAGCATATTGTCAGGAGTTTTTATAATATACAAAATAAACTCTTCAGTAAATTAAGTGTTAAGTCCTATTCTTATTTTGAAATTGTCACTTCTTAAAGAACAAGTCAAGTATAGCGAATAAATGAATGAATTCTGCTGGTAGTTGGGAATACAAAACATGGTCGATGCCGGGATTCGAACCTGCGACCTTTACCGGGCGAACGCTCTACCAATGAGCTCTACCAATCTCTACTAGATAAAAAAGAACCTCTGTGCGCGCACTAGGCGCGTCCCTTTGAGTATTTTAAAAAACGCTGAAACAGATGTCAAATGAAATTTTATGTGGTTGTGCCTTTTAAAAAACTTTTTGCAAAAAATCAAAGTAGATGGTCACTGGCCGGGTCAAACCTGGGTCATGTGAGGCGTGGAACGGGTGTATCCACTGCGTCATGCGTGCAATTTTCATTTTACGCTGAAATTTGCATGGTGGGGTTTTCCAAAACAGGCAACTCGTTTCTGGCAATCATTTTTACAATTTCTGAAGCTGTTCTGCTGGTACTTGGGATACAAAACATGCTCGACGCCGGGGATTCAAACCCGTGATCTTTCGCTTACCGGGCAAACGCTCTACCAATGAGCTACATAGACACGCATCCCATTACCGCCACAGTAGGGCCTTATGCCTTATTCAACCATGTTAACTCTGCCCCTTTTTCGGTCCGTTTGCCGTTGGCAATCTACGAATTTTGCTCGTACCTTGACCGGGTTTTTTTGAAAAACGTTTAGTTTGCTAGGAAATTCGATAGGAAATTTCATTTCGAGTCGAATGAAAGCAAATTCAACGCTTTACAAACAAATCTGGCTAAGATACGAGCAAAATTCGTAGATTGCCAACGCCAAACACACCGAAAAAGAGCAGAGTTAACATGCCTGACTCCGCATAGATTTGCCAAGCTAGAAAAAGTCCTATTGGGATCAGGATCACGCCAAGGCAAGTCAGGCAAGTTTAGAGTTCAGAAAGGAATCAAGTCCAGGCTAAAAGGAATCAAGGAATCAGTCCAGGCTAAAAGGAATCAAGGGATCAAGTCCAGGCTTGGCTTTGCTTCTTCAGAACCATTTTGAGGCTTAATTCTTGTAACATTTCATTTTAAACTTGAACAAAACACAAATCGAATTGTTGTCAATTATTTTTCAACCTTTCCATAATTTAGACACTTATCGAAGATCACATTTCACGGGAACAACTTCCAAGATCTTCCTCAAGGATCCCTTTTTGGTGACGTCATTCACTCATCGCTCACCACGCTGAACATTTCCGCCAATTACATTGTCAATTTGCATTCGGGAGCGTTGAAAGGTAACTGTAGTGTAAAGTGTATTCAGGCGTATGCATAGCTGCAGTTGAATGTAAAAATGAAGGCCGTCAAATGAACCAATTACCTCAGGTGTTCCCAACTTGCGAGTGCTCGACTTGAGCAACAACGAGATCGTGCTGAAAGAGGAGAATGTCGATTTTCTCACGCACACACCGCATCTTACGGAGGTTGGTTCTATTGATTTGATTTGAGGATAAAATGAAAAGTTGTGGGAGAAATAGGTGAAGAAATGGATTAAGAAATAGCTTTTATAGCAATTTATTTTCTATCAACAAGGCTTATAAGTTTCCGAATTTCATCTAAAAGTTTAGACCAATTCAATCCAAGTTCTCATTGTTTGCCTCAATAAACTGAATAGCACCAATCGATTCCCCGACCTCGAAAACCCCCGATACAAATTTACAGTTGAATATCTTCTTTTGGAGCCATCTACAGAACAAAAGAGAAATCCTTCTGTAAATCACTGATGATTTTGTTCTTTGTGAAAAGACTGTGTACAGAGTGTACAATCGCTCACCTTCTGGCACATCCACCCGATAGATATGGGTCCCCTTTTGGAACCGGGAAAAGGAGAAGGAGCGGTGGGTGACCGAGCCAGCCTCGCCGCTCCGGGCACCATCATCCCCAAATTCCCGGATCAAGACCGCCCCAAACCCAGCCGCATCGCCGTCACAAATTCCTCATTCTACCAAACCCCTGCATTACTTAAATAGCAGCTAAATTAGCTAAGAAAGTAGCTAAGAACAATGCTATCTGATCCGAGCCGTTTAAATTGGTTTTTTTGAAAGCTTACGAGATCCAATTTTGCCCTAGAACTGAATAGTGCAATTCTCAAACTGAATGGTGCAATTCCCCGACCCTGAAAACCCCAGGGCACAAATTTTTAACACTAAATCTCATTTGGAAACCATTTATAGAACAAAAGAAAAATCCTAATGTAAATGACTGGCGATGCCCAAGTTTTTGTCTTAAATTTTGCTATATTTTTGCTAAAAATCTCTGTAGACGTTTCAGTGAACATCTCTAGAAACACTTCAAAACTCATGTACAAAATCCAGATCCGCTCAGTCCGATCTAACCGTTTACAAACTACTTTTTATATAGTTTCGTTCTTTAGCTCTACTTGAGGAGAGCTTTCACAGCCACTCTCAATCGAACTCAACAATTCGATCTCATGATGAGAATGTTCAAGCGAGCGAATCTACAAAAGTTACTAGTGAGTTTTTGGATTGCCAAAATTGTCCCGTAAACGATTTGACTTCCTTTCTATTCAGTGACTTTCTATTTCTATCCAGATCCTCGACCTTTCCTACAATTTCCTCGACACGATTCCCTCTCAATTGCCTTGTCCATTTCCATCACTCCAAAAATTGGATCTCCGTCAGAATTTCCTCGAGGATCTCCCCGTGAATGCGTCTTGCTTGAAAAATATGGGATATCTCGATTTGAGCCGGTAAGATGGTTGAACAGTCATTAACAAACCAACTTTAGAAATCAATTCCACCAGCCAAGCAAGGCTCTCCGTCAGTTGCTCGGTCGTCTGCCGGAGAATTCGGTGAATTTTCGGAATTCTTTTCATTGTGATTGCAAGAGTGCTGAATACATTCAATGGATTCGATCAACTAGAGCGGTAACTCAGAAAAAAATGTATTTGATTTGAAAAATCCCCACTTCCAGATCCGCGAAAAAACGACGCTCATCTGCGACAAAGCGAGCCCGAAAAGTCTCCAGGGACGACGACTCACCGATGTGCCTATCAATGAGTGAGTAGCAACAGATCAATATCAATAGATTAATATCAATAGAACAATATCAATAGATCAATATCCAGAGAACAATACCAATAGATCAATATCAATAGGTCAATATCAATAGGTCAATATCAACAGCTCAATATCAACAGCTCAATATCAATAATTCAATATCAACAGCTCAATATCCATAGATCAATATCAATAGACCAATATCAATAGATCAATATCAATAGATCAATATCAATAGATCAATATCAATAAATCAATTCAATAGATCAATATCATTAGATCAAAATCAATAGACCAATATCAGTAAATCAATATCAATAGGTCAATTCAATAGATCAATTCAATAGATCAATATCAACAGCTCAATACCAATAGCTCAATATCAATAGATCAGTATCAATAGATCAATATCAATAGATCAATATCAATAGATCAATATCCATACATCAATATCAATAGACGTCTGGATTCGAACGCATTCCTGCCTTTGCTAAAAGGCGCCTATTCTTAGAAGGCTACTATAGTTAAACCACCAGTTTCTATTTTTTCTATTAACCCAAGATCTCACAAAACTCATTCAGTGATGCAAAAATCTGGCTAGTTGGAAAACTGACGGGTAATTACGGTACTTTCCTGAAATAGGAAACATTCTAGTCATGATTAGCAAACAAAGCTAACTGACAAGGAAATGTCAACCGGGTGTGGTGGTCAAATGACACGAAATATACTATTCGACTTAGAATTTTACGCTGATTCCAAATTTGCTTTCCGTTTCTGCTATGGAGCACTCTGTCAAAAGTTATAAGCGTTTAAAGCTTTGTTAGAATTTTAGAATTGTTAGAATTTCAAAAAGCAAGTCTCGAGCTTAAAAGCAGATTCCCCAGGCACTGAGAAGGGTCGTGTTGGCCGAGTGGAAGTGGGCTTGAATACAAGGCGAGGCCTCTTGGGTTCGAGTCAACTTTTTCTTTTATTAGATATGAATAGTTTAGGTGTTCTTTGCAGGTGCACGATATTGCATGGACTTCATCAGATCGATATACACATCGATATGGCAGATGGTGTGCGAATGTGCGCGCGTACAAAGAACCCCTAAACTATTCAAATCTAATCAGTTATCAAAGAAATCAACTTTGTTACTGTATCTGACAAGGGAATGGTCCAAACTGGCCGAACGATTTCGCCTATCGAGCATGGGGAACACGTAATGACATGAGATCTACTATTCGATTTAGAATTTTAACGCTGATTCCAAATCTGTTTTCTGTTTCTGCTGTGGAACACTCTGTCAAAAGTTATAAGCGTTTAAAGCTTTGTTAGGAATTTCAAAAATCAAGTCTCGAGCTCGTGCTCTGTTTATTTGTTGCCCATTCTCAATGGTTCACAAGAAAAACGCTTGCAAAGTTTGGGGGCCTAGGAAATCGCACCTCGGGAATGTAAAGGCTCTTTCCCTTTTCTTCAAGCGTGGCTGGGATGATGCGTGGCTGGATAGGGGTAAGTGTGCGCGCTCTTAATCTCACTCTTGCTTTTTTGAACCTGGTTTGGAGCGGGTAGCGAAATTGTCCGGCCAGTTCGGACCATTCCCCTTGTTAGGCTAGTGTTGAGTCATTGAAAGCAAATGACAAAACAAACAAACAAACAAACAAACAAACAAACAATCTTCACAAACAATCAATGATCTCTTTTTCCAGACTCGACTGCTCTTTGCCACTTCTCATCAACCCAAACTCATCATCTGCCCATTTCGATTTCACCGAAAAACTTGCCCTTTTCCTATTTCTTTTTTTCTTCAGGGTATTCAATTGAGGTTCTTGCTAATTTCCAAAAAATTTTCAAATCAAAAAGAAACCATTTTGTGATTGTATGAAGGATTTCCTTGTTCTGGTCAGAAAAAAATAAATTTCCAAAAAAGAAACAAAATTTATCACACACGTTGAAATTCGAAGATCTCAAAGAAAATGGCGATATTTTTTCGTTTCATCACCGTTTTTCGAAAACTTTTGTGCATACTTTGTCAATTTCTCTTTCGATTAAGGTAATCAAACGGAAAAACACCCAAAATAGATAGAATTATAATGTTTCCATAGAATTTAAAGAAAGCCCCGACAGAAAACATCTTCGGGGAGCTTCCCGAAAACGCCCATTTCTTTCAGAAGAATGTGACGGCCGAATTGCGGGAGCATCTTGTGGGAAATACTCTGAAATTAGAATTTGCATTGAAAAGTTTGTTTATTTAGTATAATATATGAATCTAGTATGAGTATTAACTAGTATGAGACAAATATATTAGCTGTAGAAGTCAATGGTAGCTGTAGAAGCTGTAGAAACTAGCTGTAGAAGTAAATGGTTAGGAAATTTGGCATAGACCAAGGCTAACAGTTGTCCAAAGATAATTTTGTCATGGAAAGGAGCCAGGTCCTGGCCTTGCCTTGCCTTGCCCTGCCTTGCCTAGTCTGGTCTGGCTTTACAGTCCTTGTGACCACACCTCCAACAACTGTCACCGAGCCTAAAGGCTTAAAGGTTTCAGTACTGAAAAGGTAGCTAATTATCGGGGTAACCTAGGTATGGGATAAACTAGGGTAGACACTTATCTCGACTTTGACTTCAATTTTCTCTGGATTGACTCTTCCAAATAAGTAGTCCAAATTTGACTAATTAGACCGAGCCAATACAAACGCATAGCCTCAATCTTAAACAAAGCTCAAACTACCGTAAACAATCGTCTCAGTAAGCAAAAGTTATTCAGTTATGCGCGTAGCGGCGTAAACCGTAAAGCAATTCATTTTCCTCATTTGCTTACACTGTGTCGTCCAAATTGTTACTTTGTAAAGTAATCTTAAAACATTCTATTAGGTAAATACATAAGAAATGCGGATTTCAACATTTTCAAAAATTTCCAACGATAGAAACCTGATGAATGTTGAATGAATCGATGAATGTTATGAACTATTTGAAAGTTGTAAATCTCCTCTACAAAATAGGCTAAAAAGTATTTCAATTGATCGAAGCATTGAAGAAATTTCGAGGCCGAAATGCGAGTGACCAAAAAAGGAATCGAGTCACTTTAGGGACAAGTTTAGTGTCGTCAAAATAGAGTTAGCTTCCCAAAATTGAAGATTTAAAAAAAGGAGAACTATATATAAAAGGATAACTATAACAATTCATTAAAAAAAGTCTAACGGAAATGCATTTACAGAAATTTATATAGAGCGTAAGTTCAAAACCCTCAAAATTGTCGAAAAACCGGCTTTTTCACAAAAAAGAAAAATTATTGTAAAAGCAAAGTTTTCCCATGAAATGATCCCAACTCTTAATTATTTTGAATGATATTTTTAGGATAATGATTTTAGGGCGCTCATTTTCCACTATATAGTCAAAACCGAACTCTTGTGAAAGTGGGGTTTGACCACACTAAACTTGTCCCTAAAGTGACTCGATTCCTTTTTTTGATCACTCGCATTTCACCCTCGAAATTTCTTCAATGCTTCGATCAATTGAAACACGTTTTAGCCTATTTTGTAGAGAAGATTTACAACTTTCAAATACTTTATAATAGTTTATAACAACATAACATTATAACATTCATCGATATCAGGTTTCTATCGTTGGAATTTTATGACAATGTTGAAATCCGCATTTCTTATGTATTTACCTAATACATTGTCTTCTGTTCTCTCCCTTTCATTGTTTTTTCATTATGGTTTAATTACCCAAGTTTAAGGTGACGATAAACACTTGTTCAACTTGCCAATCTCTGCAACTGGAACTCTAAGCATTCTGATTATTCTAAGCACTTGACCAACTCATTTGATCGAAGCCTACCCAACTATTTGATTGCTCAATAGCATTGTCTTCTGTTCAAGATTGTTCAAGAAAAGCAAGCAGAAAGAGAAAGAAGAGAAAGAAAGAACTTCAAGTGAAGAGAAAGAACTAGCCCTTCCCGAGGCTTATTCAAAGGAGCTTAAATTGGAAGCTGTCAAATACGCGAAGGATTTTTCTATGGATGCAAAGAAATATTGAGTTGATTTGATTGAATGATCATTTGATTGAAGCCTACCCAACTATTTGATTGCTCAAACCGCGCAAGAGTAAGTTACAAGAGCCCTGAAAAACAAAAAGTTCTTTGAACCGGGTCATGAGATTTAAATTTAGACACTTTTTAAGCCAAAGCTAACTTTAGAAAGCTAAAAGTAGTTAGCCGTGCTTTCAAAAGAAAAATTCTCTTGTAAACTAGCAGAGAATTATATCATAGCTTTTCTACAGTAATCGTAGAACAAAGAAAGGATCAATGAACAGGGAAATAAACCAATTTTTAAAAATCTGATTTACCTGAAATTATTTACCTGAATGTATGTAGGCAGTCCCATCAACATCATGAATCTTTCAAAAGCTTTCGCCTCGGAACCGAGCTTCTTTTTCAAATGCTGAAATTGAGTTGATAAAACATTACGTTTAGCTTTATCTTTTAATATGCTTTAAATTATAAGCTTTATAATGAAGATTTAAAGATTCAACAAGAACAAGAACAAGAACAAGAACAAGAACAAGAACAAGAACAAGAACAAGAACAAGAACAAGAACAAGAACAAGAACAAGAACAAGAACAAGAACAAGAACAAGAACAAGAACAAGAACAAGAACAAGAACAAGAACAAGAACAAGAACAAGAACAAGAACAAGAACAAGAACAAGAACAAGAACAAGAACAAGAACAAGAACAAGAACAAGAACAAGAACAAGAACAAGAACAAGAACAAGAACAAGAACAAGAACAAGAACAAGAACAAGAACAAGAACAAGAACAAGAACAAGAACAAGAACAAGAACAAGAACAAGAACAAGAACAAGAACAAGAACAAGAACAAGAACAAGAACAAGAACAACAGCAACAAACCTGAAATAGCAGTTGACTGTATTTGGCGTGAGCGTTTTTCGAGATCTCAGCACTCTGATCGGAGAAACCCATTGCTGAAATTGAAAGCTGTAATTGTAATTGAAATTTCAGTTAACATAATTGGAAAATTATTACCTGACGAAAAAATGATGATATTTTTTAATAAAACGTATTCTTCGTCCTCGATTTCGGCTCTTTTCATACAGGGAATGATCCGTTTCAGACCGTACTCCAAAATCAAGCCAAATGAAGCTTTCATTCTAAAGTTTGTCTTCTATTTTTTAATTCTAAATCTTCTAATTCTTCTAATTCTAATAAAGTTTCTAATTCTAAACTTTTCTCTAAAAAGTTTTGTTAAAAATAGGCAAGGCAACGGTAAAACTGTCATTATTCATAAATGAAACGCCTTTTTTAAACCAAAATTTTAAACATAAATGAATCGCCTTTTTAAACCAAATCACTTTCTAAATGGTGTGTAAAGCTACCGCAATTCTGTCATCTATTTGGAGCTTATAATAGCTAAAGCTACGAACTGCTGTACTCCTCATCTTAACCAATTCATTCGTACTATTGCGCTTAAATAAAGGCTCACACTTTCCTAAATGTAGCCAGGATTGCGCTAGGATTACGATAGCTTTTGCCGAAGCTACACTTTTTAGAAAACGCTTACAATTGCTGAAAAGAAAGTAAAGTTAGTGCTAAAAGTTAGTGCTTTATAATATCTAGCATGCTTGGGGTAGCATTTTAGCGATCATTTAAAAACAAACTCTTTGAAATGTTCAATGTCCTCTGGAGCAATTCTCGATCCAAGTACCATCAACATTCCGTGAAACTTGTGCTTGTACGTGTAATAATAATCGGTGAAAAGAACTTGAGGTAAATATTGGCGACAACAGAGAAGCTCCTGAAAAGAAAACCAATAAAATGAACCAATAAAAAACCAATGAAATGAACCAATGAAAAACCAATGAAATACCGAAGCTGTTTTCCTACCTTGTCTTCTTGATCGAGGTACCAGAACTCGGGAATCGCTCGAATCCAATCCAAAACAAGGACGGCGGCTCGGGCAATGCGTCGACCCGATAATTGGAGAGTGCAATGATAGGGAATATGAGCACTTCCATAGAGATCGAAACCGATCTGGAAAAGCTCAAAATGTGGGAAAACTAGATTGTTTCTAGATTGTTTATTGTTTGTTCTTGTGCTAAAAGTGTATCACTCTTAAAATCGAAAAGATCAGGTGAGGATTTCATGTAAAATCTACGAATTAGCCGAGTCGAATTAGCCGAATTAGCCGAGTTTAAAGCGTCATAGTGTCATAGATTATGAGCAATCTAGAAAGAGTGTTTTTCAGTGTGCCAGAAAGAGTGTGTTTCAAAGGTCCGGTATCACCACAAAGGCCCAGTTTATCACCAAACTGTTTTAGCTTAAAACACGGTTTTAAAGCTTTTGGCTAAAACACTATTTGAAGCCATTCGCTAAAACGCCACTCCCTAAAACACCGTTTTAACTAAAACAGTGTTTTAGTTTCTTAAACAATCTTAAACAATTTCTTAAAACACCGTTTTAGGGCCAAAAACACTGATTTATAGTTTAAAAAACCCGTTTCACCATCTAAAACATCTAAATCATTAGCATATTAGATAAGCGTTTGAAAAGAAAGTCGCTTTTCAAACTCTTTATTCGCTTATTCATTATTTGCTCAGCCTTTTCTTTGCAATTTATTCACTTATTGCGTCATTTAATTGTTTTTTTTAGGATGTCTTCAATTGAAGAAGATTTTGGATCACCAAGTGAAAAGAAGTATCGACAGCGAACAAAAAACTTCTCTGAGATCGCTCTTGAGCGCATTTTTGACGCCACTAACTAGAAAGGATGGAACTAACTGCAAAAAGGAGGATCTAAAGTTGGAAAGAAATCGCGGAAAATGGTACTCGAGACGATTTTGCGCAAATTGACGGAACTTGGTGAAGAAGACGAGAAAAAGGAGGATCACGAGGAAAACGAGGATCACGAGGAAAACGAGGATCACGAGGAAGACGAGGATCACGAGGAAAACGAGGATCACGAGGAAAAATGAGGATCACGAGGAGAAACGAGAATTTTAACGCGCGTCAAGGCAAGAGTGAATGCTTTCTTATTTACTTATATTGTTACTATGTTTATGAATAAAGTTTTGAGGCTATTCTTTCGGATTTTTGGAAATGACTGGAATTGACTTTCTTGATTCTAAAGTAAGATTGATTTGCGCTTTTCCGCTAAAACACTTCGAAAGCGAAGCCCCTGAAGTTTTTAGCTTTTCCCTTATGATGCTAAAACATTGTTTTAACAAAACAAATAAAACAGTGTTTTAAAATGGTGGTGAAATGGCGTTTTAGCTAAAACACCTCAACTAAAACGGTGTTTTAGAGGCGTAAACACCTCTTAAAACAGTGTGGTGAAATGGTGTTTTAAGGTAAAACAGTGTGGTGATACCGGGCCCAGAAGGGCTTGTTCTTTAGGCTGAAAACTCCCAAATTCAAACCACTCACCGGAACTCTTTTACAGACCAATCCCGGATTGAGAAGAGCTTTTGAGATCGGTACGTGCAGATCGATATCAAAGCCATAATTCACACTCACTGTTTGCTCATCGTTTAGCAAAAGTCTAAATGATTTTTGAGTTCAAAAAACGAATGAAAATTCACTTTTCCAAATGCACGAGACATTTCGCGAATTGAATTTTCTCGTTCATGATCATTGGTGTGGGCAAACCCATGGCGACAAGTTGGAGTTCTCTCTGAAACAATCAGACATTCTGCATCAATCATACATATATATCCAGATAATAGCTAAAGAATCAAATTAAATAATATTAATCAAGAACCAACCAAAAAAAAACGAAAGCACCCACAATTGGGCACCAAAGAGGAAAGAAAAAACAAAATTGGTCAATTTCCGAAATTCCACACCAACTATTTTCACTTATTATTAACACAGGGTCCTTACAAAGGTAAAATGCCCGAGCCGCCCTTTTTCACCCCCTCAGGAAAAAAAAAGACATTTTAAACCTTTTAACATTTGAAAAAAATCTTTCGAGAAAAAACCGTCATGGATTTTTTTTTAAGTGAAAATGAGTTTGCATCAACCTAATATAATTGATTCGAGCAGGTCTATTTTGCAAAAACTTTTCCGAACGCCAACGAACTGCCAACTTTAAAGCATGCCTCAGCTACCGCAACACTGATCTCTTTGTCCCAATTGGGCTATTGTAACAAACTTAGCTACATAACGGCCATCACGGTATCACGGTAGTCAAGCCATGTCAAGCCATTTAAAACGCTTACCCATGTCAATGGTTGGAAGTAGACATTGGTACAAACTACAAAGCTATAAACTACAAACCTAAACTACAAACGCTTCTAACTTGCTTCAAATCTGCCGAATTGACATGATCTATAGCTCAAAAAATCGAGAATCTCAAGAACTTTTGAATCGACTAAAGTACACCCAAAAATATCAGTGCTACTGAAAGTTATAGTGGTTTGAAGCCTGACTCGATCGCTTCGACTACGCGTGAGTACAGTCCGTTTCGACTACAAACCACTGTAACTTTTTAACATTAATATTTTTGGGTGTACTTTAGTCGATTCGAAAGATTCTTGATTTTTTGAGCTATAGATCATGTAAATCCGACAGATTTGAAATTAATTAGAAGCGTTTGCAGTTTACGTTCGTAGCTTGTAGTGCCCATGTCGACAAAGTTACACTGGTTTATAGCCCGACTCGAAACGGGGCGCGTAGTCGAAGCGATCGAGTCAGGCTATAAACCACTGTAAATTTCTTTAGCCTTGATATTTTTGGGTGTGCTTTAGTCAATTCGAAAGCTCTTGAGATTCTCTATTTTTGGAGCTATAGATCATGTTAATCCGACAGATTTGAAGCAAGTTAGAGGCGTTTGTAGTGTGACAGTTCGTCTCATTTTTGTAGTTTATCGTGTAGCTGAGAATTGAGAGTCTAGTTTTTTTTGTTACTAACCACTTAATGAGGGTGGTACTATTTTTGATCCATCGTTAACTCAATTTAATTCCAAATCATCCATCAGGCTTTCAAGAGAAAGTCAAAATCTCATAAAATCAAAACCATACCACATCCGGTCCGGGACTCGAACTTGTGCACGGTTTCTCCACATCCATAATAATATCCGGCAAATCCACACTCTCAAATCGCAATTTCGTCCTTCCATTTCCGACATCGGAACGCCTTTCGCGAAGATTACAACCAGAGCGACGAGCAGTGACTGAATTTGTGAGTTTATGAGAATTTAGAGTTCAATCCCCTCGAGAATCTTTCTTTACCATGCCTTATTTCACTTTATTACTAATGCCTGTGTTTTCTGATCTTCAAGTAGGGCGGGAGCTCACGATTGGAAAGAGCCGGGTATTTCCTTCTCTTTCTTCCTTTCTCTTTCTTCCTTTCTCTTCCCCTTTGTATTCTTCTTTCTATATTCCTCTTTCTTCTCTGGCAAGAAGATACCGGAAAGCTCAGTGGTTAGAGCCTGGAAGAAGAGCAATTGCCTGGAAAGCAAAAGGGTTCAATCAAAGGTCAAGGGTTCAATCCCCTCTTCGGAAAACTTTTTTTGCCAATTCCTTCACTTCTTTATTACTGCTAGGCCTAGCCTATACCTAGGCCCGGAAGCTCTCCCTGGGCCAAACTGGCTTTCATTCTAAGACTCTGTTGGAATCCCCCTGGTCAGGGTTATGAATGGAGTACCAGAAACAAATCAAAGGTTTTCTAGATCTTGAAATCTTGACGTTTATGGTCAATGGTAAAAGACTCATCAAGGAGTCGGAAGATATTCTGATTGATTGACTGAATCGGAAGATATTGGAAGATAAATCCACCCACTTTCCGGGATCATTCCCATCTCGATGCACTTCTCGTAGCGACAAAATTTACATTTCGCTTTCCCTGAAAGTCTTTTATAATTGCTCCCAATTTTTGCCTTTACCTCGACCACGAAAGTCTTGCTTTGGACATATTCGATTGTTTTGACAATTTGGAATCGGCGTGTCCAATGTGGTGATGCGAAGGAAGAAAACTTTGCAGCTTCTGAAAATAAAGATTCGAAGATGATTTCTTTGCTTTCTTTTGCTCTTAGAATCGAAAAATATGGTCTATCTTTTGATTTTCAAAAAAAAAAAAAAACTATTGGGTTGGTAAATTGAAAACCGCGGGACTTTGAACTAAAATTTATTGAACATAAAACCATGAATTCATTCGAAATAATTTGCATTATTATTGACGACTTCTGCCCATTTTACAGGCAATTTGCGGATTCCTCTTTCGTAGTAGGATTTTGGTTTGTGTGTGAGACAAGTGTGAGACTCAAAAATGGAGGACTGGAGATGTCCGATAGAGGGTTTGAGCACTTTCTTCAAAAGAAACCCATTTTGGTGTCAATAGAAAAGTTGTAGAGAATCAAAAATTAGGCTTATATCCAAATTTCCAAAAAGATACACTTAGTAGTTTCGCTTAAAATGCAAGTTTTGTGAAAATCCGTAAATTTGGCATTTCTTGAAAACCAGTTTTTGAATCGTTCTGAAAATTTGGCTATAAGCCTAATTTTTGATTCTCTACAACTTTTCCATTGACACCAAAATGGGTTTCTTTTGAAGAAAGTGCTCAAACTGTCACATATGACAATAGCCCGCAGTTTTCAATTCACCAACCCAATACAAGCATAAATATTACATTAGCTAAATATTAGCTTAACAGCTAAAACTTGGTTATGGTTTTATCAAAGTAACATGCTTTCAATTGCTATTGTTATTAATTGAATAGCTAGATGAATTAGACAAAATCATTAGCACTCTATAAGAAAAGTGTAAATATCTAATAAAAAATGGGGAATTTTATAAAACTAACGAGCAAGCTGTTGATCCATAGCAATGGAAAGCTGGCGTGGCACCGCAAACGAGACACGATTGAGCCTCATTCTTTGATTGCTCGTTCAACTCTATCACATTTGTTGAGTTCATCACGAATTTACATACCTTTATCGACAAGAATTCTGAAATTTTAGATTTCTAAAAAATATTTGAAAGAAAGCAATTGAAAGATTGAAAAGCAATTGAAAGAAAGCAAAAAGTGAAAAGTTTAAAGGCAATAGCTTTAGTTTGAAAAGTGCAAAGAAAAAACAAAGAAAAAACAAAAAAAAACTTCTTAAGACGTTTCTTAAAAAGTTTTTCAGAATTTACACAAAATTTTTGAAGCCAAATCGTTCAAAAAAAGCCTATTTCTTGTTTGTATAGTTGAAAAAGAAATCGATTTTGGAGACTAGAGTTTTATTTTTTGAATCCAGTCGATGTGTTTTGATGCCACGCGAAATTTGGATCTCTGAGAATTCTTTTTGAAATTCTAGCTTTTGGCAGATATAATTTTCCTATCATTAGATAAAGGTTCAATCTACCAGCTAGTAAACGTTTGTATAGGGTTGGGGAGAATGGGTCGGCGCCGAAAATGAAAAAAGTGTAAAACTTCATTCGACCGCAAATAATATCGTTTGATATGAGTAGAATGGTTAACTAATTCTCTACAAAATGACATTTAAAAGAAAATTCAAACAGCGCCTCCGCTCAAGAAAAAGCCATTTTTTCACAAAAACTACAAACTGTGATCTAGAAAAAACCATTGGTGGGATCTTCCTGCAAATTGGCAACAAGATTGAATGTGCTCTATCTTATATAAACACCAAAGAGGTTTATGTGAAAGAAACTGTTCAAATGATGAGTCGGACTCTTTGCCATTTTAACAGTGCGTTTGGAAGCCAAAACTCCACGAAAGAAAAGCTTTGTGGAGTCTCTCAAAAGGATTTTGTAGGAAATAGTGGATCCTTTTGTGAACCAAACGTATGTTTAGGGCTTTATGTGCAAAGTCCCTTTAAAGTTTGGGGATATTCTCCCAACCCAATAAAACAATGCAAACAATGTAAATCACAAATTGATGGATTCGTTTTTAAGAAATTCCATTCAAACTTTTTCCGAGAACTTCCTTTCCAACCAAATAAATGAATTTCAAGTCTAAATTACTATAAAATGCTGTGTTTAAAGAAAGGAAATAAGTCAAATAAGAAAGGGAAATCTATGGAATGCAGAAGAATCAGTACTCCAGCAATTTTAGAGTCCTGACAAGTCTATAAAGCTAATCCGGTCTTGTTTTTATGCTATTTCTTCATTTTATCCTATTTTCTAAATCCCTACTTTTATATAATAATGATCTGTTTTAAATTAAGACAGTATGAAATGAAAGAAAAGTTAACAAATAAGTACCCGAACAAAGAAGTACCCGAACAAAGAAGTACCCGAACAAAGAAGTACCCGAACAAAGAAGTACCCGAACAAAGAAGTACCCGAACAAAGAAGTACCCGAAAAAGAAGTACCCGAACAAAGAAGTACCCGAACAAACAAGCCGAAACAAGTACCCGAACAAACAAGTACCCGAACAAACAAGTACCCGAACAAACAAGTACCCGAACAAACAAGTACCCGAACAAAGTACCCGAACAAACAAGTACCCGAACAAACAAGTACCCGAACAAACAAGTACCCGAACAAACAAGTACCCGAACAACAAGACCCGACAAACGTACCCGAACAACAGTACCCGAACAAACAAGACCCGAACAACAAGCCCGAACAAACAAGCCCGAACAAACAAGTACCCGAACCAACAAGTACCCGAACAAACAAGTACCCGAACAAACAAGTACCCGAACAAACAAGTACCCGAAAAATCAACTTCCAGCTTAATCCAAAAACTTTTAAGTCTCTAAAATTTCCCCGATTTTCAAAATTAACAAAATTAAACAAAGATGACATAACAATAACGCAACAAATAGGTAACACTTAACTTAACAACATTACTGGCACGGATAAGTTTTAATAGTCGAAAAGTTCTTGAGCGAAAGACAAGTCAAAGCAGCCATTTGTTGAGATTTTTCCCGAAAAGTACCCGAAAAATCATCTTCCAGCTTAATCCAAAAACTTTTAAGTCTCTAAAAGTTGCATGAAAACAAGATTTTTAAAATATTAATAACATACTAAATATTGAGTTGAGTCAATAGAAAAGTTGTAGAGAATCAAAAATACTCAACTACTCGAAAGTCTATCAAGAAATTTTTCTCTAAACCATCTCTTTCTCACACGAACATTCACGAAACACATTTCATCTCGACCACAACACTCCAAAATTCATACTTTCAAAGTTTTACTATACCTATCCGGAAGCGCAAGGGAACACTATTGTCATAATGCCTAAAAAGGATAAAAAAAAAGAAATGATTGGTGATTGAACATAAAGGATTAGCAAAAAAGTGCTTTAATAAGAATAATTGAAGTATTCTGAATCAATGCTTTTGCTTTGAATTTTGCTTAAAACTTTTAAAAGCTATTGGGTTGGTGAATTGAAAACTGCGGGATTTTGAACTAAAATTTATTCAACATAAAACCATGAATTCATTCCAAATATTTGCTATTATTATTGACGACTTTTGCCCATTTTACAGGCAATTTGCGGATTCCTCTTTCGTAGTAGGATTTTGGTTTGTGTGTGAGACAAGTGTGAGACTCAAAAATCGAGGACTGGAGATGTCCGATAGAGGGTTTGAGCACTTTCTTCAAAAGAAACCCATTTTGGTGTCAATAGAAAAGTTGTAGAGAATCAAAAATTAGGCTTATAGCCAAATTTCCAAAAAGATACACTTAGTAGTATCGCTTAAATTGCAAGTTTTGTGAAAATTCGTAAATTTCGCATTTCTTGAAAACGAGTTTTTGAATCGTTCTGAAAATTTGGATATAAGCTTGATTTTTGATTCTCTACAACTTTTTCATTGACACCAAAATGGGTTTCTTTTGAAGAAAGTGCTCAAACTGTCACATATGACAAGAGCCGGAAGTTTTCAATTCACCAACCCAATAACAATCTATTTATTAAATATTAATAAAATTTGGAAGAAAAGTTTATACAAATCTGAGAAGCTCAGCGCTCAAAAAGTCCAAGCGGATTTTCGAATCGGGTTTTGAAAATGAAAAAGTTCACTCAACAAATTGGTTCGTCCAGATTCAATAACAGATATGAATGGCAAATAACAAAAGGCAAATAATACATTCTAGTCCTTAAAATTTAATCTTCAAAGAAAAAAAAAGAAAAAATAAATCTCTGCCAATAGAGCTTCTATATTAACAAGGAAGTTAGTTAAATGAACTTTCATTTTGAGAAAAAAATGGATAATCTGTGAGATTTGGAGTGAAAAAAACGGGGAAAAGCCGTGAAATGACTGCGGAAAAACGTCGATACTGTGCTCTAGCCAGCAAAAAAAAAGAGAAAAATGGGGGAAATTGGGATCGACGAGAACAAAAAGGGGGGAAACACTGTGTACATAGAAAACTTTCACGAATGGGAAAAGAAAATGGCATGTGCAATGATGGCTACTTGGATGTACTAAATTGTGTCTCTAGACTTGGCAAATTGCTATTGAACGCTATGTACATAACTGTTCTCTAGTGAGTAGCAGGCGAGGAGTATAGCGGTTATCTCGCACGTCGCTTATGACCAGGAATCTTACAAAGCCGGTTCTTTTGCTCCAGGCTGGCTCTTGGCCTATCGTTAGCCTGACCGTTGTCCAAAAAATACCCAGACAAGAACACACAAGCCTGCTTTAGACCTAATCCAACCTGATCCAAAAAAAGATATTCAAGTCTAGACCCTGACCCTGGCCTAGATTATCGGTGTTTCAGGCTTTCTGAAATGTTATCAGACATTTGATACGCGCCTCTCCCCTTTTGCCATTGGCAATCTAACTTTGAGCTCAAATATCTTGGTATTGGGTTGTCCAATTTGAACATTCTTGGTATCATTAGATGAGCCAAGTCTTTCTTTGTCGCTTGGTACAAACACTATTTAAATTGAACAACCCAACACCAAGAAATTTGAGCCCAAAGTTAGATTGCCAATGGCAAAAGGGGCGGGCACGTATCAAATGCCTCACAATCTTTCTGGAACGTTCAGTTTTAGAGCGCAAAATGCTATATTTTATTTGTGACTTTTTTTTACCATTTTACATGCAAGCAAGACTTTGGGCAGTATTTCCGGTTAACCAGAAAAGTGAAAAAGTTCCAACTGGTGTCTCAAGCCATCATTATCCTAATTCCATTTAGTCCCAAGCCATCATTATCCAAGATACTTTAAAAATTTAAAACTTCTTTCTACCAATGTAGTTTATATGCAAGTTTTTTGAAATTTCTGATGATGAGAGCAAAAAAAGCAAAAAGCAAAAAAAGCAAAAAAGTCACCAAAATCGATTCTTAAACAAAACGAAATCTGGTTCAGAGAAAAGATTTAAAAAATTGGCGAACAAAAGCCGGCAATCGATGCACTTAGACAGACGGAGGTACAAGGAACAATCGGAAAAAGAGAAAAGAAAATGACGTGGCAAAAGCGCAAAAGATGGAGGCACAAGACAGAAATCAGAGCTGATATGAAAAGTTGGGTTTCAACTTTGAAACCTAAAAAAAAAAGTGTAGAATTACTCACATAAAATTGCTGAATCAGGGAAAATGAACTTAGACAGTCTTTGGTCTAATTTGGAAATACTCTTCCTTTAATCTTTGATCTTTTGAAAATGGAGCTTTAAAATTTAAAGAAAACAACAGAAAAGGTAAAGATAGACTTTGAGAAAAATAGAAAACAGACTTAGAATTCCTGCATGATAAGGATGTACTAAGAATAAGGATGTAGGGTGCAAATTGGATCTGCATTTTGTGTTCTGAAATGTCTCAAACCCAGCCAGTGACCTTGGACCGGAGATGATGAAAATTCAGCCTTAGATCAGAGAACAGACGGCTCTTCCTTATCATTCGCTTGTGCCTTTATGATTTACAAACAGCGGAAAGCAATCAATAGTGAATGAGTAGATCATAGAACAGATATTTGGTGACATTTGATTGCTTACTAGGGAAAGGCACGTACTCAAGGGGCGGCTTGCAAATTAGGAATTGGCTATTCAAGTTCGCGTTCATACACAATATGTTTTTTTTAGAAATTTCTCATTCAATTTCTCATTCAATTCAATGCATTCAATTTCTCAAATTTGTAAACAATTTACGATCGAAGAAATTAAAAGTAAAACCATAATGCAAATAGTCGCAAAATGCTAGAAGTTACGCCAAAAAGAAAAAGAAAAACAAAAAGCTACATCAAGAACCGAAACCTGAACCTGTAGGCGAAAGCCTAATCATCCACTAGGCCCACTAGGCCACCAATTTATCCTTTAGTTATTCACTAGGCCACCAATTTATCCACTAGGCCACCAATTTATCCTTTAGTTATCCACTAGGCCACCAATTTATCCTTTAGTTATTCACTAGGCCACCAATTTATCCACTAGGCCACCAATTTATCCTTTAGTTATCCACTAGGCCACCAATTTATCCTTTATTTATTCACTAGGCCACCAATTTATCCTTTATTTATCCACTAGGTCACCAATTTATCCTTTCTTCGCTAGAAAGGAGCCTTTTAAAGCATCCGTTTTCACAAAATTTTCGATTGAAATTGGCAGATTTTGAAAAGATTTTGGAAAATGGAAAGTTGGTTTGGTCCCTGATGCAACTTGATATTTTTGTTCTTCCGTCTTGACGCCAAGTTTTCCATTGAAATTTGACAATGGAAAGTCATTTAGCAGACTCCAGATTCGGATTCCTCACACCTGATTCTATAAAGTGCCCAGACAAAAGCTTACTTTAGGTTCGTGTCTTTCCCTAGTTAGGATTCGATACCACATCTGACCTGACTTGGCCTAAAGCCCGGCTTTCAAAACTAACCCTGTCTAAGTTTTTAAACACTTAATCTATTAGGTTGTCCGGATATAAACAAGCGTTACTAAACTTATTGTTGTGAGGGAAGCTTTTAAAACATGTCTTTCTGTATTTAAAAAGTACGTTATCTTGTTTATATTTGGAATCTTTTTAAACGAATAATTTCTTATTTTTAAGATCTTTTTTTCTTGCTTTAGATGACCGACTTCAAACATCAAGTTCGCGTCTGCCTACTTTACGATTTCAAATTGGGCAAAACAGTCACGGAATCCCATCGAGATTTGGTCAAAGCATTTGGGAATGATGTATTGTTCGAAAGCCGATGCCGAGCCTGGTTCCAACGCTTTCGGAACGGTGATGAAAGTCTCGAGGATGATGAACACTCTGGTCGACCTCGGTAGACAACGATAAGCGATGGACAACGATATTTTGAGGGCTGCAATCGAATCGGATCCATGTCAAACGACGCGTGAACTTGCTTGCTACTTGCTCAACAGTTTCTATGTTCAAATTCTACTATTGATGAGCATCTCCACGCAATTGGAAAGGCGATTAGATGCGGGAAATAGCTTCCTCACGAGTTAGGCAGTGCAAACGCTCGTTTATATCCGAGCAACCTAATATTTCTCTTGTTCTGACTCTATGAGGGTTTTGCGAAGGAGACTAAAAGCTACAAAGAGTAATAAATTGGATAAAAAGTGATTTTTACAGTGATTTTTCACAAGTTGACATTTTTAAAAAAAATAATGTTAAAGAAAATTTTTCAATAAGGAGAATAAGCTGCTAAAGTCGTTTTTTGACGCAACAACCTTTTCCCATTTAACTTCTGAAACGTGAAATTGTGAGCTGTTCACTAAGAAGGTAAAAAAGGAGTAAAAAAGAAAAAAAAAGAGAAAAACAAAGTTGAAAAATCATAAAAGAAAAGATCTAGTACGGGTTTTTAAATTTCGATTCAATTCAAATTCATTCAAATTCATTCAAATCATTTGAAATCCCGAAATCAGGGTACGATTTAACGAAAATATCACCATACGACAATTGGGACAAAGTAGGTACAGATGACAAAAGAAATCATAACCAATTAGCGTTGATCTGCCGATCATTTCTCGGAAAACTCCCCGCCAAATTGAACTAATAATTTCGTTCTTTGAAACCCAAAGAAAAGAAAGCAAAGAAAGCAAAACGGGCAAAGAAGTGTACCTAGATTTCCCCCACAAAAATACCCACTTGTACCTTGTAAACAAACATCGACATGAGGAAATGACATGAAATAGATTAGAAACTCGATGCAATACTTGGAAGTGAAAAAAGTATGGAACTTTTGAGCGCAAATGTACCTCAATAATCCTTCTGATAGTGAGCCGAGTTCTTTTCTATTCTCGTCTAAAACTACTGCCGTAAATACTGTAATAGTAACCCATCCCCCTTGTAAAGTCGCGTAGTCGCAAAAGTCGCAAGAGTTTTTTAGTATTTCATTTTCTTCAAAGCGCCCGTACTTTCAAAAGATCCGTCTTTGGTATCAAAAAATAGCTGAAATTCAGGGCTATTTTTTGATTTGAATTTTTGAACGAGTTTTTCTCGACACTGGTTTAGGCTACAATGCGCGCTTAGGTATCAAAAAATAGCCCTGAATCTCAGCTATTTTTTTCATACCCAAGCGAACATTGTAGCATAAACCAGTGTCGAGAAAAACCCGTTCAAAGCTAGAGCTACGCAACACTCCGCACCGTCATTATGGGGGTGTGGTACTATTACAGTATTTACGGTAGGTACACTTGGTGCCTTTCTAAAAGACACTTATTTTGGAGAAACTATTGTTATCAAACAGCTAGCTTACATTCAATTAGCCTAATTTTGTTGTCATTTGATGTCAATGAGACTAAAATTGAGTGATTGGATGCAAACCAACAGTTTAATTACGGTACTTATTCAAAATAGGTCTTTTTAGTGTTTATCTTCACTAAAGCCTTTTCGAAAATATACTCGTGAAAATCTAGAGCGCCTTGACTTATTTCAAAAAACTGTTTAGATGGTTTTGTAGACTGAAATTTTAAAAAAAAAAAATTCCTTGGTCGAAAATTGATTCTTGGTAGCCTTGAGGAGATCGGGCCGTTAGACTGAAAGTCGCGAAATCCTGGCGACGCCCATAACTAGCTTTTTGAGCCATAACTACAAGGCACTTTTTGAGTGGACGCAATTAACCATTATATTTCTGAACGCAAATGATGTGCCAGAAATTCGAGAAACCATGATATGCCAGAAATTCGAAAAGTCTTTCAAAAAAAGTTTTACATTAACTTTGAGGCCATTTTTATAAAAAATTGTGTCTTCCTTGTACACATAAGATCTACTGATTCAGGAAATTTTTGTTTATTTGATATGCGCCCCGCCCCTTTTCCCATTGGCAATCTAACTTTGAGCTCAAATATCTTGGCATTGGGCTGTCCAATTTGAACATTCTTGATTTCATTAGATGCGCCAAGTCTTTCTCTATCGATTGGTACAAAACTATTTAAATTGGACAGTCGAGCACCAAGAAACTTGAGCTCAAAGTTGAATTGCCAATGGGAAAAGGCGGCAGCACGTATCAAATATCCGATAGCCTTGTCGGATATTTGAATATCCGTTTGGCTGGAGCTCAATCTGTGTGCATCCCTAGTCAGTCCATCTGCAAATCTCTTTGGTTAAGCAAAGTACACTTTGAACCCCTCTTTTTATAAAAGTTTTAAAAGATATTCAGTTTTATGGCAATGGTAAACAAATAATGATTCAAAATAGTCAATACCACCAAAAAGTAAAGAATCTTTTGATCTCTCAATGTCTGAAGTCCCAAAATGTACCTCGAATAATCCCCCGAGGCGGGCTTTCCTTTCTCTTTTCTTTTCCATACTTTTCTCAGTCTTTTTCTTTTCTCACTTCTTGCGCGTACTTACACTTTGTACTATCGATCAGCTGAATGAGATCTTTTGTGCATTTTTTCAGAAAATTTTCTAGTTTGTGAGATTTAAAATTTATTGAAAATCTCTCTCGCCAGGGTGCATTCCATTCCTCCCTCGTCACACAGAATGTACCCACCGAATTGCGGGTTCATCATGTAGGCCTCGTTCTAGAAAAGTGTTTGTAGATGTGTGAACTTTAAGTTACTACTCAAGTATCAATGTCGGTATTTTTGGAAAATCGATATTTCTCGGGAAAACTACATTCATTGCCAGGTGCTATTGGGGTGGTGAATTGAAAACTGGGAGCTATTGTCATATGACACAATTTGAGCACTTTCTTCAAAAGAAACCCATTTTGGGGTCAATGGAAAAGTTGTAGAGAATCAAAAATCAAGCTTATATCCTAATTTTCAGAACGATTCAAAAACTGGTTTTCAAGAAATGCGAAATTTACGGATTTTCACAAAACTTGCAACAAAACTTGCATTTTAAGCGAAACTACTAAGTGTATCTTTTTGGAAATTTGGCTATAAGCCTAATTTTTGATTCTCTACAACTTTTCTATTGACACCAAAATGGGTTTCTTTTGAAGAAAGTGCTCAAACTGGGATCTCCAGTCTCCATCTCCAGTCCTCGATTTTTGAGTCTCACACTTGTCTCACACACAAACCAAAATCCTACTACGAAAGAGGAATCCGCAAATTGCCTGTAAAATGGGCAGAAGTCATCAATAATGATGGAAATTATTTGGAATGAATTCATGGTTTTATGTTGAATAAATTTTAGTTCAAAGTCCGGCAGTTTTCAATTCACCAACCCAATAATATGCTAATGATTTAGGTGTTTTAGATGGTGAAACGCTTTTTTAAACTATAAATCAGTGTTTTTCGCCCTAAAACGGTGTTTTAAGAAACTGTCTAAGATTGTCAATTCAGTTGTCAATTCACCAACCCAATAGTTGGCAATGTCTCATTTTAGCAATTACGCCGAATCCGATTTTGATGAAAATTTCCCTTGCAAAAGTTTAGCAAAAAATTTATCAATAGAGCAACAACAATAACGACAAAAGGTAACAAAGGTAGTTAATTTAAAGGATACTCCATGGCAACTAATCTGACCGCAACAGCTAATCCACCCATCTCTTAAAGAAGTCGAGCCGCAAAGCCGATTAGAAAGATAACTTTGTGAATGTTGAAGCAAAATAAAACAACAAAAAGTTGGTATGGGTAAATGCGCAAATTTTCATCAAAATCGGATAAAATCGAATTTATAAAATGAGATATTGCCAACGGCAAGATTAAGCTCCGCCAACTATACTAGTTGGCCAGCTATACTAGTTGGCCAGCTATACTAGTTGACCAGCCATACTAGTTGGCCAGCTATACTAGTTGGCCAGCTATACTAGTTGGCCAGCTATACTAGTTGGCCAGCTATACTAGTTGACCAGCTATACTAGTTGGCCAGCTATACTAGTTGGCCAGCTATACTAGTTGGCCAGCTATACTAGTTGGCCAGCTATACTAGTCCCCCAACTAGTATAGCCTGCCATTCCTTGATAGATTCGAAAATTAGCATAATACTCGTGTAAACTTGTGTTCTCTAAAAGGCAACTATTGTAATAAAACTCGAATTTTCATTCAACGAGCATCGAATTTGGTATCACTTGATAAGGATTCACAAAAATTCAAAATACCAATGATGAATTGATGAATGCAAACGAGAGAAGATGTACTTTTTAGAAAGTGCATGAGTCTGGGCTAATCTGATGCAATCGATGCAATAGATTTGCCTCAATTTACCTAATAGCAAACTTTTTAAAGCTAAATATAATGAAATTGGCACCGTTCAATGATTTATAACATCACTTTCAACCGGATGAATCTAGAATTAAAGCCAAACTCTCCTCTTGAAAAGCTTACTTATGATAAGAAGCAAAGTTTGAGTGTCTGTTTGTGTGTTTGTCCGGGCCATAACTCGAATCCCAGTAAAGATTTCATTCTGATTTTTTTTTAGGACAAATGTAGACAACTATTGGGACCATATGTAATCAAATCATTCAATCAGACTTCCAAAAAACTCGAACCGTTTTTGAGTAAAGTTGAAAATGTTGAAATTGCCGGCTAGATCAAAAGCGGCCTAGGGTTACTTTAAAAATGTATTTTGAGCTTATTTTCTGGAAATATACGCAGAAAAGTCTTATCATTTGGCAGTAGGAAAATTTAGAAAAAAATTTATGGAAAACGGCGGAAGCAGATCATTTCAGAGGCTCGGCGGCGAAGATCAAAGGGAATTTTGGATAAAGGAGAATTTTAAATTTCAGATTCAATTTAACTGTTCTAAATGCAAATATTATAGAGTAAAATTGTTCAAAAATCTTAGGTTTAGAAATTGATGACAATGAATTGTGATTACCGTATTTTCTCTAATAGTAGTGCTGCCCGGCGAGCCGAGTTGGTGACTATTTTACGGTTGCCAAGCTTTTGCAGAAGCTCAACACTTTAATCCCCCACTAGATCTCATCGTGAGCTACATTTTCCGACCCCACATCGATAGGTTCTGATAAGCGGTTCTCGAGATTTCGAGCAATTTAGGCGACGCTCAGGGTGCACTACTATTAGAGAAAATACGATAGGGCTATAAATTTGTGTCTGTTAAACTATCCAGCAATTAGCTGCTGAGCTGCTGCTGGTTAGCTGCTGACTTTGTATAGTTAGACAAAAATTGATTGAGCTTTAGTGACGGAGTGACCTGTAAATGCGAGGAAAATCATTTTACCTGTAAATACGAAGGAATTGCCATGATTTCGGTGAACCGTCGGATCACTTCTCCTTTTGGTGAAGTAGTCTTTTCCAAGTGCTGGAATTGAATTGAATTGAATGGAATTGAATTTTCCAAGTGCTGTAAATTAATTCAACAATCAAAATTCACCTCAAACAAAAGACCACTATATTTTGTGTAGGCTTTTCGAATGATATCCGCACCGGCATCAGAAAAACCGAGAGCTGAAAGAGTTTGAAGTAGGCATGAATTGAAGTAGATGTGGTTCGAGACGGGACAAATTTTGGAGGTCTCAAAAATTCATTTTCCGAGAAGAGACAGTTTCCGAACGTCCCCTAATTGTCATCGCAAAATTCCCTTTTCTGACGGAATTGGACGGACAAATTGGACGGACAAATTCAAGACGTCCCGAAAACCAGGTCTAATTTAAAGATGCAAAGCAAAAATTCAAATACCTGAAGAAAATATCGAGATGTTCTTCAACAGAACATACTCTTCGTCACCCAGCTTTGCCCGTTTCATGCTTGGCATGATTGTGTTGAAACCACATTTAAGCATCACTTTGCTACCAACACTCAGCCTAAAAAGGTTTATAAAATTTACCGAATCTACGCTCGTTTGGTCCAGAAGTCATCAAAATGCTAAGAAAAGAAAGAAAAATACAGCTTTTCATAACTTTTCATGACTAGCTGTTCATGACGCTAGCTGTTCATGACTTGTTCATGACTTTACACAACGCGTCCAAAAAAAAAATGCCTTGGAATCAAAAATCCGAATTCGGACAGTTGTTGTCTTAGTTGTTGTCCAGAAAAGAAAAATCCAAAGTTTGAGAAAAATCCCCCTACTCACAAACTCGCAAATATTTTACCTCCTCTCTTTTGTCCGAATTTCTTGAAACCACCTCGATCACGAGGCGGTCGATAATTTTCGTTAAATTCTAAAGAATACAGATTATCGTTTTTCATCTGAAACACTTAAGTAGTAACGTTGACTAAATCACAAGAAAATTATTACCCCTACTCACAAAAAAGTTATTACGGCGTAAAGTTTTAATGTAAGGATGTTAAAATGTTAAGGAATTCGTCAAAATTTCGATTTTTCCGTTTTTCTCATATTCACTCCACAAGAACGTGCCAAACGATGCATTACAAAGTTGTGGCCCTGGTTTTACTCTTTACGTTGTAATAACTTTTTTGTGAGTAAGGGGATTTTTCTCAAACTTTGGATTTTCGTGAGCTGGACTCAATTTGACTAGTTTTGCTTTTCTATAAGGGAGTTGGAACTAGGGCAGATCAAAAACTCATGCACCGCCGGGAATCGAACCCGTGACACAATGGGCACTCTTCCCTGTATTTGTCTAAAAGTGACGCCGGGAAAAACCTCAGAACTCATCGCAAACAAAATGCAGAGAAATGGCAAGGGTATCGTTAGAAAGAGTAAATCCAGGGCTACAACTTTGTAATACATCGTTTGGCACGTTCTTGTGGAGTGAATATGAGAAAAATCGGAAAAATCGAGATTTTTCTCAAACTTTGGATTTTCCTTTTCTGGGCAACAACTAAGAATTGTCCGAATCCGGATTTTTGATTTTATTGTCAAAAGTGTTTTCCCATAGTAGCGGATTCGATGTGCGTGACCTTTCGTTTACCGGGCAAATCTGCTAACCATTACACTACAACGCACTCGATCTCCGTTACTCCAGAGGGAGTTAACTACGGATTCGATGTGCGTTAACTAATTAAAAACTAAAAACTAAACACAATCGATAAGGTGCAATTTTAGACTCAGAAAACTCACGTTCGATATGTCGTTAAATCCTCGGAAGAAATCGAAGTCCCAAAGGGTAAAAAGATTCCATTGAAACCTTTCTTATAGCTATAGTAATACATCAACAAATACTCATAGGAAAGAAATCGTTGGCAGAAGAGTAGAACCTGGAATTAGCAATGTCAAAGCATGAAATGATCCCTCACTCTCTCATTTTCGCAGAGTTCCCAGAACTCAGGTATATTTCTCAACCAGTCGCTCATATGGACACTCAAACGGGCCAGAACTCTCACTGGGATTCGCCGCAAATCGTCCATTCCAGCGTTCAAAGGAAACGCACCACCGAAATCGATCTGAAAATTTCTGAAGTCAGTGAAAATTGTAAGGATTAGTTGGCAATGGACTAACGCAAAATCGAATTGATTTCTATTGTATGTGAGAATTGTTTTATCCATGCTTAGCCCAGCTAGAAGCTACAAGACTTTCTCCAGCATAGCTAGAATGGTTCTAAAGGCAATTTTTCTGGAATAAGCCAGAAATCAGGTCCAGATCTTGGCCAGAAAATCAAGAGCTGGATCTTCTATACTTTCTCGCCACGATCGACGCTTTTCTACGACGTTTGGACGCCTGTGTAAAAGCTATTGGAGATCTGTTTGAAAAGGAATAGTTTCTATGAATTCCAGAGTTGGTCCAGAGTTGGCAAAAAAAGCTAAAAGCTAAGGTTGGTCAAGCCTGGGAAATTGAGCAAAAAATCTAATTGGCTTGGAAATTTTGATTCGATTTAACTTGTTAACTTTTTCTTTTTCTTTTTCTAATTTTCTCCCACCGGAACTCTCGAGCAAACGCCAGTCGGATTTCTCAACATTTCCGTGACACTTCCGCTCACATCATAGACAAAGTTGAGCCGATTTGGCGCCGAATAGTCATCATTCATGAAAACTCTGAATGAAAGGATTTGTCAAGAGTATAAATGATTTTCAAAGCACTTCTCTAAATTGACCATCATTTGGATTGACGCAGAAGAGCTTGATTGGGTTGAGTTGAGAATTTGATGTGATGGGCTGATTAACGCAATCATTTGAGTCTCACGCTGAAAGGGAAAACTCGCTTACGGATCTTGTAAACCATTATTGATTAAAATGAAAGATTCAGTGTGTCAGAAAGAAAGTGTTTCCATTTTGAAGACACAAAACACATCTAACGATTTTGAATGGAATAACTGAGGTTAAAACGGAGTTTACTAGACTATTTTACTAGTTAGTTTACTACAGGGTGGGCCAAAATTACCGTTACAATGCTCACTCACGTGCAAATGCGAAGGCGAAAAGGAAGAAAGCGAAGGGTAACAACTTCAGCAAATTAAAAAAAAAGTGAAAACGTTGTTGAAAACGCCAAACTCGGTGCAGAAAATGTCACAAAAAATGGGGAAAGCGAACGGTAACAACATCAGCAACTTCGCTTAAGCGAACATCCCTTAGAAGAATCATCAAAAAACAAGCTCAAGTTAAAGGCCTACAAGAAAAATAAATCACAAATGCTATCAGTTGACGCTATCAACCACACAAAACTGTTGATAGTTTGAAAAAAGCGCTCGAAAAGGCTTGAGAGCTGGGCTTGGGAGCTGGATCTCCTATACCTTCCCGCCACGATCGACGCTTTTCTACGACGTTTGGACGCCTGTGTAAAAGCTATTGGAGATCTCTTTGAAAAGGAATAGTTTCTATGAATTTTGATGAGACAATAAAAGTTATTTTTAAGAAAAATCTTTGACCTTTTGAGTTGCTTTTTATACAGAGACTTTTTTATATGTAACGGTACTTTTGGCTCACCCTGTAGACTTTTTAGTTAGATTGAATCAATTACCGTATCTATCCGATGAACACTTTGCTCGTCTAAAGATTGATTTGAATCACAGATTGAAATGAGCCCTTTTCCCTTGGCTCGTCGATCGTAGCCGACATTTGAGCGTTTCTCGCGAAGCGTGCAGCCTTTTCGACGAGCCGTCACTAAAATTGATTTCATGAACTTTAAAGATTAATCATCTACTAATATATATAAAAGAGATCATAATTTTGAAGTTTTAAAAGAAAAAAAGTCGGATTTACAATAAAGCTACATTTCTATATAAAGATAAGAAAAGAAAGGTTTAAAATTGAACAGCAAAGCATCAATACTATGCAATTATGGCCATTGCTCATCATAAAATCAAATAAAATAGCTTAAATGTATAAATCAAAGCTTTAACTAAGAAATGATCTACTAAAATATATAAAAGAGCAGTGTCTGGCTGTCTGTTTGTCTGTTTGTCTGTTTGTCTGTTTATCTGTCTGTCTGTTTGTCTGTCTGTCGGTCTGTCTGTCTGTTTGTCTGTTTGTCTGTCTGTCTGTCTGTCTGTTTGTCTATTTGTCTGTCTGTCTGTCTGTTTGTCTGTCTGCCTGCCTGTCTGTTTGTCTGTCTGTCTGTCTGTCTGTCTGTCTGTTTGTCTGTCTGCCTGTCTGTTTGTCTGTCTGTCCATCTTATTTGATTAATGAAGCTAAAACTTCTTTAGAAAACCTTAGAACATATTGTAGTTGTGTCATTTAAAATAAAAAATTAGAAAAGCCAAAGTTGAGTGACACTACGGGAGGTCGAACCCGCCTCGTGTGGGCCGTAGACAAGCGGGCTGCCAACTGAGCCACAGTAAGAAGCAAAAACCCGCCGTTAAGTGGGTTTTTCAGCTAGTGAATTAAATGAATTGAATATAAAAACTTCCTATGGTCTATTGCTAAATTTTAGTTCTGAGTTTTTTAAGTGCAAAAAGTTCTTGAAACTTTACTCAAAAACGAACCCGCCGGATTGAGGCCCACTTCAAGGCATTTCTTGTATCGGCACGCTCGACATTTTTCGTTATCTGAAGGTAAACAAACTTATACATTACAAAAATCTCGCTCTTCCTCTAAATCTACAAAAACTGAAAGCTGGTTTAATCTAGAAATGACCCCTGAGCACGAAATCTCTTGTCACACATTTCCCGGCATCTGAACAACACGGTACCGCTTCTTTGATCGTCGAAATTCGAAGAAAGAAAGCTTTACAACTTCTGGAATTGAATGCTTCTGAAGATATTTTTAACTTGCAAGCTTTTTGCTTCAAAAAAGTCGCTAATATGTTTCTTTTTTTGAAGACAAAGCATAGTTAATCTCAGTGACACTCACCCGCAAATCTTTGCCCCATAACATTTGATTGCTCCACCTTTCCCACAAACGACACAAGTATTGCCATCGATTTCGGGTAGAACTATTTCATCAATATCGTCTTCGGACATTCGATCAGTAATTTCTTGGAAAAAACGATATCTAAAAGATATCTAAAGGCAATCTAAAAGCAATCTGAAAGCAATCTAAAAGCAATCTAAAAGCAATCTAAAAGATATCTAAAAGCATTCATAAAGCAATCTAAAAGCATTCATAAAGAAATTGAATCTAAAAAGAGGAGAAAAGTAAGTTCCAGAAGTTCCAAATTGAAAGCAAAACTCGTTACAAATTTCCTGTTGCTTTTAGTCCAGTTTCTCAAGTTTCAGTAAGTTTCTAAACATTATTATCATCTTGGCTTTAGGACAAGAATGTTTTAGTCAGCATTTTTTGAGGGTAATGCCTGGAACAAGCAACAAGAAACAGAATAAGCTGGACTGGAAAAGCTGGAAAGGTTAGGATCTGGCTTTTGGCCTGGATTGGCTAGACAAGTCCTTTTTGGAACAACTCTACTTGAGGAGATAACTTGGTAAATGTGATTTAATGATACTTTTAATCTATCGGCAGCATAAATCCAAGTCAATAGCATCTAAATTTTGACATCTTCAGTTTATCAACCTTTCTGAAAGCTTCGCCCTCAAAAAAAACGAGTAAATTAGTGGGTATTGCGAAGATTTCCCTCTACAGAAAATCTACAGTAGAACAAGTATGTCAAATTTCACTAATCAGGTACAAACTTGTGAGATTTCGCATGTTATCGATAAAATTCTCTAAATCTCTTTAGAGTCACTTTATTTTTTTGTAAACTTGTTTTTTTATAAACTTGTTTTTTTGTCTTCGAAGTCTTGGAGTTCTTGGAAAAGATTTTCGAGAAAAAAGAGGAAATGACAAAAGTTTGAGAAAAAGAAAGCGGTAGGAATGAGTTTCCCTGGTAACTGTAAGAGGAAAATCTTCCCCTAATCTTTTTATTTGCTCAGAAGAAAAATGCGATTAGCTCATGAATGGTAATTGAGTAGAAAATGTTTTTTCGTTTAAAGATCCGGCTACAATTCTGGGAGCAAAGAATATTTGGTCCCAAGTTTCAAAAATCGGAAAATTTTTGAACCCAAGCAACTCTGAAATTTGTGGACAGCAATTGCCGTAAAACCTCTAATAGAAGGAGCCCCTCTATAGGAGCGCCGCGTAGTCTAAGTTTACTCTCAAACAAACGCTCATATCTCGGCTCGAGTACGTTTGTTTCTGCTCGCTTAAGGATCAAATTAAAGTGGGGAGAATAGGTGATTTTTTGAGATAAAATACATATTTTTAACTTTAGCCAGCGCTTAGAAAAAAGCGACTGAAAATTGGCGAAAAGAATGATTGAAAATCGGCTCTTTTTTGCCACTTTCCAATCATCTTTTTTCGCCAATTTTCAGCCATTTTTTTCTAAGCGCTGGTTAAAGCTAAAAATAGATGTGATAGCTCGAAAAATTCCCCTATCTCTCTACTTTAATTTGATACTTAAGCGTGCAGAAATAAACGTACTGGTGTCGAGATATGAGCGTTTGTTTGCGAGTAAACTTGGACTACGCGACGCTCCTATAGCGGCTCTTTTCTTAGAGCTTTTACGGTCTTTTTTCTCATTACAGTATGCTGAAATAAAACTGTGTACCTAGCCCTAATTGGAAACTTAAATTGATTAAAATTCGGCTGAAAATTGTAGTTTGTATCATACTTGATCAGTTACAGTACTGGACAATGAAATATGATATTTGAAAAACGATCGTCACTTTCGCGCGCCTGTAACTCCCTTGTCTTTGAGTTAAAACTATTAGTGTTATACATTTTCTGAAAGCTCTTTCCAAGGGCTACACAATGGTAATATTAATATTTAGAAATACGGTAAAGACAAGGGAGTTACAGACGCGCGAAAGTGGCGATCTTTTTTCAAATATCATATTGTCATTGTCCAGTAGTGTACCAGTAAAATCTCTTCCTCTTGTACTTTTTAAAATGTGGTACCTTTCGAAAAACTACCTTTTCTCTAACTTTTATTCAATTAACATATTTCAGACTTGGATAAATGATGATATGGCAGAAACTAAGATAAACTCAGAAGTAAGATTACGGTAGTTTTTGAAAATTGACAGAATTTAGAGAAAAACTCTAGTCGAGGGGAGCACTTTTCCCAAAAGAGACAGGCTGTTGACTGTTGACTGTTGAAAATTGCATTCAAAATGCCAAAATCCAATCTTCGAAACCATTAGAATTAGCAATAAACAAAAGAAAGGCCTAAAAGGAAAACTTTTGCAAACTTGTAGACATCTGAATTTCATGATTTCATTCGTCAGAGTGCAAAACTTCAAAATCCGCTTAATTATATTCGGTTGATTCGCAGCCTCTCCCCTTTCTCACAGATTTTCCGATGATTTGTAGCCTAAATGGAGATTTTCATGCGTAATCTATGAATGTGGTGAAGTGAAGAAAGTACAAAAATTACAAACATAAATTTCTAGTTGATCAGAAAGCCGCAGATTGTAAGCTGGTGAAGAAGAGTTTTTTGAGAAACTCTTTTTGAGAGGATTTGTCTGAGGGATTTTGCAAAAATATGAGCAAAATTTAATCCAATTGACAAAGTGAAAGACTGAAATTTTGGTTAGTCAACTGATTAGTAAGCTGATCAAACCAAGAACACTGATCAAGAACAGATAAAGCCCAGAAATGGGCACAAGAATAGTTGCGCGGGGACACACAGTCTCGAACTTGACCCAAAATCAATATTTTTCCACGAAAACTTGCACACAGAGGCTTTTGACTATGCTGAATCGATTAGTCCTGAATCAAGAATCCTTTTCCTACATTTTCTTGGGCGAAGTGGCCAAGAGATACCCTCACACTTAATCTTCTTGACTTTATGAGTGTCCCTGTTGCGTTTTTGTAGTCCTTGCTGCGTTTTGTTATTGTTCTTTCTTTTTATTTGATGTTGCTAAATTGAAATCGATTTTTAAAAAGTTATAAAAGTATTACTAATCGATTCAGCATAGTCGGAAACCCCTGTGTGCAAGTTTTCGTGGAAAAACATTGATTTTAGGTCAAGTTGCAGACTGTCCCTCCCCCCACCAATTACTTTAACCTCCAGAACTGAATACTAGTGATAATGAAAGTATTACTAATCGATTCAGCATAGTCGAAAACCCCTGGGTGCAAGTTTTCGTGTTATACAACATTTTAGACTTTATAAATTAACTTTTATTTTCGATAAAGAGCAATTTTTTTATCGAGTTTCAGGCGGTTTTAAAGCTCACTCGAAAATAGAATTTTTGGATAACTTTGAGGTCTGCTAAAGTTATTGATTCATAACATCATTTTCCTATAAGATTATCATGTTTTTTAGGAAAAATATAAAAGATAAGATGGTGTGCACATTCAAGAAAAAGAAAATAAGCACGTTTATATAAAAGTTAATTCACAAATCTTTTAAAATCACCTAAAATAGCAGCGGCTCTGTGGAGAAAACTGATCAAGAACAGATCACAGTAAAAACAGCAGCGTGTTACCACTTTGTGTTCTCATAAAAGAGCGACGGAGAAATTTCTGCTCAAATCAGAAATGTTTTTGAATAGAAAATTACATCAATTTTCTATAAAAAAAGACAGAACTAGAAGAAGTTAACTGGTCGTTGAGTTACACTAATTCAAGTGAGTTATCGTAGCAATACGCCACTCTGTAGATAGCATTATCGATAAATCTTTTTTAAGCTGATAAGTCCTAGAAAAACTATTGGTATTAAGAAAAGAAAATTCATATATATATATATGTCGTATCCGATTATGAATGAAATTTTTTGGAAATCTTTCTAGTAGAGCAACCCTTTAATGTATGAGGACAATATTAAATCATCTTGTAGCGAATCAAATTCTGCGTCGATTGGTACCAAATTTGTGAGTTTAGGTTGAAAATTGCCGGCGCTACAACGTTTAGCCCCCTAGCCGGGATGTATCTCTGGATGTATGTATATGTCGTAGCCGATTATGAATGAGTGGGTCTAGGAGCGTCCAACCATCAAGTATTTGGTATCATTCAACACAGCGTCATTGATAATTATGTTAAATTTTTGAAATTAGAAAGATTGAATAAAAAGAAAAAAGGTTATGGGCCTTCAAAGTTTTCTCTTGAACAAACAGCTTTTTTGCTCTAATTTTTTTTCTTTTTATTTAATCTTTCTAATTTAAAAAATTTAACATAATTATCAATGATTCTGCGTTGAATCATACTAAATACTTGATGGTTGGAAGCTCCTAGACGCTCCTAGACCCAAATACTTGATGGTTGGACGCTCCTAGACCCAAATACTTGATGGTTGGAAGCTCCTCGACGCTCCTAGACCCAAATACTTGATGGTTGGAAGCTCCTCGACGCTCCTAGACCCAAATACTTGATGGTTGGAAGCTCCTCGACGCTCCTAGACCCAAATACTTGATGGTTGGAAGCTCCTCGACGCTCCTAGACCCAAATACTTGATGGTTGGACGCTCCTAGACCCACTCATTCATAATCGGCTACGGGGGTCCCGCCGATTTTGAATGAAACGTTGTAGCGCCGGCAATTTTCAACCTAAACTCACAAATTTGGTACCAAACGACGCAGAATTTAATTCGCTACAAGATGATTTAATATTGTCCTCATACATTAAAGGATTGCTCTACTAGAAAGATTTCCAAAAAATTTCATTCATAATTGGCTACGACATATATATATATATTAGGCTCTAATTGAGATCCATTATTTCTATTTAGATTTATATAAAGTTTCACAAATCCGACAGATCTTTGAATCACTAAAACATCAATTTTGAGATTGAGTCTTTCTTTTAAGGGATCTCTTTTCTTTGATCTCTTTGAAATCTTTTTGAAAATTCAAAGATCTTGTGCTATTTTTGGATCTACTTTTTTTTGTTGTTGTTTCTTGATTCTTTCAACAACCAAAAGGGATTTATGCACAAGGATTGAACTGATGAAAATTGTCTTTTCTTTTTTTGACTAGTGAGTTATATAAAGTGAGTTGAGTTAGATAAAAGAATTGCCTTTATTGAACTTCATAAAATTTCAAGATTTATTGAAAATTTCCGCTGCAAGCACGGTGCCGATTCCGCCTCGATTGCAGAGAATGTGTTGACCGAATTCGGGATTCATTTTTTGAGCGGCACACTGAAATTATGAAATCAGGTAAAAAATAGGAATCTCATCAAAAATAGGGGATTTGATAGTGATTAGAATCAAGAACTCCTCGAATATTTGAAGATTAAACGCTTTTTAGCTAAAGCTCAAGATGGAGAAACCTGCAGAAATGAGGGAATCGCCATGATGTCCGAGAATCTCTCGACTGCTTCAGCTTTATCGTTTGTCACTCGAACGAGATGCTGTAACAATTCATTGGGTTGATTGACAAATACAGAAAACAATGTGGATTTTCATTTAAAAAAGAAATTAATCGTTTTCGTCTACAAATAACAGAAAGATGAGCCCAGAACGGACCAGAACGGACTAACGGACCAGAATGGACTAACGGACCAGAAGGAACGGTTATTTTTGGTCACCCTCTATTAGAATAATCTTAAATCTTAAATATTATCTATCTTAAATCTATCTATCTTAAATCACGTCTGGTTGTTCTCAAAAAAGCCTGGTTCTTCTCAAGAATCGAACCAACTCAAGGCCTGTGCATTGATTTTAAGTTTATTGCTCAACAATTTTCTCAAAAATTCTTCACCTCTAGCAGAAGAGTGCTGTACTTGGCGTATGCTCTTCGCAGGACTTCTCCTCCTGATTCAGAAAAACCGATCGCTAAACGAAAAGGATTACTTTTTAGTAGACAAATTTTACCCGAAGAAAATATCAAAATATTCTTTAATAGAACATATTCCTCGTCTTTCACTTGTGCTCGTCGAAGAGTGGGAATTATTGTGGAAAAGCCGTATTTTAGCATCAATTTGTAGCCATCTTCCATTCTGAAATTTGCGTTGTGCTTTAAAAAGTTCAATTTTCTTGTTGTGCTGTGCTTCCATGTGCTTCAATGTGTGCTTCAATTTAATTCATAAAACTTTTTCTCTAGTACGGTGCTTGTTCTTCTAAAACACATCTGAATCCTTTCAAATAAAAACTTACGATTTAAAAAGCTCGACATCATCTAGACAAACAGAGGTGCCAAAAGCGTGAACAAGTCCATTAAATTTCTGCTTATAGCTGTAATAATACAATAACAAAAAGAAGTAGGTCAAGAATTTTTGGCAAAAGAGTTGAGTCTAAATCGATTTCTGTAAAGATTTAATATTTCACTGACTCTTTCATTTTCAGATAACTCCCAAATCTCGGGAATATTCCGAAACCAATCGGCCATTTGAACGGTGAGACGAGCGAGGATTCGAGCGGGCATCGTTTCAATGTGAGACATGGAAATTTTATGTGGAAGTGGGGTGCCAAATCCAATCTGAAAAGAATCTATTGTGTTTCGAATTCTTGAGATTCTCGGAACTTCAAGATAGGTGTACTTTTGTTGGACTGAATACTCTAATCTAGACTAAATACCGTAACCTAGCTATTCTAGACTGAATATCCCATTCTAGATTGAATACCGTAATCCAGACAGTCTAGACTGAATACTCTATCTATATCTGAATACCGTAATCCAGATAGTCTAGACTGAATACTCTATCTAGACTGAATACCCCAATCTAGGTTAAATGTCTGAAAATTCGCGAATACCGTAGTTTTCAAAAGAGTTCAATTTCATGGTAAAAGCCATAGTGAAGTTAGTGACAAAACAGGGTACTTAAGGGTAATTAAGAGTAATTAACGTTAAAGTTAGGTAATTGAACCGGATGACCGATCAAAAGTGCCAGAAAGTGCCAGAAAGCGTACGATTCTGTGTTCCCTAACAATAAATTACACTAGAAGATTTTCTCTCGTTTTCTAAAATGTGCTAATCTTTAAACAAATAAAACTGACTTAATTTTAGCTAGATTTTCTCGAGAAAACCAACCGGCACTCGTGGACAAACTAGAGCAGGATTATTGAGCAAATCGGTCACAGAAAAGTTCAAATCATAGCTGAAATCGAGTCGATTCGGTATCGCGTCGTTGTCGTTTAAGAGGATTCTGAAAATGAGAGAATTTCAAGCGATAAAGCGATAAAGCGATAAAGCGATAAAGGGATAAAGCGATAAAGCGATAAAGCTTTTTGCTCACTTCTCTAAATTCACCAGCACCGAAACGCTCGTCGACACGGATGTGGAAGGGATTATGTGAAATGGAGTGATCAGAGAGGCCAATTGAACTTCTCGCTGAATTTTGATTTGTTAAATAAAGCTCAAAAGTAAAAATTATAGGCTTAAGAACGCTAAAACAATCTATTCGTTGGGCTTTCTGGGGCAAAAATGCAAAATCTTTTTCATAATTCAATAGTTAGATTCAATTACTAATGGGAAAGAGGCGGGCGCGTTATAAAATGTTCTACAATCTATTTTAGGGCAAGCCAGACCATACCAGGGTAAAACTTGGCCCAGGTTCAGCCTCACGTCACGTACTTTCTTGCTTTGTCACGTACTTTCTTGCTTGAGTCTAGCCAGTCCAACCGGATCAATGATCAGGCTCAAAACAGATCCGATCCGATTAGAGTTGACTTTAGCTAATCTGACACATCCTTGCTTAATTTGAAGTCTAGTGAAACCTTGTAACATTTCAGAAATCTTCAATCTAACTAAATCTTCAACTAATTGTAAGTTTGCTTTTGGGAATCTGAAGATTATTATCTGAAAAAGATATAGAAGCTGAAAAATCTTATGGTTGAGATGTGCTTTGGTTTAAAAGCATATCTTTCCTAGCTTCTTCATTCTTAATCACAACAATTCTCCGAGAAAAGAAGAAAATAGTGTTCCAGAAAAGCTGTAACTGAGCACAAGTGCATCCAAAAATTAGATATAGCTTTAAAAACTTGGATATAACTTTAAAAACTTGGATATGATTTGGATATAAAATTGGGCAGGCTTAGATAAACATTAAGCAACAATAGTAAACATTTTTCCTACCGAATCAACTTGTGGAATCGCACTCGATGTTGACGGTTCTATTGGCTCCAGCAATTGCTGCTGTGTTTTCTTTCTTCTGCGTTGAAAACCGATTTGTGAGCGTTTCACTCGCAACTCACACCCTTTGCGTCGAGCAGTCACTAAAAGGAACCAATAATGTTCAAACCTCATAAGCCACACTATCCAAATTTATGTGAAATATCCAAAAGAATAAGCAAAACAGTCTCACTAACCATCCGGGATCATTCCCACTTCGAGACACTTTCGATAGCGACACGCGCGACACTTTTCTTTTCCTAAAATTTGGGTTGATAATAAAATCTTGTTTATCAATGTTAAATTAAGCTGTGTTATGGATAATTTCTTACCTTTAATAAAAAAATCTGGTTGAGCACATCGCCCACTCGCTGCACATGGTGGAACCGCTTCTTTGATTGTTGTGATCCGCAAGAAAAAAGCCTTGCAACTACTAAAAAATAGCTTGATTATTTTAGAGCTCAAACATTAAGCATATAGTTTTTTATTTTAAGTTTCACTACTTTCATAAGCTTTCCATTTTGGAAACCTTTGCGAGGCCTTGTAAAGAAACCGAAGAGGAGAACAAAAAAGTTGACTTTTTTAACTCCAAACCTTACATCAAAGTACAACTCAGTTTTACATGGCTACAAATGATAGTTTCTCATCAGTTTCTTATCATATTATCTTTAAATTCTTTTTAATAAGTCGAAGATATTAGATGATCAAATATCTCAAAAATCTCAACTCAAAGAAAGTTAGAAAATTGGATATTCAACTCACCCGCACGCCCGCGCTCCATAACATCTTAATGATGGTGATCTCCCGCAAACCATGCAAAAGTTTTCATCGATTTCCGGTAAATCAAACTCCTCTTCCATTTCTTTGGACTCGTTTTAGATAATCTATTTAGAAATATAACTAGACTGTGCACGTATTGCTTAAAAAACGGGCAAAAAACGGGCAAAAATCGACGATCAATTGCATCGATCCTTTTTGAGACCGAACAGCTGGATACATTTTGAGAGTCGGGAAATTTCTCGGCTGTGAAAATGATCCAGGACACTTTCACGCTCTGGAATTTTATGGCGGCTATTCGCTAAAGGCTTTTTAGGAATTCGTCAGTGTTAGGAATTGTTAGGAGATGCTTGAAAAATGAATTTAGACGACTAGAGTGGATTGCATCTATTATAAAAGGACAAAGAGCCGTATTTAGAAATATAACTAGACTGTGCACGTATTGCTTAAAAAACGGGCAAAAATCGACGATCAATCACATCGATCCTTTTTGAGACCGAACAGCTGGATACATTTTGAGAGTCGGGAAATTTCTCGGCTGTGAAAATGATCCAGGACACTTTCACGCTCTGGAATTTTATGGCGGCTATTCGCTAAAGGCTTTTTAGGAACTCGTTTTTCTTGAAGTTTGAATTTAGACAGTGATTGCAGGAGCGGATTGCATCTGTTGCGTCCGTTTACGAACTAACGTTCAGATCGGGTCTGGACGTCCGTTTACGAACTAAACTTATCTTTAGATCGGATTCCGATGTCCTGATCTGGACGTTCGAATCCGATTCGGACCCGATCTGAACGTTAGTTCATAAACGGACGTAACACATCGATTTTAAAACGACAAAGAACCGTAAATATTCTAAAGTACTTTATTTTGTACTTATAAGTTAGTGCTCTACGGATGCGTTGAATCTATTGGTTGTTCAGCTTCTTTTGAAATATTTGTTTTGAAGTTTTGAAATATTAATTAAAGGTTCTTTTCAAACAGGTCGGGCGGTTCTTGACTTGGCTGAATTTTCCGCGATACCCGATTTTCAAAATTATAAAAGCAAATTGAAAGGTTCTGTTTCGTGAAAAATTCGAAGCTCTCTAATAAAGATTAAAAAAACTTTCTTTGTAAATTTACATAACAGAAATGAAAAGAAAGAAACAATATAATAAAGGAAAAAGGCAAATGCTAGCTTCTAAAAATATTCGAATGAAATTTTATTGCCACAAAAAAATAGATACGAATTTGAAATTTTGTTTCCAAAGACGAAGCTACCGTATTTTTGAAGCTAAATGAACTGGTGAAAGCTTTGATCTCAAGGGACTTTCAGCTTGAGAGTTCATTGAACATTTTGTGCTTCATTGAACATGCTGAAGTTCGTTTAAATGATTTCAAAGTTTCGTTTACAAATTGAAATTTAGGTTTAAATTCAAATTTAGATTCTAAATTCAAATTTAGATTCTAAATTCAAATTCAAATTTAGATCAGAAAAAGGATGAACAGATTTATGATGTCAAAGCGATGCAAAAAAAAAGGAAGAGCGGATCAGAAAGTTTGCCTAGTTTCCGTGGTAACTTCTTTTCTTCTTATTTTGGGGTTTAAAATGACCAAACTCCTACCATCAAATAATTGCATTTTCAGAATTTTTCAGAGAAAAAGTACAGTTTTTTGGGTTCAATGTTCATTTCCCCTTTCCACTTTCCCTTCCTTATCCCCGTTTCCAATTTCATTTTGTCCATTTCATACAATTCATTTTGATACGTGAAAATGAAAAGCTTCTATAGCTTTCACGGCTTTTGAATCAAAAATCAAAAATTGAATGTTTGTAAGTTTTTAGTAGTTTTCCTAATCTTTTTAGACTAGAGATCAAAATTGAAAAAGCTTTATGGACTTGAAATTTTAATAAACTTTTAGTTGAGGCCATTTTGCAGATTCTCACGATGATTAGTTTTATCTAAAGCATCGTTTCAATGTGAGACATGGAAATGTTATGTGGAAGTGGGGTGCCAAATCCAATCTGAAAAGAATCTGAATCTTTGAGAATCTGTTTTATCATGGAGGACTTTTAGTTGAGGCCATTTTGCAGCTTCTCACGAAGATTAGTTTTATCTAAAGTTTCAATCGCTTCTAACTACAGTATCCACAAGTCTATCCACAATAGAATAAATATCAACTTTAATCAAATAATTAAAAGTTTTGTAATCTAAAAGTTCTAAGTTTTGTAATCGAACAATTGCAAGTATTTGTTATTGCAATAAATCCAGCAGCTTTATTGTATTCCTAACTATAAGGAATCAAAAACCAAAAAAGCTAAAGTGCAGAAAGTTCTGCCCAGCAGAGGAGTTTCTTTTTCAATCCATCTGTAGAGCACCAACTTATTTACAAGTACACAATAATGTACTTACTTATTTACGGTTCTTTGTCCTTTTATAATAGATGTGCTAGGTCCGTTTACGAACTAACGTTTAGATCGTATCCGAATCGGATTCGAACGTCCAGATCAGGACATCGGAATCCGATCTAAAGATAAGTTTAGTTCGTAAACGGACGTCTAGATCCGAATCTGAATGTTAGTTCGTAAACGGACGCAACAGATGCAATCCGCTCCTGCCATCGCCGTCTAAATTCAAACTTCAAGAAAAACGAGTTCCTAAAAAGCCTTTAGCGAATAGCCGCCATAAAATTCCAGAGCGTGAAAGTGTCCTGGATCATTTTCACGGCCGGGAAATTTCCCGACTCTCAAAATGTATCCAGCTGTTCGGTCTCAAAAAGGATCGATGCGATTGATCGTCGATTTTAGCCCGTTTTTTAAGCGATACGTGCACAGTCTAGTTATATTTCTAAATACGGCTCTTTGTTCTTTTATAATAGATGCAATCCACTCTAGTCGTCTAAATTCAATTTTCAAGCATCTCCTAACAATTCCTAACACTGACGAATTCCTAACAAAACTTCGGGGAGTGGCCGCCATAAAATTCCCAAGCGTGAAAGTGTCCTGTATCATTTTCACGACCGAAAAATCAAAAGGATCGATGCGATTAATCGTCGATTTTTGCCCGTTTTTTAAGCAATCCGTGCACAGTTTAGTTATATTTCTAAATAGATTATCTAGAACGAGTCCAAAGAAATGGAAGAGGAGTTTGATTTACCGGAAATTGATGAAGTTTTTACCTAGAGTCAGTTCACTCAAGAGTAAAGCGTTTTCTAAAAGTTTTATAATCTGGAAAGCCAATTCATGCTTCAGCTACTGGAAAGCTACTAGCTATCTTCATTCAGATTTTATTTCTTTACTTAAATCTAATGTTCATTTGATAAGAAGTCAAATTGTCGTCAAAATTAGATCGAATAGAGAATAGAAATTAGATAGAATGGGGAAAATCTAGAGGAAAGAGCAAGGTAGTTTTCGAAATTACCATTTAGAAACCGGGTTTCTTGGGAGTATTTCAATCTACAGTAACTTTGAGATACTGAAGTCTTAGTGTTTTATCTGCTACAATATTCGGGATCAAAGTTATTCAAGGAAACAGTTGAATAGCATTATTTAAAAGACAAAATAGAAAACCAACAAACTACAAAGTTTAAATGGAAAAGACAACTGAATAAGTTACAGAAATAAGTTCCAAATTACGCCGACATAATATACAATAATGGTTTCGATTTTTAAAAGACAAAATTCCGAATCCATTCATATTTTGTGAATCACCTCATCAAAGAGTTCACAAAAGTACAAAAAGTTTGACGGCCTCATAATTATTTCGTGTTTTATTTGTACAGAAAAAGAGTTTGTTTTGCGCATTTTACTTCCTACTTTTATTCACATAAAGGGCAAAGATTTGTGAACAAAAAATGCAGATTTACTTTTGTTGAGAACTGAATGAACTTTAAAAATGCAAAGAGTTCCAAAAGCACAAGAAATCAGACGTGTGTTTCAAAGAAGTTTTCAAAGAAGCGCTTTCTTTTCTTTCAAAGAAGAGGCTTGTAGCTAAATTTTTGATCAAAGTGATGTTCGGAATGTCCTCTAAGCATTGCACGACGAAAATCCAACCCACAATTTCAGTAAGTAACATTTTTTGATGATTGAACATTGCACGGGAAATGCGTCAGATTTGTGTCTCGAAGAATCGAAGTTTTCTAAAGAGTTCTTCAATTGTTTAGTCCTAAATCTCTATTTAAATGGATTTTCACAATGTTTTCTAACTATTAGGTTGATGCATAAGTGTTTTTGTTCCTTTTCGTCTGCCGTTTCAAGCCAACAAATGCACGAATTAAACTACGGTTGATTTCATTAGAAAAAGCAATTATTTTTCTGCAAAATAACATTAAAACGGGTTTAAAAATATTGAATGCCTGGATTTTCTTGAGAGTATGAAGTCGGGTAGTCAAAAAGGGCTAACTCGATGATGCGGTTTAGACACCTTAGCTAAAGATAGCTAAAGAAAACCTATCTTCGTGTCAATAGATAAAAGATAGAGAAAAAAACGTTTGATATTTCGCCAAAATTTCAGAGAAATTCATTCAGCCAATTTTTCCGTAGAGTTTTTTATAGATTTTTACGAAAAAGGCGTTTTTCACTCTCGAATTTGCTTCAAAGTCAACCGAAATTCATTTAAAAAGATGCAAATTGAACAAAAAAACACTTTTTTTATAGAGCAAACTATAGATTAATTGGTGAATTTGTTACTTTTTAACAGAAGTACGAAAAAAACGAAAAGACTTATGCATCAACCTATTATTATCCAGAAGGTATTGTCTCGATTTCAAGTGTGAAATCTACTGGAATGATACAATCAATTATGGCTCTACCCGAGAAACACGAGAAAAATAATAACTTGATTTGATGAAATATTGATTTGATAACTTGATTTGATTAATTTTGTTCAAATAAATGCCCTAACTATTTATTTTGATGAAATATACAATAGAAAATAAGAGAAAAACAAAACTAAGTGTGGAAATACCTAAATAAACAAAAAGCAAAAGATTTAGCTGCAAAAGGAACTGAACCCGAGCAAGAATGAACGCAGCCGGCTCTTAGCACGAGTCTCCTATCAACGACACTACCAAGGGATCTAGCGGGCGAGTGTGTAGACGCCTGAAATAGACATGCCAAAGGCATTTTTCCCCAAATATTCTGTTACATATAAATCGTGTTACATATTATTAAAAACTGCATCGGATTTCCTGTGAAATTCTTGACAAGGTGGTCTGGGTTTTGTTTTAAAAAGCCACAGTGAGTTCATGCGTTTCCCTAGTAAACATTGCAAGATTAAAATCCAGTCCACCACTTCAGGAAGTACCTTTTTCGATGACTGAACTTTGTACTGAACATTTTTTGTGATTGTCCGTTGTCAAAAGTCCTATAAGTAAACCATTTAATGATCCTAAAACCTTGAAAAACCTTGGCTTTGGCTTTTCCTGAAAATTTGGTTACAAATACCGTAAATACTGTATTAGTACCCCACCCCCCTCGTACAGTCGCGTAGTCGCAAAAGTTTTTTAGTATTTCATTTTTTTCAAAGCGCCCGTACTTTCGAAAAATGCGTCTTTGGTATCAAAAAAAAGCTGAAATCCAGGGCTATTTTTTGATTTGAATTTTTGAATGAGTATTTCTCGATACTGGTTTATGCTACAATGCGCGCTTAGGTATCAAAAAATAGCCCTGAATTGCAGCTATTTTTTGATACCCAAGCGAACATTGTAGCATAAACCAGTGTCGAGAAAAACGCGTTCAAAGCTAGACTACGCAACACCATCATTATAGGGGTGGGGTACTATTACAGTATTTACGGTAGGTAAACCCACTTCTTTTGCCGTGTAAATGGTAAGATAAAACGCCAAAAATAGAGAGAAAACTTGTATTTCAGCTATTTTTTATCTTTTTTTAAAAAGCTTTGTTGTTAGATGGAGTTAATTTCACTAAATAAAGAAATGCCTTCAAAAAATGTTGGTATTTTTGGCCATGATCACGTGATGATGTCTTGTGTTTTAACTTTAAAACAATTGCTCAATTCGCGAATGTTTTTAAAAATCTTTATTTACAGCTTTTAACGGCCACACAGTGCCTACACAAAAAAATACTTTCTAGAGAGAAGTTTTGAGGTAAAATGGGTGAATTTTCGAAAACAGAACAACGAGTCAGAACAACAGAACATCTGGTCAGCGAAAGACAAGTTTAGTTCACCAGATTGCTGGGTACACAAACTTTGGGAGAAGTTCGCTTGCTTTGGGGAGAAGTTCGGTATTGAAATCGTCAGGTTATTTGCGTTTTACAAGTACAATGAACACTCGGCCTCTGTCGCCAAATCATCGGGCATTTGCACGTCGAGGAAAACGCGGAACTCTTTTTCTTTCTGCGTCTCTTCGACGATTGGTGGAGGAGTGGTTGAAGAGATGGAAAGGGAAGTGGTTGAGGGCTAAATTTGGAAAGGATTTGGAAAGATTTGGATTAGCTAGCAGCAAATTTTGCAGCAAAAATCATTTCATGTATTAAGCCTTGAAATGACAGATCTCTGAGCTAGCTCTGAACGTTTTAGATTCGTCTAATATATTCGAGTCTAGCTTGCAAAACCATTTTTGATGTCAACTAAAGTAAAAGAGCTCAAAATCTTAGCTTATCCAATAAGTCTTTTCTTTTTTTTCAAAGTTTTGTTTATAAATGCTCAATGCACCAATTGATTTACAGTTTTACGCCATTATCGATCTTTTTCTCATTTTTTTCGCATTTCTAAACACATTTGGAATCAGTCCGGATTCGAGCGAAAAACTCTATTTTTCAATAACCCATAAAAGAGGCAGATAAAGAAAATGGTTAAACAGACTTTTCTGAAAGTTTAGTTACAGTTTAACAGTTTAACAGACAGTTTCACTTTCTATCCTCTTTCTTTTTCCCATTGACACAAAAATAGGTTTCTTGGGCAGAAAGAGTTCAAATGACTTCATCGAATGGCTATTTTTGGGCTACTTCTCGAACGAATGGCTACTTCTCGCCTTTGAAAGTGCTCGAAAAGAAAGTTTCTTAGAATTTCTCAAAAGAAATTTTGTAGAGAATTAATAGATCTTTCTAAATAGCGCAAATCTTAAGTCAATTGATGTATTGAGCATTTATAAACAGAACTATGAAAAAGAGCGAAACGACTAGACAATATTGAAAAATCCTAAAATACAGAGTGGCTGAAATTTACGTGCGCGTGGTTTTCTCTTCATTGACAGCGCTTTGCAAACATATTTCGAAGAAGTTTATGTTTAAAAAGTAGCTAAGTATTTGTAGTTTTTAGAAATCAAAACCGTTTCTTGAAAGCTCTTTTAGATATGTTTGCAGAGCGCTGTCAATGAAAAGAAAACCAAAACCGTAATCTTCAGCCACCCTGTAAGCTGGATCATTGGACAGCGTAGTATAAGCCTCTAGAGCATCTCTAGAATCGCTAGAACATCTCTAGAATCTCTAGAACAATTCTAGAATCTCTAGAGCATCTCTAGAATCTCTAGAACATCTCTAGAATCTCTAGAACATCTGTAGAATCTCTAGAACATCTCTAGAACATCTCTAGAATCTCTAGAACATCTCTAGAATCTCTAGAACAATTCTAGAATCTCTAGAGCATCTCTAGAATCTCTAGAACATCTCTAGAACCTCTAGAACATCTCTAGAATCTCTAGAACATCTCTAGATAATCTCTAGAATCTCTATAACAATCTCTAGAATCTCTAGAACAATTTACTATTAATTTAATATCTCAAAACTTTTACAGCACCTATTTGAGAAGTGGGCAAAATTTACAAGCTTTGATCTTAACAGTTTTGAAGATTTTTCTATTTCTATAGAATGACTATAAAATGACTTGAACTCTTAAAAGCTTTTAGCAAAATTATGGCAACATCCACTCACTTCTTCAGTTGTTGTTGTGGCCATTTGGGTAGATGTAGGCAATTGTTTCTTTGTTTGATGCCATCCACAAAGGGTCTTCAACTCCTCACGAACCTCCTTGGGAAGATTGCCCAAGAAATTTCGCTCCTAAATCGTAAATGTTGAAATAATCAAATCTTTAGAATAGAATCTTTAGAATCAAATCAAATCGATATCTATGCAAACCTCTTGTCTAATTCTCTTCCACGTGTCATAGGCTTGTTTAGCGTCGGGAGAAAGGGCAGCCACTCGCTCGGATAATTCGATTTTTCTGATTTGAAGCTCCTCTTCCCATTTGTTGAAAAGAGCCAACTGAAAGGATTTGTATTTAGCTTTCATTCAGAAGCGTTTAATTTATATTCATTTTTATTCAGCTGTCACTAAAAAGCTAAGAAGGGAACCTTCCCAAGTTACCCGCGAGTTACAATATGAGGTACAGTACTGGAAAATGAAATATCATATTTGAAAAACGGTCGTCACTTTCGCGCGTCTATAACTCCCTTGTCTTTGCGTTTAAACGATTAGTGTTATACGTTTTCTGAAAGCTCTTTTCAAGGGCTACACAATGGTAAGATTAATATTTAGAAATACGGTAAAGACAAGGGAGTTACAGACGCTCGAAAGTGACGATCTTTTTTTAAATATGATATTTCATTGTCCAGTAGTGTAGGTGCCAAAAGAAAGGCCTGAAAATGTAGGTTTAGAAACTAAATTGTCTATAATTAAATAGCATTAGAAAATAACATCATACAAATTTCTAATAATCAAAAAAAGGGATTTTAATGTTTTTCAAAGAAAAGAAAAAGTTTGACTGCTGGTGGATCCGAGCTAAGATCAAAGAGTTCCGCAGGAAGGCACACTAACCACTAGGCTACGAACTGGCTTTTGGGATGGCGAAAGGAAAGGTTTTCCGCCGGTTTTCTGCCGATTGATGATCAATTTGAGGTTTGCAAGTTGATTTTAGACAAGGGAGACCTTCAAGTATCTGATAAAGAAAGACAAGCGACGAATGAGAATGCGATTAAAGAAGTCGCACAATTGATAGCGGATATGGTGGTGAGTCCAGGGACAAAAAGACCAATTCCTCCATCGACTATTAACAAAGCCTTGGTTGAGATCCAAAACTCAGTGTGCCAGAAATTCGAGAAAAGCTTTCATTTTTTCCAAATTCAAATGGCTATAACTTTGTGCGTTTTGACGATTAGCGGTTTTTGAAAGCAGTTTCTGAACGTACATTTTCCGGCCTTTCTTTTGGCATCTATATTGTAACTAGCGGGTAACTTGGGAAGGTTTCCTTAAGGTTACCTTGGGAAGGTAAGCTAAACTGTGAACAAGCTACCGTAGTCTGGTCTGATTTTTCAACAATATAAGCCGCTTCTTTGTACTTTTTTTGTTCCTTCTTCTTCAGATTTCTATGATAAAGTTTTCTCTAGATTTTTGTCTATAAATCAATTTTGTTTTGCCAGTTGGCTCGTGTCATAAATTGTAAATTTGCCAAGAGTTTGGTTCTGTTCTGAAAGCTTAGAAATTGCACAGAAAGTACACTCATCAGCATTGTTTTTCTTGCATGGCCCTGGTCCGATTCGATCAATTCAAGTATTCAGAAGTTTGAAATTCGGAGATTTGAAATCCAGAGCTCCGAAATCTGGACCTTCTCGAAGGTTTTAATGCTATTCCCACGACAAGTCTTGCTTAATCAGCTCTGACTCAATAATTATTTAAATAATTTTACAGTTTGATCAATTCCTTGAGCAGCAGAAACATTTTTGTAACTCACAGCTTCTCCATTGAGAAGAGCATAGGCAAGTTTCTTCAAAGCGGTCTCCTTCTCGTCGAGTCCCATTTTGTGATCGAACCACACGGCGCGGAACTCCATTTTGATCGCCTAAATATTATAGAGATTTCCAGCTTTATAACGGATAAAATGTAAGCTTTGAATCGCTCAAACAAACGCTTAAACGCTCAAACAAACCTTGGAGACATTTCTCAAGAACGATGGACCACACTTTCCGGCGAAGATCGCATCTCGGATCTCTTCAGGCAAGGTGTGGACGAGTTTTCTGGAGAAACCAGTTGCTGATTTTGGTTTTAATGATTTTGCTTTTGTTTCTAATAACTCAATTATAGTATTTGTAGGGTTTATTGCTTAATTCCTACTAAATATCAACTTTTCCCAAACCTTGTCTCTCTATGTTGTTTGTCGCACTCTTCTCCTTCCTTGTAGGTGGACCAAATGACTTTTACCTGAAAAAAAAGTAGACTCTATAGCTTGGATCAAAGTCGAACAACTCAAAATCTGATTCCCAACTGTTCCCACCCACCTTTTCTTTGTAAGTCTCCGGAAGTTTATCAATGAATCTCGGCAATCCACATGGCGGGCCCTAAAGGATAAAGTTTGATCAAATTCAATATACTCTTGTTCGTAATATAATATAAAACTTAATTTGTTATCATGCTTAAAAAATTCTAATCCATTTCTAATCCAAAAGCTAGATATTTTCGCTGATATTTCAAAGTTTTCTTGCACATCAGCAAATGATTTCAGCCGAAAAGTGAACGTTTCACAACTGTAAAACTGTTAACAATTATTGTAAGCTAATAACTTTGACGATTACTTTTCTACTATTACTTTTCTACTATTACTTTTCTATAAGGAAATATTTTAACAACTTTATTACGTTAATCGTTTTTCTTTTTTCAAAACCCAACCCTTTTTGTCCATGGTCCAAGCGGGCTGAACGGATCGGCTCCCCAGCGAGGAGGATAGGCAAATGCTAGACAAGGGAGGACAAGCAGAGATATCAATTTGTACATCTGAAAGATGAGATGGATAATTTATTGATAAGAAAATATGATATTATTGCTAAAGAAAAGCGTTTCAAAGAACAGAGGCAGATCTAGGATGTAACAGGGTTTGAATCGGATCGAGAACGCCAGTTAATAGTGCAAGTGTTGTGCCGGGTACAGAATTATGGTAACTTTATCGATTTGAGCCTATCTCATGCCTTAATTCAAATAATTGATGCCTTAAATCAAATAATTCTCTTTTTGCTAGTATATTCTGAGTTGTTTGCTTTAGGAAAAAGATTATTAGACAAAGGAAACTGTTTTCTAAAAGTTCTGATAATTATTCAAAGTGTTGAACCACTATGAATCGCTCTAGAATTCTATTTATGACTATGATTGCCTAAAAACATGAATATTTTAAAGAAGTAATCATAAAAGCTTAAAATTCAATCAAAAAAAAACGGTTCTTTTCTTGCAAAAATTTCTATCTAACCATCTACGAAAATCGTGAAATCTCACCCGACGATATTTCTTATTCGGTCAAGAATTCCCGACGCGCGCACTTTGAATAATTGTCAGAACTTTTAGAAAACAGTTTCCTTTGTCTAATAATCTTTTTTCTAAAGTAAACAACTCAGAATATACTAGCAAAAAAGAATTATTTGGTTTAAGAGATTGAGAACTGAGTTAAGCTCAACAACTTGCTCAACAAGCTCAAAAATTCTACCGCATCCTGTAAAGTACTAGTACCAGCGTTTCGCTTGAATGTTTTTGCATGGAATAATGGAAAAGGACTTCGGTTCCTTACTGTTGATTTCGGAATTGGATTAATGATTAAGAGGGACCAACGGGGGCATGCGTACCGCTACGCGAGAGGTGAAATTCATGGACTTCGTTCCACTACAGTATACCGAAACAAATTAACAGAACAACACAACGAAAATATGATTATCTTAGTTGTAAACATTGTAAGGACTAAGATTAAGTTCTAAAAATTTCGTTTAAATGGCTTTAAAACTTTAAAATGGCTAAGCTCTCGTCAAAACGTCAACCATTCTCCTATATATAGTGTGTCCAAAATTGGGGACCGGAAAAACCATCCGTTTGATCGGAAAAATTTCCGACAGACTTCATGGTGGAAAGAAAATCTGGAAAAGACTGGAATGGGAAGTCTCGAGACAAAGCAAAAAGCGAGAGGGATTCTGGAGAAAAGATTTCGCGGGGAGAAAATCGAACACAAACAACAAATGCAATGGGTCACGCCTGGGGGAAAGGGAATGCTCAAAGATTTCTGGGAAAAGATGCGAATATTTGAATATTTGAGAAACGGACATGCAAAACATTAACGCAAATAATGGCGCGTTTGCGCTTCTTTTCGAAAAATGAAGTGGAAATGGGGTTTAAATAGAACTCACTGATCAATCAAGTTAGTGCCAAATAGAAATGCCAAATAGAAAGCATGGATGTAGTTATTATTCTAATTTTTTGTTATCAATCACTTATTCGACAATGACTTTGACACCTAAGCAAGGCTTGTTTCAATAATGAAATGTTTAATTGATTATATTGAGCTGTTTGCCTCCACTCGATGTACGAAAAAGAAGTTTACCACATGGAAACTAATCTCTTTTAGTTGTACAGTTTAGTTTAGTTGTACTGACAGCATTCTCTCTTATAGTGGTGCATCCCGGCGAGCCGAGTTGGTGACTATTCTACAGTTTCCAAGCTTTTGCAGAAGCTAACACTCAAATCCCCCACTAGATCTCATCGTCAGCTACATTTTCCGACCCCAAATCGATAGGTTCTGATAAGCGGTTCTCGAGATTTCGAGCAATTTAGGCGACGCTCAGGGTGCACCACTATTAGAGAAAATACGGTAATCATGTTTGGGAAGATCCCAACTTAAGGTGGAATTAAGGAGGGAAGATCGCCAGCTTAAGGATGAAATTTCAAAACAAGCCCTATCCTATCTTGTTCAATTTTCCGAATCCGCTTTTAGTTTTTTCTAAATGGCTTGCTAGCGCCAGGAATTTGGCTTTAAAGTTTTAGATATCTCTTTATAAGACTTTACAAGACTTTTGACTTCCTCTCTTGCCTCAGAAATATGTCCTTGTTTACGAGAGGTACTGCTCTCGGTTACAAAGCATTTTGCGAGTTCGACTTCCTCATCGACAACATTTTTTAGCTTTTTAACCAATATATGTTTTTTCAACAGTAGCTAATAGCTAAATCTTTAAAGAAATTCCTTGCGTTTCCAAGCCTTTTAGGAAAAAAATAAAAGCGGATTCGGAAAGCCTGTGAAAAATTGAACAAGATAGGATAGGTCCCTTTTGAAATTCCACCCTAAGTTGGGGACCTTCAAATCGCTCAAATTGTAGATTCTTCAAATCGCTCAAATCGGCGACCGTTCAAATCGTAGCCGATCGCGTCGATGCCACTGTCCAGAATCGCATCGATTTCGAGCTTCACATCAATATATTTTAAAAGATCTAGATTATTTCTTTTAATCTAGTTGTGGAGGCAGTCCGATTGTAGTTGTAGCCATCGGGCATTTCCTAAAGCTCCTTCAGATATCCGAGACTTGTCACAGCAGTCATCCCGTCACAGACCTTCCCTAGTAAGATACTGTAAACTCTCAAAGTATCTAAAGGTTTCAAAAATTGATGCAAGTCAGGATTGAGATCGAGAAAATGGTACAAATGATAAAACCTTTTTTTCGATTCTCGGAACAACCCATTTTTCACTCAAACAAAGTTTGATTATGCAAGTTTAATTAATTTATTAAGCCAAATCTTGTGAGCCATTTCGAATACCACATCACAAACCCACGTGTTTCTATTTTGAGACTATTTGCGATGATTTGTACTGAAAAAGAACGCATTCTTTGTCCAAGATTGAATCCTATCGGCAAATCGTTGAGTCTCTTTTTCTTTTCTTTTCTTGAGTCGATTCTTCCTTCCCCAAAGGGAGTCCATTCCTTTGAACAAACAAAAAAATCACTCTCCTTGAAGCCCCTTTCTTGAACACTTCCAATCATTTCCGCCATCCATCGTCTAAAGGCAAACTATGTGAACTGAGGGAAATTTGGAAGAACGACGATTGGTGATTTATTATTTAGATTAAAAACTGCTAAATGTTCAAGACTACACACTACTCACAAGAGTCTTCACTTTTTCACAAAACGAGTAAACCAGGCTCTAATAGGTTGTCCGGAATGAAAATACCCTTTTAATGAGAAATAAATTTATCTTTACAAAAAGAAAAACATGCGCTTTAATCCAAAAGATATTCTCCGTTGTTGGCAATAGTCTTTCTCCATTTCCAAGGCTTTCTCCATTTTTCTTTCAAATCTCGGATCCCTTTGCTGAAGAAATCCCGAGGCTGCGAGTCGAAGTATTGGCCTACCCAAATTCGGACTTCATCGTGATCCTTGAAGTGTTTATCGGCCAGAAAGTGTTGCATAGATCGAAATAATTGGTAGTCTAAGGGTGCCAGATCTGCGGATGCGGGAGACATTCCTAACCCAATATCCTCGAGTTTTCCCTGCGTCTTCTTTGCTGTGTGTGGGCGCGCGTAATCTTGCAGACATCTCACAGTCGGTGTGTTTAAATCTTGATTCTTGAGAGCCTGGTTTACTCGTTGACACAATGAACCAACGATTGATTCTATTTTATTATATTTTCTTGCTAGATTAGTATTTGTGTTATATTCGGAATAAATATCTAATAATCATCGCCCCATCGGTACCCTCTCACGCACTGCACACCAATAAAGCAATTTCTTGCTCAATGATCGATGCTCTCTTTTTCCACAGCTTCCGCCTCGGATAACGAGATGATTTCCGAGTATTGGAACATCAGATATTAAAAAAAAAGCCCTTCAAAGAAGTTTACAATTATCAAACAAGTTTTTTAAAAGCAATTGCTGGAAGCAAAAGCTGGAATTGCAAAGTATGTTATCACCGTAAACAGTGTTAAAAAAGATCAATGAAATTCGGTTTAAAATTTGTGTTCTTTTTGAGTTTTGCTTTTTGTTCTGGAACTTTTGTTCTTTTCCTTTTCTTCTTTATTTCCACAACTCATCGATCTTTTTTGGTGTGGCCGATAAAAGTGAAAAACGCAAAGATATACTCATAACGAGAAAAACGAGAAAAAACGAGAAAGGGCCGATTGATCTTTCTCTCCAAAAATTTTCAGAGGCGTTGCTTTTCGCTGACTTGCTAGGACTTGTTTGTAAATGTTTTCGCTTCTGAGACTATAAAAAAGCTAAAATCTCAAATTTTCCTTGTTAACCATAATATTCTATTCATTCAAGATGCTGTTTTTGTTTCAATTTCTGCCACTAAACCTTCAAGAATCCGTGCTTAAGCAAGTCCGCATTCACGAGGCTCTGAAATTATTGTCGCTGACAAGAGATCTTCGTTTGTATTTCCTAAAGAATAGACCATTTCCACAAAAGTTGGATGCTTTAGAGATCACATTTGATGACGGGAATGTGAGTGGTTATTCTCAATCAATTCAAATGATCTTTACTCAAGAGGAGCCCCACAGAGTGCCCAGTAGCTTTTGTCTATCCAATCAGGAAAATCAATTTGAAGCTGAAGACTTTCAAATGGTGGGCGCCTATGCTTGGCCGTTGATGGCCACGATAAAAAGCTGCAAAAGTTTGAGGGTTGTTTTCAAGAATGACGGTCAATATCTACAAGTACCGCTCTTCCCGCCGGGTTTCTCCCATCACCGAATTTCGACCGCTCGCCCAAACCAGCCGAATCACATGCCACCACCGGGAATTGATCCGCTAATGTTGGAAATGCAGATGTTCGGGAATGCGAATCACCCACCGTACCTCCAGAGTCGCGTCATGCGGCAAACGCGAAACGCACCGCTGATGATGATGAGAAACGCTCCGACGATGATGCGAGCTGTTGGACGCCAATTGACCAATATGCCAATTGGTCAAGCTCCAGCTGGGGTGAATTTACAATGTCCAACTATTTACCAAGGACCACCAAGAAAACGTCAAAGAGCCACTAATCCACCTATGCATTCATTTTCGATCTCGAAATTTTTGCCTCAAATTCCGATGCTTCACTCTTTACACTTGAAAGTGAGAACCCTTGACCAATTGCAACTCACAATTGAAACTTTGAATGCAAAAGTTTTCGGTCACTTTTCCACAGATCCACCACCCTCGTGGCCAATTCATCGTTACTTAAATGAGAAAATTGATCAACAATTGGCCGATTGCCGCTCGATCTCGATTTGTGGCCCATTGGAGCTCTACTATGAGAAACTCTCAAGGTCAACGATCCAAAAGATCAACTTGCACTCTTGTGAGTACTCGACTTTTCAGATGACCGTTTTGAAAGTCCTCCAAAGCAAAATCCCCAGTTTGTGTCCAACGGCACAAATTGCAATCACCGTTTGTGGGGCTCAGATTGATGAATTTGAAGAAATCGATGAGATGATCGATAGCCAGCTAGGGATTTTGAAGATATCAATTCATTCAAGGGAAACACAAAAATTTTTGAAATCCTTGGATTTAAGCGAGCCAATCGCTCGGCTCCGTTGCTATAAAAAGGAAATGAATTCGAAAATTTGCTATTTCTCGTTGAAACTCTCCCATAAAGGCATGTCCAAATCGAGCCTCGAATTTTCTGCTCTTTCTTGATGATCAATAATTTTTATTCTATTGAGATTTTGTAATCCTTCATTTTCCATTTGCTCGCAAAATTTTGATAACTTTTGGCTCTTACTATGGATGATCAATCTCGATGTTCAAATGAACACCCAAATTCTGTGCTCAGCGTGAGATTCTGCGTCGAATGGCCTATGGCGCATGTCATAGGCATGTCATTGACCATTCTATCCAGTTGATCTTTCCTGGTAAGCGACATTTAAACTTTACTCCAAATATTTTCGCGTTTTTTTTTATTTTCTCATCCTTGTTTACCTCAAATCCACTCTTACACTGATCTTTCTTTTGGTCTAAATTATATTTGATTTTTTATTTGTAAAAATCACTTACGAAAAGCTTTTTTTTCTTAACTTTTGCCTTTCACTTGAGGAATTTTTTATTTTTTATCTTACTCTTTACTGGGTTTTTGTTTTCGGTGTGTTATTTCTTGAAATAGATTTATGTACCGTAAATGCTGTATTAGAATGAAATGTCATTTCTATTTTTCAACCCCTCAAAATCGACCGATCCAAAAAGTAGGTAAGCGGGATCACATAAAATAAAAATTTAGAATTCGTTAAAAACTATTTTAAACGATAGCTCTTTGTCCAAAACGTACAAAAAACACGTTTAAAAGTGAAATTATTTACTTACCCGCGATCCCTTTAAATCTCCAAGAAAAAAAATTCATGTGGGGGACCCTTATGATTTTTTTAAAAAAACTTTTTCTATTTTTTTTTCAAAAATAGTGTTTTAAATTTTATTGCCGATAAAATATTGGGAGGTTTTAGGTCTAGATCTTTTCATAGAACCCCCACAAGGGGTCTAAAGTTAAGATTTCGAGGGGTCAGGGGTGTCATTCTAATACAGCATTTACGATATTTTAATTTTTTTTTTCACATGATGAAATTGTTTATTTAGCTAGCCACTTTGAAAGAATACAAATAAAGATTTCTAATGTGTAAGAAAGACAAACAATAGTCAAAGTTTGTGCAATGACCACGATTCTGTAACACAACCGAAATTTATAAAGCTTCAGTTAGCTTCAGTTTACTGGTTGGCATCCGGTTTTTAGGCAAAATTTAAGATCTTTAGTCATCAGAAAGTAAATACATATAAGCATCCAGCAAAAAGATTTGACATTTGATTTCCTTAGCTTCAGAATTTTAGCATAAAAGGAAAACAAAAGCAAAGACTGAAATCAAAAAAATGTCGATTAGTGAAGGGTTTTGTAAAAGTTTTAACATTTAGAAAACAATCGATTTGCAAAAAGAAATCACATATGTCATGCCATCGATGAGAATGGAAAAGCTTTTCGTGAGACTTTCAAAGAGAACCACTTTTGGGCCCATTGGGTTTTCTACAAAATAGACAAAATAGATTGGGAAAAATCTCAAGAATTTCTTTACCTTCGAACAATTTTCAAAGAGCAGCATTTCCAAAGGGATTTTGATTGAATGGGATGATACCACAGCGGTTGTTGACTTAAAAAGGTTCTCCTAACTTCGTTCAAGCACAAATTCTTCAACAACTTCTATATCAAATGGCTTCGTTGAACATTGCTTCACATTTTTGTTGCATAAAGAATTTATTTGGTTGAGGACTAAAGACCCTAAGCCTGAAAATAGTTTTTAATCATTTTACAAATTTTTTTGAACTTTAAGCTTCAAAACCAGTCGCCGGCGTAAAAAAGGCGACATCCCAAACCTAAGATATGAGCAATCGAGTTATTAAACTCTGGAACATTTTACCCCTGATGTTCGTGATATTCTGATATTCCCACCATGGCTAGATTTAAAGCCGCAATTTCGGCAATTGATTTGACTGCTCTGTGATTCTTTCTTGAGGTATCTATTTATTTTTTGGGTATGTTTTTTGAGTGGTATCCCGGGTAATTATTGTGATTTTGTTTTGTCGCTATTCAACTAAATAAAGCATATATATTAGGTTGTCCAATAAGTAATGCGTGTTTTGACACGATTTTCAAAATATCACAAAATTAACAAAAGGACGAGCATTGTCAAACTGCAGTTTAATCATCGAAGTGTCCTCTCCTTTACGACAAAGAGCTTGCTGCACTCTTTCCAATTGTTGAGAGTACAAGTCAGCAACGACTGGCCTTCCAGCGCGTGCGTCGTCCTCTAACGACTCGTTTCCGTCCGCAAATCGTTTAAACCTGGCACTGGCTGATTGAAATTGAATCCTCTCCAAATGCGGCACAGATAGTTCGATGGCAATCCGCTGCAGTTTTACCTCGTTTGAAATCATACAGCATTGATGCGCGGACAACAAACTTTTTGTCTTTCATCTGCAAAACAACATATCTATTATAAAACAAAAGCAAATGAATAAAATAATATATAAAAATAAACACAAAATGCTGATGATTAAAAAGAGCATATATTTGCTCGAAGCGATTTCGCAATAGTTTCGAAATAAGTAACACGCATTACTTATTGGACAACCTAATATAATTCAAAGTGACTCTATCGAAAAGCACTAATTTCAATGTTTCGATTCTCCTGAGCTCAAATTCAAACAAAAAGTTGCGACCTCAAACTTCGCTCAACATCAACATCAACAATCAACTAGGCTGTTTTACACTATTTTAAGTTACATACCGGACGAGTTGTTAGCAGCGATGGCCGGATCGTGAAAATCCCGGATCGGATCGGATAATTTGAAAATCAAAATTCCGGACTGGATCGGATCTGGATTGAAAACAGCAAAAAAAATAGTCAGATTTACTTTATGGAAGAAACAAAATTTTGAACTACTTTTTAGCTCTTGTTGGCACAACAAAATACTCAGCTATTCGACTGAATATCATGAGGTTGCCTTACAGCTCCACAGTAACATTGAAATGCCAATGATTTACGGTTAAATTTGCATACGACACAAAATTAACATATACGAATGATCTTGCTGAGCACGCTGGTCATAGTTTAATAAGCAGTTAAATAATTTGAAAACCGGACATTTCCGGACATTTGGGTCGGGTTTCGGATTGGATTATAATCCGGAAAAAAGGCCAGATCCGTATCGGATCATCCGGTCATTCCCTGGTTGTTACCCTTACAATTTTTCTTCCTACAATTTTTCTTCCTACAATATATTCAGCTCAAAACGCGGACATCAATCCTGCTCACTGTCAGCAAGTTAATTTTCGCAAAATTTTCACTTCAAAAGATTAAATGTCAAAAAGAAAAATGTTTGCTGCACGAAGATCGTCTGTGCAAACAATCATCAGCGATTTATTATATTTTTTAACTTTTCACCAAATAATTCAATCCAGAAAATGCGGAAAAAAGTATTGAAAATATTTTCTCTTTTCTAAAAAAACGAATCTAAAAGTTAATTCAAACGTTTGCACAGTGGATACGAAAAACGATGACCGTCATGAGTCGTTTAAAAGCAAATTTTAAAGAAGCAAGTTTAAAAGAACATTAGATTCATCCAGCACATATTTCCCTCCAACTCGAAATGAGCGATTTTCCACGTTTAATATGCCTCTTCAGCATTTTCGCAAAATTTTCAGGAATTTCAGCTCAAAAGGTCAGCATTGTAACAATATAATTGCTAAGTTATAGGTCTTTTCAAAAAAAAGTTACCGTATTCTCTCGAATAGCTTTTTTTGCACTCTCTCAAAATCAGCCGCCCCCAAAAGTAGGTAAGGGGGGACCAAAAGGAAATTCTTTTTTTCAAAAACTTTCAAAAATCAATTCTACGTGATACCACTTGATCTAAAACGTACAAAAAACATGTTTAAAAGTAAAGAAATATTCTTGATCGGACTCTGAAAGCATTCTTCCAAAAAGAATCCCTGTGGTCTGCCGAATGAATTTTTTGGAAAATCTATTTTCTAAATTTTTCAAAAACCGAGTTTTTATTTCTGATAGTGTAATTCTATACATTTTGAAAATAAATATAAAATTCTACCCAAAAACGACCCTCAAAACTCAAGTTTTTGGATGCAATACTACAGGGTGCGCAACAAGTATTGTCTTTGGTTTTTTGGTCATAGATATCGCTAAATCTATTCAATATGTTTTCAACTAAATCAAAAATGTAGCAAATTTTCTGTAGTTTCTAAAAATTATCACCATTTTGTCTTAAACCCTCTAGTTTTTTTAGTTATGGCCTTTTCCGCGCGCGCTCCAAAAAAGCCCCCGCGCCGCAGCTCGTTTTTTCGAATTTTAGGCCTAAATATTTTTTGTAAAATGCGACTTCAGCAGGTACACCGAACACAAAAGTCACTTAGGATAAATCAAACAATTTTTTAACACCAAATGCATAATGCTAGCTTTCATTTAAAAAAAATTACAAAACAACGATTTTTCGCATTTTTTTGAGATGTCAAAACGTAAATTCGAGTAAATTGTAAAACATTTTTCTTCAATTTTTCTTGGAGTTTTTTTGAGGTTTTTTTTTAAATTCTACCAAACAAATTCTACTTTTCTATAGCCAAATTTAATGGAGATTCTAATGAAACCAACCAAAAGTTCATTCGACTTCCATAGCTCGAGTCATAGACCATCTAAGCTCAGCGACTTTTTAGGGTAGGTAGTTTAACTTTAACTCAAATTTCCTCTATGTTTTTACACTAGAGTATACAAAATAAATTCCACTTTTCTATAACCAAATTTTATGAGGATTATTTTAAAACCAACTCCAAGTCGATCTGATAATTGGAAGTTGAGTAACAGAGTAAAATCGAAGAGTCCCCAAACTCCGAGACTCCCCACGGAGTTTGGAAGGGTCTTTAAACTCCGAGACTTCTATCTGGAAGGTCAAGAAACTCTTCAATGAACAATTTGAAACATCGTTAATGCCGCTAGCTCAACGTACAAAAATATATTCTAGAACGAATCCCAAAATGACCGCCGGCTCAGAAGCTTTTTTTGCTTTTTGCTTTTTGGAGGGCGCGGAAAAGGCCATATATAAAAACTAGAGAATCTATTACAAAACGATGATAATTTTAAGAAACTACAAAAAATTTGCAATATTTTAGATGGGATTTTGACAATATTAGTTACGCTTAGCGCTATCTGTCGACAAAATACCGGACGATAATACTTATTGTGCACCCTGCATTGGAGAGTGCTATTAGAGAGCAATATTAATAGGGAGAAGACGGTAATTGCTTTTCCCCTAACTGGGGAAAGGCAACAAGTCAAAGTGGCCTTTTCGGACCAGACGTAGACCATCTTGTGCACTTTTTCAGGCTCCGATGCTGCTTTTAGTTTTCCCTGCGAACTTCTGTGAAAGGAGATACTTGGAAAACAAAATAAGCTTAAAATTTACGCAAGACTGTCGAGACGGTTCATTTTTGTGCTTGGGGGAGATGAACTCTACAACGCTCTCAAAAAGGCAAGCACATTGTTTAGTGAACGGTGCGCTGTTTAGTGAACGGTGCGCTGTTTAAAGAACGGTGCGCTGTTTAGTGAACGGTGCGCTGTTTAGTGAACGGTGCGCTGTTTAAAGAACGGTGCGCTGTTTAGTGAACGGTGCGCTGTTTAGTGAACGGTGCGCTGTTTAAAGAAGCGCTGTTTAGTGAACGGTGCGCTGTTTAGTGAACAATGCACAAATTTTTGTCCCTGGTTCGAGCCCGCTGCCCGTCGAACCTTTTACTTTTGAAACATTTTAAAAGCATGTTCTATAAACTTTAAAATGGCTACTAACAAGTTATTAATGAAATGACAACTTAAAAATGCTGAAATAAAGTTTTATAACCGAAACCAGTATACATGAATTTCTATGAGTGTTCACAAGTCCAGAACAAGTTATTAATCAACAAGTTTAACTTTAAATATACTTGTTAATGAACTGAATACGTCAGATTTAAAATATAAGTGATTCAAAATTCAGAAAAAGATTTAGACAAAAATAGACTATCCACTCGGCTAAGAGCTTACCTCTTGGGAGCGTTGTAGAGTTCTTATGTGCTAGAAGCACAAAAACGATCATGGATTTGTGGTTTCTTTGTGGTGAATGGGTACGGTAAACCCATGTATCGATGGGGGAAATCGAAAAGAAAACTCGAAAATATAAAAAACTTTATGAGCCCTAAAAAGAAATCCTTTTGTCATCAAAACATCTACCACAATAGCTTTTTTGGAAATTGAAAAACGAGTCACTTTTCTTTTGGTAAACACTGTATTTTCAGCTACCTTGTCCAGCGTATTCTACCACCAACACTGCTGGAATCTATTCCCGTGAGTTTCTTGAAAGAAAAGAAAAACAACGTTTCCACTCTAGCTGCCAACGCGGATTACAGCTGCCAAAAGGGTGTTTGCCGTTATTTGACCACCTCACTGGGGAGCAGTTATGCCTGTATTGATGTATTTGCAAACGGATTTTAGTGATTTTTAAGTTTTTTTTTCAGGAGAACATTCTCTGCCCAATCATGAACACAAGCGTGCGCACGGAGACAATAATATGTAGGTGGAACTAGATAGACTTTGTACAAGTTATTGTAAAATAGAAAATTGACACAAAAAAGTACGGTACAAAAAAATTAAAAGAATTAATTTCTGGGTGTAGCTGTATGAGTGATACTTTGCACTAAAAAAGCAAGTCTATACGAGGCCGATCTCACAAGGGAAAGTCAGGGGTCAGTCAGTCAGTCAGTCAGTCAGTCAGTCAGTCAGTCAGGCAGGCATAGGAAGTCATCATGCAGTCATCATCCGCTTTTCAAAATCTGAACATGCCATTTTATGTAAGCGACCTCGCTGATTCCGAATCTGAAATCCGTTTCTGCTAAAGCGTTACGGAGTCGCGAGATATCTGGCTTACAAGTTTTCCGCATCCTTTTAAAAGGCAGAGATCAAAGAATTAATGCGTCAATGGCTAAGTGGTAGGTCACTAGACTGCAACCCAAAAGAACAAGTTTCAATCGCGGTTGTTTCAATCCCGGTTGTTTCAATCCCGGTTTTTTTTTTATTACATAATAGATCACCAACATTTGGAATCATAGCTAAAGTTTTACTTTAAATGTAAATTCTTCGAACACCAAAAATTTCACTCTAACCTGTAAAAGATTCTAACCTCTAAACAAAATTCTAAACAAAAAAAACAATCACAAACGGGACTGAGTCCTGAACTAGTGGATTGTAGTCTAGTGACTTAGCCACTTAGCCATCGACGCATTCGATTCCCAGACTTTTCCTCCGCCCCTTTTTGCCAATCGCAATCTAACTTTGAGGCTTAACATCTCGACGCATTTAGCCCAAACCTAAAAAATGTTTACACCATTCAAAAGAGAATTTAATCTCATATCGAATGAAGCCAAGTTCAATGAGATTGGACGAAAATGAGCTGAGATATAGAGCATCAAAGTTAGATTGGCATTGGCATTGGCAAAAAGGAGGAAAAGCCCTTTAACCGACGCATTCATCGACGTGCCTCAGAACTAGAGTGAGCTGGTTAAACAAATTAATCGTTTAAAATTCGCATTTAAAATTTGAATCAATTAACCAAGAATTGACCAGACAAAAGTTAACAAGAATTAACCGCCAAAAACAGCCAAATAACTGAATACCTTTAATGCAAGGTGACGAAGATAGCAGATTTTTTCATTTCCTTTCACTTTTTCGTTTAAAGCCATACATTTGAATATCTAAAATTAGCATTTACTTGTTGGTTAACCGAGCTTTTACAAAGAAATGCTAATAATAGCCTCATAATAGCCAAATTATGCAAATTTATAGTTTACAAATACCGTATTTTCTGTAATAGTAGTGCGCACTTCTATTTTTTCAACCCCCCTCCAGCCTGCACTACTATTACAGACTGCACTACTATTAGAGAGTTTCCTTTTTTCACTAGATCCATACCTTTACCAGGCAATAATAATAGGCATCATGTACGTATGCCATCCCTTTCTTCCAAGTGAATCGAGTTGTTGGTCGACGCGTCGAGAGGTGATGTCTTTCCATAAAACAACTTAGCCAGCCAATTGATGCTGAAAATTTCTCGTCATTTTTCCATATCATTCGAGCATGATTTTGGATCATTTTGCGAGTCAATCGCAATTTCTTTAATCGCTTTTCTCGGATCCAATTCAGGTCGAAAGCTGTGTCCTTCAATTTCCGACCACCACCTTCCAGGTGCTTCAATTGTTTTCCTTTTTGTTTCACAAGATCGTCCTTTTGCTTACACCACTGGAGAACATTTTGCCGATGAACACCGAATCTTCCGAATCGAAAATAAATTGTCACAATCTCATAATAGCATCACATTTAGCTACCCGTATGCTTTTAAAACAAAGGAAGTCAAAGTCAACAACAACAGAGCAAATTTTAGCAGGGCGCACTACTATTTTTTTCAACCCCCCTCCTGCCTGCACTACTATTACAGACTGCACTACTATTACAGAAAATACGGTATTTTTACAAATAGTTTAACCAAGAGAATCTCACTTTACTCAGGCCACTTTACTCAGGCCACTCACTTTACTCCTGCCTCTTAAAGGATGCCAAAAACTTGTAAGTCAGATATCTCGCGACTTTGTTACGCTTTAGCAGAAACGGATTTCAGATTCGGAGTCAGCGAGGTCGATTACATAAGCTGGCATAGTCAGATTTTGAAAAGCGATTGATGACTTTTTGCCTTTCCCTTGTCAGCATCAGGAAAAGTCTTTAACAATGGAGAAGAGATTGAGTTCTCCTCATAATTATTTTCGAGCAATGTGCTATTCAATGATCAATGTCAATGTGCTACATAAATCAAATCTAGTAGCTGATTCGCAATTTTCGTGCCCAGCCGGCTTACAATGTGTACGCGACAGAGCAAATCCGACAACCGCTTTCTGTGTCCGCTCATCAGCTGGCTCAACCCCTTCGCCCACAACTTCGTCACCAAATTTTCAAACAACTAGTACAGGATTTTCAAGTTAGCAATTTCTTCTTATCAAAACTAATAATGAAGAAATTCTTTTTAAATGAAATTCGAACCAGCTAGCAAAAAGCTTTATGTAGCTTTATGTAGCTTTATTCTTTAGTGTGCCAGGACCATTGGACTTACAACTCACAAACCGGCTACTATTATTGTCTACAAGTATTGCTAATTTGGGAGAAAATTGCAATTTTCATGTATTTTAGGACTTCACAAGCGGGATTTATTCCTTTGCATATGCCGAAAACTATTGCGTGGCGTTTGGTGGTCATTTAGTGTCGATTCATTCGGATGTCGAAAATGCTTATGTTTTAAGTTGGTATTTGGTTGTAAACTAATTCTTGATGCTTCATTTTTTTATGAGTCATTTTAAAAATGATGAATTAACCAATAGAAAAACGGGTTTTTTCTAGAGAAAGAGCAATTTTTTCTCTAAAAAATCGCTTTTGAATGTTTGAGAAAAGGTTTGATTTTGGGAATTTCTGAGAATTCGAAAATTATAGCCAGAATTGGCAATCAGTTGCAATCAGGCAATCAGGCTGTGATCAGGCAATCAGGCAATCAGTTGCAATCAGGCAATCAGGCTGTGATCAGGCAATCAGGCAATCAGTTGCAATCAGGCAATCAGGCTGTGATCAGGCAATCAGGCAATCAGTTGCAATCAGGCAATCAGGCTGTGATCAGGCAATCAGGCAATCAGTTGCAATCAGGCAATCAGGCTGTGATATCAGAAGCGCTATTTTGCTACTTTCTTCAGCAAAAACCTATCTTCCAATCCATAGAAAAAAGTTTGTTATTTAAGCTTACGTTAGAAGCGTTAGGTGTTTGGGAAATTTTAGAAATATCTTACAAGCTTTTTATGTTAAATTATTCAAGTTTAACCCGCTATAAATCAACATTATATTCTGAAAATTTTGGAGGATTTTTTCTTCAAATTTCTAGAAATGGCGACTGCTTCCACTGTCAACCAGGTCACAATGGCCAATGATGCGTGCTACGGATCGAGAGTTTGGATTGGCTACAGAGGCACGGGTGCAATCGGGAAAGGAACATGGACAGACGGAACATCCGATGATTACAGCCACGGCACAGCTTTTGCACAATCACAGTCGGCCCCAGCTAATTACAGTTGGATGGTACCAACAAAAAAAAAGTAAAACAAAACAAATGTTTTTAGGTGAGAAACGATCCAGGTTGTCCGGGTCAAAGTGATTGGGTTCCTGGTCCGAAAGTCTCTCCATTTGATCAGCCACTCGATTTGGCTTTTCGTTGGATTTGCAAACGGAAAACGACTCCATAAAAGTTTTTTTAAAAACTTTTATGGATGAATAGAACTTTATTTTAGTATTTTTTAAATAAAGAATTTAAATAATTGCTTTTTCAATTTTTTAAAAACAAATTCAGGCTTATTTTGCGGTCAAATTCGAGCGCAACCCCTTATTTTTAAAATATCTGCGGAGGTGGCTACTTTGCGCCAAATTTTTTGCGCAACTAGCGCAACTCGCCATAACTTTCTTCTAAGTCGGCCAATTTTAATGATTTTGGTGTCATTTTGTAGATCTCAACAAGTGCAATAAAATGACACCAAAATCATTAAAATTGGCCGACTTAGAAGAAAGTTATGGCGAGTTGCGTGACCCAGTTGGGCAAAAAATTTGGCGCAAAGTAGCCACCCCCATATCCGCAAAAGAAGAATATAAAAATAAACGGCTGAAAAGACTGTTTTGAAAATTTGCGTGCAAGTCTAATTCTTTATAATCTTTTTTTTATACCAAGATAGGTTTCAGTGGAAGAAATCGTTAAAATCGCATTAAAAAATTTTTGAAATTCTTGACTATTCGCCTTCTTACACTCAGAAAAATCAAAAAAAAAACGAGCTTTTCCAAATTCTCAAATACCACTTTGTAGAAAAAAGACAGACCTTTCTAATCAAAACAAACCGAAGGTCAACTTATACGTTTCTAGGTATAAACGGATGTGGACTAGAATTTGGGTGAAGTTAAAGAGAGTGGATCCCTTTTGATATCTCGCCATCTCTAACACCCCGACAACCCAACTCAACTCCTCCAACGTATGAGAGGGGAGTCCCTGTGAAATCGCCGACCTGTACTGCAGTTGCATAGATCCGGAAGATACGTATCTTTATTTACAGTAATACAATAAGATGAATAGATTACAAATGAGTGTAAGGGGAAGGGGGGACTCCAAATGAGAGTCTCATTTGTCCTCCTAGGCAAACCTAAGGGCCCCTCTCGGCCTCCTAGGCCCTTCTCGGCAATAAAAGGGATAAGCACAGAGGATAACACATTTGCATAAGATTAGACAAAGCATTCAATAATAACAATAGTAACTAAAATATCAGTTTGGCTCGGAGCTGACATCCGCCCCCTTTTCGGTCCGATGACCGTCCCCGGTCATCTTTATTCTCGCTTCGTTGTCTATTGTATTCATCTCCTCCGGTCGTTGTTTACGTGGTCTTCCTCTTTTTCGTTTTTCTTTCTCTTCTTGGATTTGTTGTTCTTCATGATCGTTCTTTTGAAATTTCATTTCATTCTGTCTTGCTTCGACAAACTTTTTCACGCGATCAATGTGAACTTCTTGTACTTTCTGGAACTTGCCTCCACGGACAAGTAATTTAGATCCTCGGATTTCTTTGACTTCAAATGGTCCTTCATATTTTGGTTGTAATTTTGATTGTAGTTGCCCAATTTTTATCAACACTTTTTCTCCGACTTCAATTGGCTTTTTAGCTGTTTTGTGTTTTTCATTGTACTGAATTTCATTTCTCTTTTGTGTTTCAGCGAGTTTTTCTCGGGTTATTTTCCATACATTTGCCAAAGTTGATTCCAAGATTTCTGAGTACGATTCAGGTGAATTGTACCGTCATTTTGGTGTTCCGATGAATTGATCATGGAATTGATTTGGATCTTTCCCAAATATTATATCAGTTTGGCTCGGAGCTGACAAACTAATGGAACAATTGTTTTGAATAATTTGTTACCTAAAGAAATTTTGATTAAATTTCACATTTGTAATAAACAAAACAGACAGAGATTGGGAAAAATCTCAAGAATTTCTTTACTTTGGAACAATTTTCAAAGAGCCGCGTTTCCAAAGGGTTTTTGATTGAATGAGATGATATGTTGTTGTTGACGTTGTTGACGGTTGTTGACTCAAAAAGGCTTCCCTGACTTCGTTCAGGCACAAATTCTTAAACAACTTCTAGATCAAATAGCTTTATTAAACATTGCTTTACATTTTTGTTGCAAAAAGAATTCATTTGGTCATTTGATTGACGTCTAAAGCCTAAAAGTAGTTTTTAATCATTTTACAAAATAACAAAAAAGTCGAATATCGAATATTTCGATCGAGCGGTATCGAATCAGAAAGCAAAAATGCATAGGACGCTCACGAGCTAACCACTAGGCTACAAGGCACTTTTCGACAAGGCGTAATTGTGCATTATATTTCTGGACGCAAATGAAATTGTAAAAACCTTTCAAAAAGCCTAGGCTCTGAGAATATTTTTATTTTTTTAGGCCGACTTACAGGAATTCTTTTTAAATCAATTTGTGTCAAAGTGCTCACTAGGGAAAGGCACCAGCTCAAGTTGACCTTTTAATACAAGAGCTACAGGGCTTTATAGAATTGCCTATGCTGATTCTGAATATGATTTTACTTTTTCCAAATGAGCTCTGTAACGCGAGATATCTGGCATCAAAGTTTAGGCCGATTTTTCGAGTCCTTATTTCTCGTGAGTTCCGAGTCGTGAAATTATTTTGACTTTTCGGCGCAGAATATTAAAAAAATCTCGTGGGAAAACCGAATTCCACAAAATTCCACAAAAACTCAATTCAGTATTTTGAAAGGGCGTGATAAGAGCTATTGAATGCCATTTAACACTTTATGGTTCGATGAAATGCGAAATTTCACTAACATCAAAGTCGCCGCCTTTAATTCGGAAATTTTGGATGATTGTTGTTGGATTATTTGATTTTTTCCTTTCATTTTTGGGACTAACTTCAAATTTGTAGTGTTCGAATTTTTGCTTTAAAGAAAAAAAAAGCATTTACATTAGAATGTACTTGTTCGGATGTATCAATTAGGGCAGTAGATATCAATTTTTTTTTTATAAAGATTAACAAATTTCAGCCTGCAATCTTACGCTTGCGAATTAAAACAAAATGTGCGACACGTTAACTTCATTTTGTTTAGCACCAAGCAGTTTCATGATTGAAGAGATCTGACATCCCGCGAACATCATCTAATATGGCCGAGTGGCAACACAATTGTAGCATCATGTGATAAAGATGTGACAGAGATGATCAGCAATGAGTGACCATTATGCTTTTTGCTTGTGCTTTTTGCTTGTGCTTTTTGCTTGTGCTTTTTGCTTGTGCTTTTTTCCAGAGATGGTGCTGCTGGCACCACCGATTCGAGTACAATGTGAGTTCAGCCACGAGACGCCGGCCAATCTATCCCACCATCTCCCACCACTCCTCGCAATATCAGCCGAATCGCAGAAGTTTGTGAGTTTGTTTTTTTGACAAATATTAGCAAATTTCCTAGTGCAACCTTTAAATCAAACCAAACTGCATCAATGAAATGTCAAATTTCACTAACATCAAAGTCGCCGCCTTTAATTCAGAAATTTTGGATGATAGTTTTTGGATTATTTGATTTTTTCCTTTCATTTTTGGGACTAACTTCAAATTTGTAGTGTACGAATTTTTGATTTAAAGAAAAAAAGATTTACATTAGGGTGTAATCGATGTGCATTGCCTATGAGTTTCTTGTGACCCTTGTGACCTTTTTTTATGAGTTGAACTCGAATAGTGATAACGAAAAACCCTAGCATTTCTTCCAGGGTCAACAGATGACCCAACCTTTTTCGCTCTTACACAAAAAGAACAGATTTATTGCGGTTTTGTCGCAAAAATCGTCGTCATTTCATGGTTTTTCCAACTTTAAAAAGTTTTAAAGCATTGATTTTTTTAGAAATTCTCTATCTTCTAATCAAAACTTTTTATGTTTCAATAAAATTTTTGCCAAAATTGCAGATAAAACATTTGAGCACCTCTATTTTTCGCTAGATTTCGAAATGGGCCCCGTTTTCCTTTGTGCCGGAAAAGATCGAAGCGAAAAAGGAGCGCCATTTTTCGCGCGCATTCTCCCTTTTTTTTCTTTGAGCCGTTCAGTTTTTGGATGAATGGATAGAATCGAAAAAAAATGGGGAAAGGAAGCATGAAAAACGTTCATTTATTGGGGGAAAGGCTATTCGAAACGGGTAAATTCCAGTAATCGCTTGAAAAGATGCTAAAGAAATGTGCTGTCTATTTCTACCAAGCTATGATATTTTGAAGTTATTGTATATTGCGTAGCTTTTTGGACCTTTACGATATAAAGTCGAACTACGAATGATAAGCTGCCGCGTCCTTCGACGTTCAAAGCGCAATGTACCCGGCCACACTATTTTTTTTCAATCTTTCTCCAGCTAAGCGTCTGGTTCTTCGTTTCACAAAGGATTGTCTTTTCTTCTTTTGCTCTCCTTTGGCCCTTCCAGGGGGCCAAAGGAGAGCAAACGAATGAAACGACATACCTGCAATTGTTTCTCTTCGATCACACCTCAAAAAAAAGGTTATCGAACATTTGATCTTCTGCTTCTGCTATTGGCAATCTAACTTTGAAGAAGAAAAGAAGAAAAGACAATCCTTTATGACTTCTGGGGACTCTGGAGCTTATTGGACTTTTGACCCTGCTCCCTTCGCCATTGGCAATCCAACTTTGAGCTCAAATTTCTTGACATTTGGCTGTTCAATTTAAATATCCTTGGTATCATTAGATGCATCAAGTCTTTCTCTCTCGATTGGCACAAAAACTATTTAAATTGGACAGCCCAGCACCAAGGTATTTGAGCTCAAAGTTGAATTTCCATTGGCAAAGAGGGCGGGGTTCAAAAGTCCTATAATCTAAAAAAGACAAGCTAGGCCGCTCCAGAGTCCCCAGAAGCCAGGTCTGGCTTCTAGCGGACCTAGAGACTTTTGAGCCAAGCCTGCAATGAGTAAACCAAGGCCTCGCTTTAGCCTGATCCTGGCCTGGCACGGAAAAGTGAACCTAAACAGAGTGCAAACTTTCTGGGACACTTGCTCGTTTTAGCCTTGATTTCAAATAGCTGTAATAAAATATTTCTTGACTCGTCTCAAACTTTTAAATACCGAATTTGTCCTTTCCTTTTTGCCATTTTTTTGGCCCTTCTTCACTCTCTTTATGGGATGGCACAGCTGCAGTCCCCTCTTT